ATAATAAGTTTTAGGAATAATAAGAATGATTATATATATAAAATGAGTTAAGATAAATAATAAATTAAGAATAAGTTTAGTAAAGAATTAATTAAAAAAAGTATTAAGATTAATTGAAAGATGATAAGATGAATAAAAGTATATTTATATATGTATAATGAATAAATTAATAATAAAATAATTTCAAATAGCTCCATCAACTCTAGTCATAACTGCACATGAATTTCCTGGTTTCAACCAAATGTGACCTTTTTCTCCCCAACCTTCACCCCATGAATTTCTAATTTTCCAATTTCCTTCATAATCAAAACCAACAGCAACAACAGCATGATTATGAAAATCATCTCTACAAGCTCCATCATATACTCCTTCACTATAGAATTTCCAATAAGTAGCATCTACACTTACAGATAATGGATAATTCTATATTCCTTTTTTAATAGCATCTTCATTTGGACCATAATTTTCTCTACCTTATATTCTAACCTTTCCTTACAATACTTTACAAACTCCATCTTAAGCAGTCTTTAAATATATAATAATATTTTACATATGGATAATCTCTTTCATAAACCGAACCAACTGATGCTATATAATCTAAAGCTAAATCTGAGTTTCCTCCATTACATCCATTTCCAGCATCTAATGCACAATCTACTAATTATTATTCAGATAATATTCCTTTGAATCCTTGTCTAATAATTAAATAACCTTCTACTGCTCCTATTGCAGAAAATGTCCAACAAGAACCACAATTACCTTAATTTTTTATTCCATTCATCTTGCTAGACCAATCTGCTTCACCTAAATTATTTCCTTTACTTAATTCAATATTATCTAATTTAACATAAGTTGGCTTTCCTAAATATAAAGATTCAAATTCCTCATCTGTTAAATCTGCAAATTAATTCACTGCCATACTATAACTTTTATTTGGGTTCTAATTATGTCTCTTAATCAATTCAATATTTTTATTAAAAACTATCTATCTATATGCTTCTTCACTTTTACTGTAGAATTTGTTATACTATTTCTACCAACCCTTAAAAGATTATTATTCTTCACTTTAACTGTAAAACCCTAAACCACATAATAACAATGCTGTTGCAAACAAAGATAAAATTTTCTACATTGAATTAATAATTATTTTTATTCTTTATAGACAATATAAACTAAATTCGATGACATCATTGAATAGCTAATATTTAATGTATTATGTAACCAATAATGCATTCCTAATCTTTTTACTTATTTCATATCAATCATTCAATTATCATATTTCTAACTCTCTTTTTCTTACATTTTCAAAATTTACAGCTATATATTCAACTTATTTTACTTAAAAAAGACTTATTTCACTCTTTCTACTCAATTACACCTCGTAACTCATAACACTATATAAATTATTTTAACAGTTTTAATTACACAAATATAAAAGTAGATTTATATATGATAAATAGGTTCGACATGTTAGTATTTATACATTTATTAATATATCTAAATGTTAAACCACTAAATTATAACTAAACAATCATTCTACTTATTTCCACATACTTTTATAATAGGTTCGCATCTTATTCCAAACTAACTGAATATAATATAATATATTCTTAAATTGTATATAAACACACTATTAAGAAAGGAAACTTAACAACAACAAAAAAATCATTAAGTACGTCTATCAAATTTATCATATATATATGGTATTTTTCAAGCTCTTTTAGATAATCAAATTAATTTCTAATTGGAAATCTCCAAAATATTTAACTTGATGTTGAGACACTCTCTTTTAGCAAGAATTTCTATGATGAAAGAATTAGAAAAAAACTTGGTGAAAAATTACCTGGTCTATTAGAAAGTGAAAAAGCTAATGTATTATTTAATGAATAAGCTAAAAAACATAAAGTTGAATGTTCTAATCCAAGAACTACTGCAAGATTATTTGTTTTATTAGAAGTCAGTTCTAAAAATCCTAAACTTTTAATTGATCATCCTTAATTAATGAGTCCATTAAGTAAAGTTCATAGATAATATCCAGGCTTGACTGAAAGGTCTTTTTTTATATTCTAACTAGATATGAATTATTTAATGCTTATATACTGAATTAAATGATCCATTTGTATAAAAAGCATTATTCTAAAAATAAGTTGAAGATGCTGCTAAAGGAGATGATGAAGCCATGAAAATCATGAAGGATTTATTAAAACTTTAGAACATACCTTACCACCCTAATTATTATTATATATTTTTCAACTTTATGTTGTTACACTCTTAATAATTTATTTATTTTATTTATTTAAAACAATATTTAAATTATATCAAACTGATACACAAAATATTTAAGAAGTTCTATTCTTCCCAGCTATGAAACCTGAAGAAATGTAAATAATAAAAAGAAGAATTAAAATAATAATAATAATAATAATAATAATAATAATAATAATAATAATAATAATAATAATAGTAATAATAATAATAATAGTAATAATAATAATAATAGTAATAATAATAATAATAAAAATAATAATAAAAATAATAATAAAAATAATGAAGAATTTAACATAAAAATAGAATATACATATTCACATATTTTTTAATATTATTTTTGTTAATCTTTTATTTCCTTAAGTTGTAATATCATCACTTTTAATTATTGTATCACTTGATTTTACTTTATTTTAACTTGCTAAACTTTGAGGAGTTCTTTCAATAGGAGTTTCATCAGTAGCTACATAAATTGGTTTCATTATTTATTGTTTTCGAATTAATTTATCTATCTATTGATTATTATTTTCAATTTCCTTTAACAATTACTTACAAAACTATGCATTTGGTCTCTCGTTTGGATCATTATCTAACATATGAGCCAACAAAACAAATAATTAATCCATTTTACTTGAATTACATTCTGGATGTTAAGTATTTTTTCTTAATTCAAAAATTCCTTCTTTATTTTCCTAAAAGATATTTTTCTATTTACGAAATAAGTTTTCACCAGTTAACCTAATCTAATATGTATATTCATACATTTTATATAACATGCATCCTAAACTAAAAATATCTGCTTTTTCATCATATTGTTTTTCTTATTTATAATTTATAATTTCTGGAGCAATATAACCTGGTGTTCCAGCAGTTGGAAATATTAATTAGTTTTTAATTATGCGAGCCAAACCAAAATCAATTAATTTTATATTTTCTGATATCATAATATTATGTGGATTTAAGTCTCTATGCATAATTCCTTTTTAATGAATGTATATAAGAGCATTTAAAATTTAAGACATAATTTTTAATGTTTAAAGTATGCTTAAACCTGTTGGTCTTGAAAGTAATTCAGTATGCAAAGTTCTTCCATCAACAAAGTCAGTAACTATATAATAAAATTGTTGATCTGAATAGACTTCTTTGAGTTTTAAAATATTTAAGTGTGAAAGTTATTGTAGAAGCTACAATTCTTGGATTAATTAAGGCTAAGATCAACAGAAATTTATTACAATTCCACCTTAAAGTGATGTCAATTTCTATTTTTCACATTTTTTTATTGCTACATAATCGCCATTTTAAGATACGGCTCTATAGACCTAACTTTTTTTATCAATTTATACTTCTCCACTCATTCCTTATCCAACTTTCATTTAAATTCCATAAAAGTTTTGAATTCCACTAAAAAATACTCGACCAGCAATCATCTCTCTCAACAATTAAAATTTATTTGAAGTAGCATAAAATGCTTTCATTTTATTATTATAAAGTATTTCTAAGGCTTATATTTTGTTATCATTAACAATCCAATTCAATGTAGTAGTCATGTTCAATTTTATCTCATATTTCGCTTTCTTTGCTTAGTTCTGTATATAATAAATATATACATACATCAATTATAATTAATTCTTCACTAAACAAGTATAGTTAGTACTCTTTGTCAGAGAAAAAGTGTTTTCGAATGACAGGGAAATTAAATAATGCATTATCAAATCTATACATTTTTATTTAATATTGATATAACATCAAATCCTTTAATAAGTTGTCTTATGATTGTAGATGGTTTTTTTAGATTTTCATAATCAAAATTTTACATTCGATAGAATAGAAAATTAAAGAATCCATTTTAATAATGTCGTTATTCATTTTATGTTTTTCATGAAATTTATTCAAAATTAAAACTTTTAATATTAAAAATAAATATTATTTCCATAATTTTTCAAATAATATAATAATTATAAAGAACCTAGTTTTTAATGATATATCGGAATAATAGATGATAATATATTAAAATTGGAATATTGATAGAGGTATAAAGATAATGATTATATTATTTAGAGATAAGAAGGTTTAATATTTATATAATTTAAGATTAGAAATTAAATTAAATGTAATGCAAATTATATTTATAAGAATTCTGTACATAAAGTTATGATGCATATTTTTAATAAAAATAAAGTGGATAAATACCAAGTAATTAAGAAGTTAGAAAAATGGATATATAGAGTAAAAGCAGAAAAATAAATCAAATAAAAATTTAGTAAAATAAAAAGAGGTAGTTCCTAATACTCAATATTCAAGAATCTTTTTATAAAGAGTAGAGAATAAATAAATAAGAATAACTTAAAAGTGAATTTCAACTATTTTTAAAGAGTAGTTTATTCTATTAGAAAATGTATAAATAGAAATTGATAGTATATATGATTGATTTTGTTGGTATTATTATTTATCATATCATGCTTGATTTTAATATTCTTTTTAAACAACAGCTTTAAATTCATCCCAACTTAATGATCCATCTTTATCTTTATCAGCATATTCAACCATTTCTCTTAATTCTTAATCTGTATATCTCTCTGATACTAAATCATTAATTCTTTTGAAATCCTCATAAGTTACTTTACTTTATCCAGAGGAATCAAATTCAGAATATAATTTCTCAAGTACTTATTCATCTTCTATTGTGCTATAATATTGATTTTTAATTTACAATATACCCTGAAAATCCAAATATATTTAAAAATTCTTCAAAATCTATTAAACTTGATCCATCTTAATCAAGATCTTAAATCATATTCACAATATCTTCGGCTGATTGCTCCATACCTAATGCAATAATAGCATTTTTCATCTCATTTGGACTTATATAATCATTTTCTATTACGATATTGATCCACTCTTATCATCATCAAATATATCAAAACATTCCTTAATCTTTAAAACTTCCTCTTTACTAAGACCAGGTTTAACATATTTTTGTGCATCAAATCCATTTCCAACTACTTATTAAACAGGTTATTATTAAACAGCAGATTTCCCTCTTGTTACATCTGAACCTACTAAATAACTTTTATTTGTTTTTTAAGCTATTGCTTATTGATTTTATTGATTTCTATTCATTTATTTTAAATTATATTAATGATACATAAATTCATTACTTATTTATTTTCAATTTTATTCATTACTCTCTTATTCTTTCTATTCTGATATCACTTCACTCTTCTTTTCTTTAAACTAATCTTAATCTTAATTCTAATCTTAATTCTAATCTTAATTCTAATTCTAATTCTAATTTTTCTCTTCTTTTTACAAATTCTAATCTTACTATTTCTATTCTATTATTAACACAGAATCATATATTTATTATTATTCAATCTAAGATATTAAACGAGAATCCAAAATATTTTACCAATACTCTGCACTCAAACTTATCTATTCCATCTCCAATTAACCTATTATTTTTATTAACTTAAATAAATTCTACTCTTTCTCTTTTATAAAATCAGGAATCTCAAATAAACAAACTTAACCCATTGTGATATTTATTAAACCCTTCAAATTCTAAATACTCTTACAATACTAAAATATCAATTTCAATATATATTACTTAATCTATCTAATTTTATAATCTTAATATCTCCTTTTCTTTAGATCCAAAAAATAACTTTGCAACTGCATTTCTCTAATTATTTATTGTCTATTATAAATCTAATTAATTCTATCTTATTTTATCCTCATATTTTATAATCTTATCTTCCCATTTCCTTATCTAATCGAATTATATCAAATGAGACTAAAATAATCCTAATATTTTATCACCTCTATGTCGCTCTCGTAAATACTTAAATCTATCAAAATCTGATCATTCTAAAATTTACGAGCTTAATCATATTTTTAATTCTTCATCAAATCTAAAGGCTTTATTTTCTCAAAAAATTTCTTATCGCTCTTAAACAATAAATTCTTTTCAAACTCTGGAAGTACATAATTGACAAAAATCAATTTTTCTGTGTTAAAATTTGTTTTAGCAATCACATAATTATTGCACATTCTTTTAAAGTTTTCAATCATTGGCTTTACTTTTACAACAAATGATTAAAAATCATAAAATTAACATTTCATATCTAATGTAATTTCTAACTTCAATTAATTATATTGATTACATTCGAGCAATCAGGAAGATTAGCTACATATTTTTCTTCTAATGATCTATTATCATTATTTAAAGGTATCCAAATTTAGTTCTATTCATTTAAGAATTATTTTGTTTCTGGCGAATTCCATAAGATTTTTCTCTTAAATATTGAATTTAGGAATTATTACAACATTGTTCTTCTAACTCTAAGGAACTCTTCTTCAAGATTTCCCTTAAATAATAATTTAAAAATTACCATAGCTTATTTTTCAGGAAGTCTAGGAATAAATATACCAGGGTAATTTGCACGTAATGCATCATAAAAATGAACAAAGTCATTAAACCTTCTGCTAATAATATTTTGATCAACTTGTATCTTATAAGAAGCGTAACGACCCAGCATTTCAGTGCTGATTGCGATTTCAATTATTTTTGGAGATGATTATTATTACATAATAATTATATTGACAGTGAGTTTTAATATTTCATATTGTAAATGAATGAACATTATAAGAACTAAATATTGCCAATTAACTTATTATATCATTAAATATATTTGAATTGTTTCACTTAAATTTATTGGAATAAGGACTGATTTTATTCATAGTGAAATAATCATTTGCATAATTTGTTTCTTTGCATAATTTTCTAGGGTATGTAAATTTGGATGGAGAAAGACTGTGAGAATTCTAATTAAAAATAATAAATTGTACATTAGAATGCCATCCTAGCTCTTAATTAGAAGTTTAAGGAAATTAGTATTTCTAACGTGGAATTCTATTCATTGTATTTAATTTATCAATAATTTCCTCTAAAATATTGATTTTCATTACTTTCTAAAGGAGGTGAATCATCAGTAATTTGGTTAACATCAAATGCTGGTTTTGTAACGGCTCCTGTCTTTTCAAGATGTTTCTATAACATAATGCTATTGTTAGGTTTCTCTTGGATAATGTATACTAATTTTAGAATTAACAGTTGCACATACATTTGTGTGGGTTAATAGTAAAATGTTCATAAACTTTCAAATGTTAATTCTCTTTTCTTACTGCTTCTTACCAAATTTTCATTTCCTTAATATATAAAATTTAGATACTGCAACAGGACTGCGATCTCTTTTATTATTTTTTGATTCTTATTTTGCCATTTTATTATTTATTATTTTATTATAAAATGATAATTAGTTGAATAAAGATAATATATTATAAAAAATTAGTTTAAGTGTGTTAAATAAACTTTACTCAATTTAATCTACCAATACAATTCTTAGCTCCACAGCTGCATTATATTTTTTATGATTCTGCTTCAATTTCAAATTAGTAATCATAAGTCAATTCTTCTCCTACTTATATATCTTTTTTAGCATATATTAATATCTTCTCATCTAATAATAATGAATCACAATTAGGCTATAATAAAATAATATATTACTTGACAACTATGATTTAAAAATCTAGCTTCTGATCCTTTAAAGGTTGCATCAATTACTTTAGTTTTTGAAGCTCTAAACATATAACAATCCCCAAATCCTTATTCATTATAAGTTAACTCTCTATAATCTGCAAGTGCATTTCTAATAACTTCTCCAGTATATTCAATTACAAAATCTCCTTTTTTAAAACTAAACATATTATTATAAAATTACTCTTATTTAGTAAAAAGTCCATATTTATGTATATGAGAGGGTGCTACATAAAGTTTATTCTTTTGTTTCTAATTTTTAGATTCTTATTTTAATTTTTTTTCTAATTCTTCTTATTTATCTATTTACTTCAATTCTTCAGTTAATAGATTAGCTTCTTCTAATATGTCATTTGGATTTATTGTTACTATTTTTTATTGGGGGTCTTTTCTTGATAATTTACTATTTTAATGTTTTATTGTTGGAAGATTATCATATAACATTGGATGATTATCATACAAAGTATTTATATTTACTTAAGTTTCAGATATTACTCTACTTATCTATTATAAGATTTGTGTTCTTTCATCCAAAGGAAGATCTTCAACAAACTATTGTTAATAAAACCATTCTTTAAAATAACTGAATTAACATACTGAATTACACATCTTTTATATGTTTTTAGTATCTAACAATTATTGTCTAACTTATTATGTGTATAACATAAAAAATTCACCTAAATTTTCTGTAAATTCTATCCCTTAAATATTATTATCTTTAAAAGAATCCAATAATTATTATAAATTTTAAACTTTATATTCTTTATAAGGATATTTATCCAAAATCAATTTAGTAACTGAAAATTGTAATTATCTATTTTTGTCACTCTTTTCACATTCTTTAAGAAATTGTTATTTATTTACTTCAGTATATCTAATTTTAAATTCTTTCATATTTAATGAAATGTATAAAATTTTATTTCTTAATGTTAATAAATTTAATTCTTCAAATTATCCTCTTTATTCTGATGGTTTTAAAGCAATCAAAATTGTATTAGAATATCGATGAAGAACTGTTTAAGATTTTTTATCTTATTTTTATTATACAACTATTTTTCTCCATATCATAAATCGTGTTACACAATATTCCTAATTGTCAAAACAAGATTAACAATAAACCTTCTTACTATGAGTGAATGCCCATTATTCTTTATACCCACAATAAAAATGACATCTTTTTCTACATTTTACACAAATTATTGAAGATCCTATTTATTGACAATATTCACATTTAAAATTATTATTTTTAAGTAATGCTTTAACTGTTAATTCACATTCTTTACTATCTTCATTCCAAATCACACAATTAGTATGAACCCAACGTACATCATCTACATAAAGTAATCTTCCACTTATGCTTCTGTTTCCTTATCTTTTACATAATTAACAAAATATTTTATCCAATGGACTTTCTGTTAATTGATCCTCATCTTATTATGGATATTTTTAAATAAACTCTGTTTAAATAGTACATTACTCCTTTGGTTATTATTTCATTTCTTACTCTTATTTAATTAAAATCTGTTCTGCCTCTTAAATTTTATTATCATGTAACTATTTTATTTCTTAAATACATTATTTTATTAATTAATTATTTTATTAATATGATTTAAATTTTTCTGTTATTTAAGTTTCTGAATATCTATCATTTAAAGATCGAATATTTTATTTTAAATAGTTTGTTGCTATTTTCAACCATCCTTTCTAAACTAAAATATGATCTTTTGAAGATTATTTTTTTAATTCTACCATTTGTGATGTATACTATTTCTTAATCGATCTGACAATTGAATTTGGAATTGGAAGGAAAAGAAGTTATTATTTTTAATTTTATAGAAGTTACATTTTAAGATATTTTGAATTTTCATATTAACCTAAAATATTTAAGTAATTTGTGTAGTATTAGTTATCCAAATATTAAAATTAGTTCTCGTATTTTAAATGTTACACAAAACTACATTATAAATCTGCTACAAGACTTATTGTATCTAATGCAAATCGATTAACTTTATTAAATGAAAACAGAGAATTATTTTAACCAAGTATAGTCTATAAAGAGAAAATAACAAATTGTTTTTTTTATTTAAAGAAATGGATCAAGAGTTATCTCTCATGAAAGTCATTTTCTAATTGAAACTATACTAATTCTTGTCGTTTTTATTAAGTTACTGTAAATAATTATCTAGGAGCTTCAAACCAATTAAAACGAGCACACCAATATTAAGTTAATTTTGCAATATATTCATCACTAATATCTTTATTATTCGTCAGTTCCTCTTTTATATTCTCAATATTTTATTAATATTAAAAAAAATTAGATACAAGACCTTCTAACTAATCTAAATTTTCCATAATAAATGTTATTTAAACCTAATTTAATTGAGGTGTCCATTCCAAAAAATTAGAAACAACTGGTACTACTTTTTTTAATGATTTATCTTTTATAGTCTTTCTAATGCTTTATTCTTTTAGCTTTTCAATCTTAAATAATAGTTAGGACATATCTTAAGAACAATCTGAACATATTCCTTCATTATTGATAGTTTTTTTGTTTTTCAATAAACAAGAAACATGATAAAATTATTTACATTTTACACATTATTTGTACTATTTAATCGATTTAGTTTCCTTATTTAAATATATTTTTTCAACATCAGTTTCTAAAATTATAGATATTCAATGAACTTACATTTTACATCTTGAAAGAATAGTTTATACAATGATCCAATTTCTTAATTCTCAATTTCAATGCATTCACTAGATTATTCATCACTATTAGTTTATATGTACTCTTCACAAAATTAACAAAATTTAAAACCAGCTACATTGAGACCACAACTTAAACAATATTTAAAGTTTTAAAAATATTCTATACTTATATGTACCTATAATAATTATAATTAAATACTGTATTTGATGTTGTTGTTGGTTTAATTTTTTATAATTATTCTGGATCAAATAACTAATTTTTTTAGCAATTGATACATTTAAAACAATTCTTACATCTCCAATAATCTAAGCCATCAGTTGGGGCAATAAAATTATTAAAAATACATTAGAAATGATAAAAATCATTGCAATTACAACAAAACAAATCATTTTTTTATCCATATTTACCACATTCTTTACATTTAACACAATTATTACAAGTCCATTTATTTAAAGATTTTAATACCCTTTAAAAATGATATTGAGAATTATTTATCTAACAATAGAAATGATATGTCTTATTGCAATTTTCACACATTAATAAATTTTCGAGAAATTCATATCCACCACATGAACAACAAATATATTCAAAAATTAATTCAAGACATCCAACTTTCATTGCAAAAGGTTAAACTAAATTTACTGTACTTAAATCTTTAAGTAATAAATCTTTTACTATATATTATAACTAAGGAGAATCAACAGAATCATCAGTTAATTATGGAGATTCTAATTTAAATAAATAATCCAAATATGGATGACGATGTGTAATATTATTAATATCAATCTTGATTTTTATTTCTCTCTAAACTTATTACTTCAAAAAATCAATCATATTGAGTTTTATTAATGGTTCATCCTCATTTTCAAAATCTAAATTTGTATTAATAGTCTTTTCCCATTAAATTAAATTGCTTTTAACATTTCTAGAAGGTACTGGTTAAGTTATACTCAATAATTATGGCTCCCATAATGGAATATAATTATTTATTCCCTCAATTGTTACCAAATCTTTTCCTCCAAATCCATGATTCAAAAATTATTTAAAAGCCATTTGAACATTTTCAGAAGTAAATAAATGTATATTGTTCTTATAAGTTAATAGATCTTCATCTGTTAATTTTAAGTAACCTTTAAACTACTGAAACAAAATATCATATAAGATCTTTAATATACTTCCTTTACGATGAGCTTTTGGATTTGATAAATTGAACTCCAAAAAATTAGACAACATTAATTTAATATCTGAATAAAGCTTAAATTCAGGATTATCTAAATATTCACCCTTTTTATTCTTCTTATGAATAGTATCAAAATCTATTGGATTTTTAATAACTTCTTTATATTTTTAAGAACTTGGATCATATTGCCATAATAATTTTTCATCATCAAAATATGTTAAATACCTGATAAGCTCAGAAAATATTATTTTCCTCAATTCCACCCTACACTTAGGACATCTATAAGAGTCCAAAAAAAGTTTACGATCTTAAAATAAAGGCTCGCACTTCTTATGAACATATAAACCACAATCACGACACTAAAATAAGTTTTCGGCTTTCTCTTTTTCAAACATAGTTTTTTTGCATAAAATACAATATTTATTTTTCTCATATTTAATTACACACTCATTACATAAAGAATTCTCAATAAGTTAATTAGCACATGAAGTACATGAATTAGGTAATTTTTTATGATGAGATTTTTTTTATTTTTAAGTCTTCTTCAATTAATCAGTATGAGTAGGAAGCTATATCATGCTACTTTAATGATGAGAGCTACTCAATCCTTATTCCCCAGAACTTTGTTCATTGAATTACTGAGTAAGATTAGGAAAATCGGTAGTATTTTATTATTTCTAAACTGCTCCTCTTGTAATTTTTACTCCTTTTTCCAACAATTTAAAATACTCTCCATTAGTAATATTTAGCTATTCACCCATTATTAATTATAAAAAAAATTAAACCAACATATAAATATATTTACTTTTTTTAATATCCTCTCTAATAATATTACTAATCATCAAATATCTCCTATTCTTTTTATTTGAAATAATTTACTAGAACATAAAACTTTATTATAATTTTTTAGATTTTTATTTTTACATGATATAACTATGAAATAGAATTTGAATTACTTCTTTTTAAATTTCTTATATCTAAAATTTTTAAACAAATTCCAGATTTTTAATAGTCATAAAATTATAATGAAAAATTATAAATAAAACAATTTTGGTATTTTTTAGATCTTTTATTTCAATAATTACAAAATTAATATATCATAAAAGCAAATAAAGAAACTTGAAACAGTAGAATTTTTTGGATATATTAAAAAATATAATACAATTAGATTGATGTTGTGAAACTTCTTTTATTAATTCAATTTATTGAAAATAATTTTATATTCTAAATAACCAGACAATATATTACAATCGAATTTTCTATGATATAAATATTATTTAAAACTATAGAGTTAATTGATAATAACAATATATAATACTATTTAAATATCTTTTTGCTATTATAAAAAGACGTAATATTTAAATTGAAAAGAAACTTTAAATTTAAATTTGTAAAAAAGTATATAATAATGATATTTATTTAATAGAATATTTGATATGTATATATCATGGCTTATGTTTATTTCTTTAAGGAATATCTTCAGATGATGACTAATTTTGATTAGAACTATCACTATCTAATTGATTTGTTTAGAATTTGATTTATTTTTTAGTCTAATAATTTGAAGGATTTTTATTACCTTTTATTATTTCTATTCTTCATCATCAATGATTAAGAAATGTTAACTAATCAATTCTTTAAGAGCACTTTTAGTTATTCTAACTTTTTCTTCCTTTTTCTTTTAAGGTTTTTCAAACACTTAAACTAAAGAACTATCTGATTCTTTTTCATTGATAATTTTCTTTTTTAATATTTTATTTCTTTTTAATTTATTACCTTTTTATTAAACACACCCTTTCAAAATATTTGTTGTAACATATGCTAATACACCATCAGTTGACATTACTCTTTTTCTTTTACCATCAATTATATTATCTTAACAAATATTTTACATTTAATTAAATTTAATAATTAAATAAAAAGATTAAACTTAAGTTTGAATTATCAAAATTATTTGGTAAGAATTTGCAGAGAAAACTTTGTTGATCAATAAAATTTATCTAGATTAAATTTGCGGAAATTCATTTCAAATTAATCAAGATTATTATTTTATAGCGATTTTCTAAAAGTGGATTATAAAACCTGGGAATTAAATCTATACAAAAATTTTTTTATCTATCTCTTATAGAATTTATTTTATGTTCGTATAATTTAATCACAATAAATATTTTATTTACGCTTGATCTTAAAAACTTGAAAGTTTAAATAAAACGATCTTTTTTTGATAATTATGGTTGAACTTTTTCTTATGAATATTCCTAGATTAATAAAAACTCTCAACTTATAAAAAGAATATAAACAAATATAATTTAAATTCTTTAGAAGAGATTTTTTTTAATTGCACTGCTATTGTCAATAATATTTTGCTCTAAAAATATTAATATGTTAATCTCCTTAAAATAATTTTTTAGATAAAAATATATTATTTACCTTCAATTAATTATTTCTAATGTCATTACATGTGTTAAAAAGATTATTTTATAAATAGATAATTGAAAATTACAACAATAGATAATAAATGTAAAAATTAATTCTACTTTGAACTCAAAAATAATTTAATTATATGATTATTAAATTGTTTTAATCAAGCAAATTAAGCTTGTTGAAACCAATTATTGTAATTTAAATTGTAACATTTATAGAAAATGAAAAATTGAAAGTTCTATCTTTAGATTGATTTCTAATGTAATTATAAATTAAAATTTAAAAGTTATAATCTATTTCAAAAATAAAGTGAATTGTTGAATCAAACTTTCATCTACAAATATTTCAATTTTTCGATGTACATCAAATTAGATTTAATTGTACAAAAACATAGCATTCTTATTATTTATTAACAAGATTATTTTTGATCTTAAAATTATCTCATCACACCATTATAAACCGACTATTGTAGAATTACTCTGCTTTTTAATTTGTATATTATGTTTTATTTGGAAGTTAAATATATTTTTCCAAATTTCTTGTTAATGAAAAAAATTTATATTCAAATAGGAAATTATAAATTCATTTTGTGAATAATTAATATATGATGAATTCAGCTTATGGAGACGAAATCCCAAATCTTTTAAATATTAAAGTGAAGATTTATTTTAAAATTTGAATTTTTCGTTGATACTCAAAGAAATATGTATTTTTTTTCTTCTCAAGAATTTTCAAATTTATAAATTTTATCTTTTACATAAAAACATGATAACTCTTAAAATTATCGCAAAAAAAATATAAATCAGAAAATAAAGATAAAATACATCCTCCAAAAATAAATCGACCTTTTTTAAAGAAAATATTATTATTTAAATAAAGGATAGTCCATTTAAATCTAACCATAAATGTTAACCTACCAAAATAATATTTTAAATAAACAACCTTATCTAAATATCTGAAGCAGTATTTTATTAGGAGACGTCCTATCATTTTAAACTATTCATTCTAACAAAATTTCATCATGTAGGGAATTGCTAAATCTATTTATAATCCAATTAAAAGTTAAATATTCTGTTGGTTAAATCGTAAGTGAAAGTATCTCTTTCTAAATAGTGATAAGAAAGTTGAAGAATATTTTAAGAGATTTTGCAATGTAGACTAGTATTAGGAAACTTCATAATCCTTAAGATAATGTTAAAATTCACTAATTAAAATATTTAGTTCATGAATTAATCTAATTCGATTTAGAAGTAAAAAGAAATGTAAGAAAAATATAATAATGATATTTATTTAATAGAATATTTGATATGTATATATCATGGCTTATGTTTATTTCTTTAAGGAATATCTTCAGATGATGATTAATTTTGATTAGAACTATCACTATCTAATTGATTTGTTTAAAATTTGATTTATTTTTTAGCCTAATAATTTGAAGGATTTTTATTACCTTTTATTATTTCTATTCTTCATCATCAATGATTAAGAAATGTTAACTAATCAATTCTTTAAGAGCACTTTTAGTTATTCTAACTTTTTCTTCCTTTTTCTTTTAAGGTTTTTCAAACACTTAAACTAAAGAACTATCTGATTCTTTTTCATTGATAATTTTCTTTTTTAATATTTTATTTCTTTTTAATTTATTACCTTTTTATTAAACACACCCTTTCAAAATATTTGTTGTAACACATGCTAATACACCATCAGTTGACATTACTCTTTTTCTTTTACCATCAATTATATTATCTTAACAAATATTTTACATTTAATTAAATTTAATAATTAAATAAAATAATGAATAATTTCATAATTAGAGAGATTTTTAGTATAAAGGAAAATAGTAATAAATAATCATTAAGAATTAAATGTGATTTTATTATTATATTTTATATCAATATTTATAAATAAGTTATAAATGATTGAAGATGGTAATTATCATTCAGAACAAGGAATTAAATATTATCACTAATTAGAAAGAAGAAGAAGTAGTGCATAATTTTAAGACAGTTCTACAATGATGAATCCAAGTACTACTAATCTTTCTAGAAATGCCTCTTATTCAATGCCACATGAAAGTTAATTAAATCCTTAGGGTAAATACAAGAATAAATTAATAGTACTTGCCAAAATAGCAGCAATGATGCCATACAACTCAGATAATAAAAAGAAATTTTTTAGAGTTGATCATGTCCTTAAACCAAAAAAGAAACCAGATCCTTTGGAGGAAGAACAAGAAAATGAAATTAGAAAGAATTTATAATTATCACCTGAAATAGTGAAAGAAGATTTACAAAACAAACCTTTAGTAGGACCTCAATCAGTCTAATTATATTATCAACATTATAAGAAAGTGAATAAGGTTCGTTAGCAAAACGAGTTTTTTAAAATATCAGGTAAGGTTTAAATGGATAAATAGATAGTGTGTAAACTGCAATGCTTCGTTAAGCAGAATAAATTGATGTATTACCTTGTAAGATTGGAGTAATAAAAGCAAAAGGAAGTGAATAATCTCTCTAGATTAGTCATTAGAAGTATGGAGATAGATATGCATCAATGTTGAGTGAAGGTTTGAAGGTTAATCCAAACATTAAAGATTTTTATATGGCAAATAATAGAATTCAGAGTTCTGGAGCGACATAAATTTTGAATTAAATAGGAAAAGTGGCTAAAGTTCTTGATCTTTAATAAAATAATATTGGTAAGTTTGGAACAGACTCAATATGTTAGTAAATTTAATCTAGAGAAAATAAGTAAGAATAAAAGTCATTATATTAGATTAGAAGTTTTAAATTTAGAGGATAATAAATTAGGAGATAGAAATGTGACTCGCATCTTGAAAGCATTGTTAAATAGTAATAATAAGTTGAAATCATTAAATATAAGCAAAAATTATTTGACAAATGATATAGCTGAAATTCTAAAAGAGAGTATTATCCAATTAGACAATATGGAGTAATTATATATTCATTGGAATTAAATAAAAGGTTTGGGAGGATAGAAAATATTTGAAGCATTAATAGAAAACAAGACTTTATTGGTTTTTGATGGAGGTTGGAACAGTTTTGGAATTTAAGAGAGAAAAGATATATAATGTATATAAAAGATATGTGATTTTTTGATCACAAACAAAACTGTATTACATTTTGATTTATCATCTAATTAATTTAGTCTAAATGATTGTAAATTGATAGCAAATGCTTTGAAATAAAATAGAACAATATATGGATTTCATTTTGTGAATAATTGGGGAGTTGTTGATGCTAGAGGATTTTTATAAATACAAGAAAATGAATTATAAAGAGTCTTAGGTGAAACTCCTAGAATAAAAGGATTGTAATAAACGACAACAATAAGACAAGAAAATGTATGTTGGATTTGTGAAGGATGGCAAGAATAAAAGTTTACTTGGAAACCTGATATTTCAGGAGAAGGTGAAGCAGATCCATTATTTATTCATCTTGATTTCGAAGCTTACAAATAAGTTTATATTCCTAAAACTTAGGATCAAATTTCCTTAACTTTAATGATCCCTACAAATACTACATAATATATCTATACAATGATTGATACATAGGTTATTGCAAATGATTAACCTTATGTTCCTTATGGACATTAATTGAAGATTAATTATAATAGTAATTATCTAACAGTATTGATGGAAAATGTAAACTAAGTCAAAAAAGATAAACACTTTTTAATTTTTGATTAAGTTGAATTTAAACCATTAGTAAGTGTTCTTCCTAGAACTCCAGATCCTGTTTATATACCTCCAAAATTGAAAAAACAAAAAAGGATTTGGACATTTCCAATTTCTATTTGGGCCAAAGATTTCAAATTTGAGAATGAAGATTTATTAAAGAGATGCTTTGAAAAAGATTTCTCATGTAGCAAAATATCCAAAATAGTCAAAAACCCTGATGAACTGTTAGAAATAAAGAGTGTTTTGTGGGCACATTATAGATTAATTAAAGAGACCTATAAATAATATAGTTCTAACAGTCCAACAGGTGATATCTGGTCAATATCTTCAAATGTTATTACTGAATTTGCATAATAAACCGAATTAATAGATGGTAAGACTTTGAAATTATCTGATTTGGATTTGAAATTTATTGCTACTTGTGCAGCCTCTATTGAATATAAAGGTAATTTTAGAAATCCTGAAAGAGCTCTTTGTAGATTTTAATTCATGGAATTTCTTGTTAGAGTTTCTGAGGATAAATATTTGAAAACAAAAGTTGCTACAAATATGTTAGAAGCAACTAAAATGATTTTAGAATAATGTAAAACATATATGTCAACTTTTGATGCATAGAAATGGAGAGATGAGAGATATTTTAATGAACAATGCGACGATTGCCTAAAATTATTTAAACCATTACTTAATCATATTTATAATAAATTCAGTGTAAGGAAAGTGAAACCAGGATAAAAGAAATTTATGTGTTTGGATGAAATTCATGAGATATGTTCTTAAGCCAGTTTATATGATGAAAGATTTGTAGAAAGAGATGCTGATATTGTAAATAATTACTTTAAATTAGGCATTTAATTTATCAATGATGCTTTAAGTTGATGAATTAGAAAGTGATAGGATCTTTTAGATGACTTTCATTGAGTTTTTAGAAGCAATAGGAAGAATAGCTGATAAAGTATCTATGCCTGGTATTGATGCAGTTGATTTGACTTGGGATCAAAGAGCTGCATAGCCTCTTCATTTAAAATTAGAAAAGTTGTTAATTCATTTAGCTAACACATGTGCATCTGAAGAATTTAAATTACAGTATGGTAATATAAACAAATCAATGTTTGCAGTTGTTGAAGAAGATGATTGAAATTAATTTATGTTTTTGATACTGTAACATATTTATAATATCAAATTGGATGTCCAATCTTTTCTAGATATCTAAAGTAATAAACAAAAATCATAATAGGTTATCCAATAAAACAAAAAGTCATCCAAAACATTAAATTTCCTAATTAAGAATCTTATAATTTAAGTAACTTACAATATAATTAATATTTACCTTTTCTAATTTCTTTTATAATAACATAAATGGCGCTTAAGCAAACATTCCTACAAATGCCCAAGCTTCTACAACACCTATAGAAGCACTAACTATATATTCATGACCTAATGCTGATACTAAAAACACAATCATATTTGAAGTAGTTCTACTCATTCCAGATTTGAGACATGGAAAATAGATATGTCCTTAATTATAAAAATAAATAATATACTAACTAACCAATGATGAACAGGTAGATTCCACAATCTCCAATATTCTTCTAAATTCTTACAATTCCACCAATCTTTATAAAACTCTCTATCAGCAAATCTAAGTAATTCTGCTGTTATATTCAAAAAACATTGAAACTATCCATAAAATAGAGCTATCCACATATAAGTATTAGGTATAGCTAATTTTAATAATCGATCAACAAGAACCATGATAGTTGGAGCCTTTGATAGCATTTTATATGTATTCTCTACAAGTGGCTCTGTGTATTAAAACCATATAATCACTAAAAAGAGAATGACAAATATATATTCAATTATTCTCTTTACTAACCAAACCTTACGTATTTATTATGTTCTTAAATATTATAATTAGAAACATAATGTAGGAGCTGCTAAAAAGTATAAGTAATGTTTAAAATCCAATATTTTAGCTTAATTTTATGCATACTTCTCTAAGATCTTTAGGTTTTCATTGTTGACTTCATATTCAGCAAAGAAATTATCAAGAGAAACTTTCTTATTTTTAACTTACTTTATTCTCTAGATATAAAAATAAGTATTTCTTAAAAAATGAGCATAACTAATGATTTTCATAAAAGCAATAAATTAGAGGCCCAAAAAAATCAAATTTAATCCAGGATGCGATCCTTAAATTAAATAACAAGGAATAATTATTGTTGAGGTAATGTTGATTATATTAAATACTCTTATTAAATTTGGACTTTGATTTCTTATAAATTATAAATATTAAATTCCAAAAGCAATCAATAAATTTAATATGATTGCCAATATGGCTTACATAATTGGATTACTGTTGATTTGCATCATTTCAAATTTCCAGAATACATTTGTTATAAGTAAACCATATTTCTAAAAATTCTCAAATATCAATCTTATGTGATTGGCTATTAATATCAAAATTGCCAAATTTAATATTCCTCTAAAATTTTGTTCTGGTGATTCTGTACTTAATAAGGATGTTCTTTCTTTTCTCACAGGTTGATATGCCAAAGGACCCATATACTTTGTATAAGTCTTCCTTTAATTGATCTTGATATTGTAATATAAAATTACATAATGTTATAAGTATGACATAGCTTTCTTATCAGCAAATTTGATTGCTATAATTTTAGATTCATCCTTCTAGTTTACAAGTGTGATCATTCTTTTTAAATAATCAAAAATACAATTAGACTTCATCAATTATTGAAGAACATTTATCAAAAAGAACAGAAAAGAGGATTAGATTCTCATTCTCTAATATACACAGCTTATGTTATTCACATCTAAGTATGAATGGCTTAAAGTCATCTCGAACTAGTTGTGTTAATTTATCTTAAGCATCAGAAATAAGTAATTCAGGGTTATACACCTTTATCATTATTATATTAATGATTCAATTAATTTCTCCCTCAATTATTAGAATAAATCTAAACTTAATTAAACTTCAATATTTCTAATTCAAAACCTCTGTTTTATTATCAATCTTATCAATTACTGTATGTAGTTACAAAGCCATTCTAAAAAAACAGAGTCTATTTTCTTAATATATATTATTTAAACTAATTAATCAAGATATTATCAGACATTGTAATTGTTTTTTAAGAATCATTTAATTTCATTGATTTAGAAAGAACTTTATTTTACAATCATATTATTTTATTAAAGACTCACAACATATATTTTTTAAATAATTTACTACTTAACTTCTTAATCAGGAATAATTTATTTAATAGTCCTATATTATCCTATAATATCCTATAATATTTTTCATCTCCTATTGATTCATATAAATATCCAAGATTTTAATTTAAATTTTCAGAAAAAGAATTAACAGATTCTCATAAAGAATTTGATATTAAAAATAGATTAAAAATAAACATATGTCGATTTCAAAAAAAAGTGATAAATATAGTCAAAAGTAGATTGAAAATAAATGGATTGATAAAATAGTCTGTAAAAATTACAAAATACTAAGTCCATTAAATTAAGGTTTTAAATTGTTCTAAGTTAATTACTAGGTACTTTTGGTCACATCTATTTGGCAATTCATCAAATTAAATAAGAATATTATGCAGTTAAAATATTGTCGACTGGAAAAAACCCAATTCTTGCTAAATCTGTGAAAAATGAAGTAGATGTGCTTTATAAATTAAATGGCCATGTTGGATTTCCTCGCTTATATTATTTCATTTAGAATGGAACTGAAAGCGTGATTGTGTAAACATTATTAGGATAGAACTTATATTAATTATTGATGTAAACTCCAAAAAAAGTATTTTCTTTAAAAACTGTTCTGATGTTCCTAGATTAAGCAATAGAACGATTATAATATTTACATATGAATGATTACATACATAGAGATATAAAACCAGAGAATTTTATGACAGGTTTAAAGGAAGATGAAATATATCTGATTGACTTTGGATTTACATCTAAATATAGAGAATAAGGATAACATATAGAGAGATAGAAAAATGAAAATATAATTGGAACTCCAAGGTATTTAAATGATTAACTTTGATAAGCCTAGATTTTGCCCAATCTGTTCTCATTTGAGTTTATCTTAAAATAGAGCGAGTGATTTAGAAAGTTTAGGATACTTGGCAATCTACTTTTTAAAAGGATCACTACCATGGATGCATATACATGCAGAAACTCCAGAAGAAAAAATTAAACTTATTGGATAAAAAAAGATTAATACATCTATTGAAGAATTATGGTAATCTAATTATAATTATAAAATATAGTTCTGGATTACCTAAAACATTTGAAGATTATTTTAAATATATTTAAAATATCTCTTTTGATGGAGATCCTAATTATGACTATATTTAGAAATCTTTTAAAAAATTATATTAAACTTTAGGATATCCTTTTGATTAAAAATTTGATTGGACTAAAGAAGAAAATAGAAACTCACATGATATTGAATAAAATACTAAATAACAACATTTTCTAGATGTCGGAAGAAAATCATTTACTGCAGATGTGAATATTGAAGTCTTGCCATCATAAATTTAAAAAAAGTAAGGATAAATTTAATAATCATTAGAAAAATAGAGAGAATTCATCATCTTAAAATTCAAGAAGAATTATTCCTGACTACTGATCTACAATAAGAAGAAATTTAAGAGTTTGAACCAGGAAGAACATTATTTGATAGAATGCAATAGATAAATAAACAATAGTTAAAAAAATAAAAATGAATAAAAATTATATATTCTGATATGAGATAAAACATTTCTTTTCAGCCATAAACAGATGAAAAAACCATTTTTCAATCTAACTCTTCCAACATATATGGCACAGGCAGATTTGGAGATATTAGACCTAAAAATATTACATTTTAAGGTAATGACAGTTAAAATAACATGGTTTTTGATCCCAGCAAAGTATAATAATAATAACATATGACATTCTATAAACAAAATGATAGTAGGAAATAATCTGATGCTAAATTTGGATCATAAATGGATTCTTCACAAAAAGGATTTGCATTTTCATAAAGTCCAAATCCATTCCATCAATAATCAGAACCTTAAGAAAAATAACAATAATCATTTAGTAGTTAAGGGTCTGAAAAAAAGAAAGGAGCATCTAATAAGTATTTTTAAAATGGAAATCATTAATATTAATTTAAAAATAATAATCATTAGCAAGAGATTTCTGAAGAGAGAACTTGTGAATAGCATGGTAATACAGCTAAGTTTGTTTGTACAACAATTGGATGTTTGATTGGAGGATTATGCCAAGAATGTTAACATTAGTGTCCAAATATAACTGCTATTGAAGATTATTTTAGAATCTTAGAGTTGAAATTAACTAATCAATAATTAGATGTTATCTAAAATGAAAAATTTTAATCTCTTTCATAAATAAGAGATTATTTTAACCAAATCAGATAGGAAATAATAAATTAAATTGATGAATTAGAAATCAAATTTATTGCAAAAGTTATTAATGAAACTAGCTTTAATATAGAATTGTCTTATCAATTTGTTTAAGAATTATTTGAAACTAATTTATTAGATCTTACCAAAAAAACTTCATAACTTTCAAAGCTAATATATAATGATTATTTAAAGGTTTCTGAATTCAATAAGATATTTATCTAAGATTAAGGTAGATTTCAAAAAAAGTTAATCAAAAATGTGTAATTATTAAATTAATTATTTAGTAATTTTATATATTGTTGCGAATAATAAGTTTTTTTTATTATTTATTCTATAGCTTTTAAATTGTGTTGTAGATAATTCAGAATTAAATCTTTAATTGATTGATTAATAAACATAGTATCATTAAAGCAAAACATATGAAAACTAAATGAAAAATTTGAAATCATACAAAATTATATAAAATCATTCTAAAAATATTTCAGATATTTGTTTAATATCAAATTCAATATTAGCAACAGCTGAAGAAAATGGTGGAATAACTCTTTGGAAATTACCTTATTTTGTTTAATTACATAAATTTTAACATGGTGTTGAGTGTATATCTTTAGCTTCAATAAAGGATAATTAAAATACATAATTTTTATTAAGCGCGTAAAAATAAAATTTTAAATTAGAGGTAAAGATAAAGATGAATATTAAATATATTTATGGAATGTAGATTTAAGATCTAGAGTAGGTGATGTAATAGGACATTCTAAACAATTAAGAAAAGTAGTGCCATTAGGATATTCATAAATTGCATGGTGTTAAGAGGATTCAAAAATAAGAATTTGGAAATTAAGTGAAAAAGAATTAGCACATGAATTAAATGTTCATTCTGCTTGGATTAATGATTTATGTAAAATATCAAGAACATAGATTGCTTCTTGTAGTAGAGATTATACAGTTGCAGTGATAGATTATTTAACTGGAAGGACTAAATTTATTATAAAGGATGTAACATACGTAAATTGTGTAACATCAATAAATAGTGAATTATTTGCCTTTGCAAATTATAATGGTTAAGTCAAAATTTATTAAGTTGAATAACCTCAACTTATATAACAAATATAGGTATCCATGAATTGGATTGATACAAACAGTATTTGGTACTTATGTAGAATTAGTAATGAAATTCTAGCAGTGCAATAAGCAAATGGAGAAACATCTATAATTGCAATTGATCAAAGAAAAGAGAAGATTATAAAGACAATTTAATAAACAAAGAATGTGAAATAGAACGCACAAACTTTAATATTTGTCAACAACTTTAAATTTCTAATACTACCTTAATAAGGAGAGATGTAAGTTTTCTAATGAATATGTATATTTCATTTTAAAATTTGTATCAATTCTTCAATATCAAATGGACTCAAAATGATTGGTATTTCTAAGCATTCCACATCATCAGTAATTGTAATAACTTGATTATCAAAATGACTTTCTCCATAGAAGGATACTTCTATGCCATCATCCATTTCAATAGATTTAATTTTAAAATTTTAAAGTTTATCAGTAATTTCAGCATGATTACCACATAATTCAATACTATCTCCACTGAAATAACATTCAGAATATAGATTAACACATTTTAAGTTTTTATCATCATTTTCATTATCTAAATTTTAATTATTTTATTATTTATCATCTTAATCATTTAATCCATCGCTTCCTTAATTTTAATCATCTGAATTATCATTTCCTTATCCATTTAAACTATCACCACCCTATTAATTATCTGTTCCATTACCTTATCCAGAACCTTCTCCTTTACTAGAATCACTATTATCATCATCATTTTAATTTCCTTCTCCATTATTATCATCATCTTTTTAATTTCCTTCTCCATTATTATCACCATCTTTTTAATTTCCTCCTCCATTATTATCATTACCATCCTTTCCTTATCCATCTTTATTATTATTATCATTATCTATGCTATCTCCTAAATCATTTTTAGATCTATCTATTGTATCATTATTATTTCCATTATCATCATTCCCTTAACTATCTTTATTATTATCACCATCATTCTTATTATTATCATCATGATTATCTTTATTATTATCCCCATCATTCTTATTGTTATCTTTATTATTATCCCCATCATTATTATTGTTAACTTTATTATTATCACCATCATTCTTATTATTATCATCATTATTATCTTTATTTTTATCATCATTATTTTTATTTTTATCATCATCACCATTATCTTTGTTATCATCCCCATCATTATTATTATCTTTATTTTTATCGTCACCATCATTAAGATTATTTTTATTTTTATCATTATTGTCTTTATCATTAGAACCGTCTTTATTTTTATTATTATCATCCATATCTTGATGATTAGAATCATCATTTAAACCATTTCCAATATTATCATTATTTTCTCCTTCAGTTCTTTTTTCTTTATCATTCATATCCATTCCTGATTCATTATTTCCTTATTTACCATTCTTATCATCTTCTATATCTTTTATTAAATCATTATTATTCTATTTTATTCCAGAATCATCCAAATCATCTATTCTCTTATTAAAATCATTATCATTTTATGATTAATTATCCTTTAAAGAAGATTATTTATATTTCTCATTGTTATCTTAATTCTTCAAACTACCCCTTGATTAAACAGCTTTACCACTTCCTTAAGGTTTCTTTCCAGATTTTTTTGTACTCTTTTTTGAAGATTTTTTATTATTTCCATTCCTAGGTTTACATTATTTGTATTTTGGTGGTTATTTTGATTCTATTAATTCAATAAATTCAGTTATAAAATCAAACAAATTTTAAGCATCTCTTAACTCTGTTTCTGTACTATATAAAATATATACAACAAACTATTCTTATTCCATATTTGAGAATTCAATTATTTAATTATTCTCCTATTACTTTTATTATACTACTTCATTTACTCTTGGATATATTACTAATCTATTTTAACTGTTGGTTTTTATATTCATTCCTCTATAATCCTCCTATTCAAATAATACTACTTCAGGATTAGATTTCCCTTTATCAATTACAAATTTTATATTTTCTCTAACATCTATTGCTAAAATAGCTAGTTTTGATGAAATTATTGTGAAATATTGCTTACTATAACTATTATTAAAAGTTTCTGAACTTAACCATCCATTTGTTAAAGAAACAAACTATTTTCCATTTAATTAAACTTGCTCTAACTAAAAAGCATCAATTGGGCTTTGTGAATCTTCTACAAAACTATCTAACAAATCTAAGTTCTTTTAAACCCAATAATGAAAGTCTTACAAGAATGTCTGTCCAGAACTAATAACAAATAATATTAATAAGATTATTTTCATATTAAAAATTAATTCGTTTTGATTATAATTCAATAATATTAAGACTTTTTTTAATAGTTTAATAACTAATAGTTTATCATTTTACATTTTAATATCATATACTAACCTTCTCTCTAATGTTCTGCAGGTAATAAATTATTTAGAAATTCGGCAATTAAATTTTAGACTTCAAAAAAACTCTAACTTATATTGTTTGTTCAAGAATAGAATTTTCAATCATTTTTTTTTTATTCCTTCAAACCATATTGTTTATAAGACAAGAATTATAAATACCAAAATAAACAATATAAAATGCAAGTTCATAGCAGGTAAATTCATTTCACTATATAACTAAAAAAAATAGTCTATAAGTTTCTGAAACAATGACTACAAAATATAAATAAAAGCATTTGAGATTAAAAACCTTAAATTTTAAAATTTAAAGCATTTTTTTATATGGGACATCATTCTTATTATAGTTTTAAATTCAAAATATTTTTCTAGATACTAAATAAAGAAAATTTAAAGTCAAACAAAATAAATTCTGAAAAGTTCAAAAAATAATCCAAAAATTAAATTTTAACTCTTTAAAAAAAAGAGTTTATAAAAGGATAAAATTGAATTAAACAGTTATAATTAGAAGTAAGAGTAGGTAGATGTAAGTTTGTATTAGAGGATGTGTTATAAATAGATTTATTTAGAAGTTCTCAATAAGTTAAATCCATAAAGTTTTTTATTTGAAATGATGTATATATATATTTTTTAATAAATTAAATATTAAATTCAATGGAAAACAATAATGATAAATTAGTGAATGGGATCAATAAACTATAAATTTAATCTTATGGTTGAATAGTAAAGGTTAATATCAGGATTTATTGTGATGATTATAAAAATTTTATTATATTATAAAATAAAAATTTGGAATGCAAAGTAAATACATTATATATATTGATGAATAGATTATAAACTAATAACTAAGAAGGGAGAAGGAACGTTTTCAGAAGTTATAAAGGCTTAGTCAATAAAAACAAGTTAATTGGTTGCAATAAAGTGTATGAAACAAGTTTTTTAAACGATTGATCAAGTATTAAATAATTTCTAATATTGGTTAATAAATTGAAGGAGATTTAAGCATTAAGAAAGTTGTAAAACCATGATCATATAATAAAATTGATTGAAGTGTTATAGTAAATAATAAATAATAATAATATAGCGATGAACCCACAGGTAGATTAGCTTTAGTTTTTGAATTAATGGAGCAAAACCTTTATGAACATATTAAAGGTATGTAAGTTGAATGATAAAATAGGTCGTAAAGTACCATTAAAATAAGACAAAATTAGAAGTTATATGTACTAATTGTTGAAAGCAATAGATTTCATGCATACAAACAATATATTTCATCGTGATATAAAGCCGTAATAAAATATTTTGATATTTAGAGAGAATATATTACTATTAGGCGATCATCTAAAATTAGCTGACTTAGGATCTTGTAAAGGGATATATTCAAAGCATCCTTATACAGAATATATATCAACAAGATGGTATAGATCTCCTGAATGTTTAATGACTGATGGTTATTATGATAGTAAGATGGATATTTGGGGAGCAGGATGTGTATTATTTGAAATTACTGCATTATTTCCTTTGTTTCCAGGAAGTAATGAATTGGATTAAGTTCATCGGATTCATAATATTTTAGGCACTCCCAATCCTAAAGTACTTGATCGTTTTAGGAAACATGCATCTCATATGGAAATCAATTTCCCATCCAAAGTTGGAACTGGTTTAGATAATCTTATTCCTCATGCTCCTAAAGATTTAGTCGATTTAATTAAATAAATGCTCGTGTATGATCCAGAAGAAAGAATTAATTCAAAACAAGCACTAAGACATCCTTATTTTAAAGAATTACGAGATTAAGAATAATAGAAACTTTTAGAAACAAGTCTATAATCTATTAAATTACTTAAAAAACAGTATTTATTATCTATTATTTAAAAGTGATGATTCGCTTATTGAAGAGGAATAAAATACATCTCATATCTTACATAAAAAGACTTTATTCAATCAAACCAATAAAATTTTACAGAATTCGTTCAAAACCAGAAATTAATAACTTTTAGATTCTGTTAAATTACCTACACTTACAAAAAAATAAGCAGATTTGAAAAAAGCTTATGGACCTGCTCATTTTTAAAGTATTTACTTAAATTTTATATCTATAGATAAAGAAACAAAAAAAAAGTCTGTTCAATATGAATATGTGTTATATGGTAAAAAAGCAAATCTAGGTAATTTTTTAAATACTATCAGACAAAAATGAATAATATTGATCTTATATTATTTTTTAAATTATTTAATATTCAATGAGAAAAGTAACAGCTAAGGTATTAGTGGTTGGTAGCTCTGCAGTTGGAAAATCCGCCTTAATACAATTATATACAACTGGCGAAGTTAATTTTTTAAAGGATTATCAATTAGTATAAACTATATTCAATAATCATAGACTCAAATAGCTGAAATATCTACAAAATTGATTCCGTTTGAATAGGATGAAAAAGATGTTGAATTATATCTTTTTGATATAGCAGGATCAGAAATATATGAATAAGCAATTTTAAAATCCAACATAGTCAAATTTAAATAATATTATTCAAGTTGAAAGATGCCAATTATGTTTTCTTATGTTATGACATGACCAAAGAGACTACTTATGAAGCAGCTAAAGAATGGTTTGAGAGAGTAACAAAGGCTAATGGAAAGAAGTTACCGGGTGTTTTAGTTGCAATGAAATCAGATTTATAAGCCATAAGAAAAATTGAAAATAAATAAGGAATGCAATTAGCAAGTCAACTTGGATTGTAATTTTTTTCAGTGTCAACAGTTAATTATTATTTTTATAATATTAGGCACGTAATTAAGACATTGATCACCCTTTTTAGCATATAGCGTAATTGTTAATTAAATGATATTAATTATTTTAATAAATGGCTAACACATTCGAAATATTTAAATAAGAAATCAAAGAAAAAACACAAGAACAGTAAGGTAAATTATTGGAATTTGATCTTGAAAATGTTAAGATTGAGAAATTAGACAAATAGACTGCTGATCTTCTTGAAAAACAAAATCAGCTAGAATCTTTAAGTCTTGTAGAGTGCTCTTTAAAGACACTTGAAGGATTTCCAAAATTACCAAATTTATAGAATTTGGTGTTAGAAACAAATTCTTTAGATGGATAGGCAATTAAATTTATCGCCAACACCTATCCAAAATTGATGTGTTTAAGTTTAGCAGAAAATTAAATAAAAACATTCTCTGTATCTTATTATAATATCATTAGGAATTGGAGCCCATAAAGAATTTAAAAAAATTACAATAATTAGATTTATCTGATAATCCTATATCTGAATAGGCAGATTATTTTAAAAATGTGTTTGATTTAGTTCCCGGATTATAGGTTTTAGATAATAAAGATAAAAATGGAAATGATATTTAATATTCTGATGATGAAGAAGATGGAAATGGAGCAGAAGGTTCAGAAGATTCAGAAGAAGATTTAGATGATGACGATGATGATGAAGATGATGATGAAGAGGAATCAAGTCCTAAACCAGTTAAAAAAACAAAAAAATGATAAATTTTTTAAAGATTATTTTGGTTCATTAAATTTTAATTTATTTTTATTTAATAAATTATTTAAGTCATTTTTTGCCTCTTTATAATATATTTTTAAATTATTAATTTTATTATCTTAATCTGTTATTACATTTCCTGATTTTCTTTCATATAGATGTACCTACTTCATAGGTTATTTTGAAATTATTAGAAGATTGATTAGTTCTTTATGTAATTTATTATTAATATTATCATTTATATTATGAAGCTTTGTATTATTAATAATTTTATCTTGGTGGAGAAGTTTATTTAACAATATTATTTCTTCCAGGAGATGGTTTCTATTAATTTAAAGGAGATTTCTTTTTTTTAATTTGGTCTGACATATGGTTATGATGGGGATGGTTTCTTCTGAATTTGCTCTTAGTTCATTGGAGATTTAGTATAAAACTTTGGTTTTTGATAACAAGCCTATTTAACTATTATGCATTTACAGATGAATTATTTGAATTCAATCTATTAGGAACTGAATAATTCGACTTTCTACTTCCATTATAATCTATACTATTTTGAGAATAAAGTCTATCAGTCCCTTTCTTTTATGTCTATGCTTTTTTCAATCTCCTCATTTTTGCTTTTAATAACCCATTCTAATTCATTAATGAATCAGGAGTTTATACATTTGTCTTACTTTTAGAAAATGAATTCGAACCCTAAAATTCTCCATCATTTAATTTTTATAATTTATAATCAAAAAGTTCGTCTTTAAATTCTCAATTTTTGTCATCAATCTTGATTTTTCTATTTACTCCTCATTATTTAAGGCCAAAAGGATAATGATTTTTTTAAAATCAGTCTAATATGATAAAATCAAATATCTCTTATTAAATTTTGAATTTGTTGATGATATCGTAGAATTTTAACTTTAATCTTATTATTTCTATTAAATCTATTACCTATTATATAAACTATATTTCAAATTCGAGATCTTATATGTCAAAATTTCAAATAAAACCTATTAAGATTATATCATAATACATTTTCATTATTTTTTTGTATTGCAGTTTATAAAAAGAGAGAAATTTATTAAATTTATTAGATTTCCTGTCTTACGAGTAAGTTCTTCTATATTATCTATTTTATAAGTATTTTTCCAAATCTAAGGTTCTTATTTAGATTCTAATTCTGTATAACTAAGAAATGAATAATATGTTTACAGTAAATGATCACTAGCTTACATACTAATTACATATTAAATCCTTATAAAATGATATCTGTTTCTAATTATATTTTTGGATTATCTAGCATTATAATTGAAAAAAAATAATAATACACACAAAAATTTCAAAATTAGAGTTCTTGATATTTTTTAATTGTGAAAGAAGGAAATAAAGTTTACTATTTTGATTATTTTTTTTGTAATAATTATGTAAATTATATGCCTTAATTTTCACCTTTCAAAAACTCAATTAATTTTTATTTTCTTGACTTTTACTATTCCTACTTATTAGATGTTTTGTATTTTGTAGGGCTATTTTTATTAGATTAAAGTAATAATAATTCTTCATTTGTTGAATTCAAATTATCGTTTGAATTTTATGCAATACTAAGATTCTTAAATTATCTAAAGTTTTTTTTTTTGTGTTTATTATTATTTATAATGTTTTACTCTAACTATGCATGATCAACTGCTAGAGTAGATGATTAATTCGGTTCAATAATTAGTGATTTCCTATTAGTGATACTAGGTAACAAAAATTGTTGACTTATGATCATATTTTTACGTACAGAATTACTGATATTATGATATGATGCAAATCTTGAACTTTCAATTGAATTCTTTAATCTATTTGTAGGATCTTTAGAAGAGTAAGGCACAACAATAGTATTCAAAAATTACTTTAATTTGAACACTGGCTTAATTGTAGGCTTAGATCTTGAATTAGTTAACATAAATTTATTTATTATTATTATATTTAGATTAGATATAAAATATTAAAGATCAACTGGCTGAGATGACAAAATCATCTATTTAAAGGATCATTCTTACACATTCAGTTGTTTAGCTTAAAGCTATTCTAGTAATGGTTTTAAAAACTAATTCAATTATAATACCTTCTACAATATTATTCTAAATAATTATTGAAAATATTTATTTTTTTCATTCCTATTCCTGCAAATTTCTAGATAAAAAATTTTTAGATAAATTATTATCTTATTAAATCAGTTTTAATGATAAATGAATTTCAGATGCTCCACCTCCTGTGATTTATTCTTTACTATTAACAAGACTTCTAAAAACAAATGATGCATCATGAATACTTCTATCAGTTTCATCTAAAACTAATTTAATTTGATCCTCTAACTAAGATAGTTTAAGCCTTAGATTAAGTAGGTAATCAGTAATTCTTATCTTTCATCAATTGAAGTATAAATTTAATGTCTAAGATATAAATAATTATTCAAAAATACCTTAGATATAAATACAACATCTTCTCTTTCAATATCTTAAATAACCATAATACCTATCTTTGCTAAAAAGTGCAAAAATAGATCATTTACAGCATTTCTAAATATACTTCTTTAAATTAATAATATATATAGACACCTGATGCTACAAATTTTTCACAATATAAAATATCCATTTCTGTATAATCTTTAATAAAAATAAAGTTCGCTAGATCTGTTTTAGGTGCAGATAAATAAAATTATAGAAGAGCTACTTTAGCATAAAGGCCCACATTTGTTTAACTTGCTTTTTAATTAGAGAATAAAATTCCTTGAACTAATTAAGTATAATCAATAGTTCGTCTTAAATTTTAAATATTTTAATTTTTTTAAGATCGGCATTATTTGGTTTAAGAGGATCAACAATTCTTAGTGTTGGATTAACAGCAAGTGGAGCCAATTATACACTATTAGAAAAAATTAATTTTTGGTAATACTGCAGTTGAGACACATACAATCAACTATTATTTATTATCTAAATCAACAGGTTTTTCCATTCCAAAATACTTCAAATGCATTTTATAGAGTATATTAGAATCTCTCTGAAATATTTGTTGAATGGATTCCTTTCTTTAAAAGGACTTCACATGATTTTAATAATGCGCCAGCAAATACAACATCTGAAGTTGTACCATCTCCTGCCACTATATTTTATACATGTGAGATTTCAACCAACCTTTATTAATATATAATACATTACCATTTTAGCAGTTGGATGAACCAAATCTATTTGTTTAAAATTATTGCTCCATCATTTATTATCAATACTTCACCTTTTGCATCTTATATCATTTTATCCATTCCTCTTGATCCCAAACTTGTTCTTATTGTATAAGATACAGTTTTTCATATATCTTAGATTCTTACCTTTAGCTGCCTAGATATTTGTTAATCTGATATCTTTAGTTTTCTCAGACTTATTAAATTTAATATCCTTTTGAAGTTGTGCCTAAGATGCTTATGTTGGTTGACTCATATTTAAAATAAAATTGTTTTATTTAATTTCTGGAAATAAATGTACATATTAATATAATGGATCAAACTCTGTTTGGATAAAGGAATACTCTTAAAGTTGATCCAATGGCTCTTGGTGGTAGATTTCTATTAAAACGAGCAATCACTATTCCATTTGATCCATGAGATCTACTGATTCTACCCCATATTGTCTATACTCAAAAGAAAATCAATTACTCTGAATTTTGTATTGTTTTTTAGAGAGTGAGCCTTGTAAATATATGCTACTCTTTTGCCCCAATAGAATCTGCTTGATGATACATCATCTACATGTTAAATCTTTAACAATGCCTAATTCTCGTTTTATTACACTTTAGATCTTCTAAAACCTGTGAATATAGCCTTAACCCACAATCTTTTTCAAATATTCTAATATACCTAACTGGTGCTTTCTAATTAACCTTCACTTTCTTTACAGTTTTGGTTGCCCCCTTTTGTTATTGTTCAGCCTTCATTTATTAAAATCTTTGTTATTTTAATTTAAATAATTAAAATACTATAACACATGAAAACAACTACACAAAATCCCTCACATAAAGTCTCTGTACACAATCATAATCAACCATCCAATCCTAAAATTGGTAAATATCACTACGCCATGTTTTTAAGTAGTTATGGTTCACCTATTTATCTTACTCAATATAAAGTTGAATACATTTCATTGATTTGTTATTGGATTTATGTTGCATTCACTGTTGCATTTGATACTTATCCTGCTTAAAATGTTGTTACTGATAAAATATTATATGATCACAGAGTTTCTTACATAATTTATTGGGGACCTACTTATATCTATCTGGCATTAAGCGTCTTTGCAATTAGCACATTCCTTGGTAGTTTCAGAAGCCTGATATAAATCTTTGGAATATTGGTTTACATGTGGCATCTGGCATACTTCATTGTATTTTGGGCTGCTCCAAGTATAATGCTTCCAAAGGTTAGAAATTATCTTAAAAAAAGTCTGTTGATGAATTCTAAGCCAGTGCTGGATATTATTGGACAGAACTTATGCTAAATTTAATTATGATCATTATTTAATGTGGTAATACTCAAGCCACCATGAATTATCCAGCTTATCTTCAAAATTATGTAACTAAAGTTAACAATGATATCGTTGAATATTTGGCTGTTGAAGATGTTGAAGAAGTAAATCATGAAACTACACCTATTAAAGCTTAAACACCAAATCATAAGTCATAAATATAATCCCAAAAACAAATACAAGGATGAATTATTATTTTTTATTATCTTATATATAAAATTTATGGGAAACACAAACCTTTGTTGCGTAGAACAAATTGATCATCCTATAGATAAACGTTTGTTTTAATTTCAAAAAAAACTACATAAACTTAACAATTAACTTATCTCATAAGTGTAATATCAACACATAATTATTTTTCATAAGGTTTGATCATTAAGTATATAGAATATAGTTGCATAATTAATTGCAAATTGCAATGCACCAAGATTGTTGTCAATAGTTGAAAAAGATCCAGAAACAAAATTGGAATTTTATGCTAGAATCAAATAAGAAATAGACCTTAATGAATCAAATTTCTTCAATTTATTAATAGCAAATTACTTTTTACATTTCAATGAAATATTTGCAGAGGAAGAAGTGATAGATATAATTCAACAGTTTGATACTATTACTTAAATACTTAAAATAGTAATCCTATCAGGTTTCTAGTAAGATTTAAAACTCTATTTTGGCAACGATCTTGATAAACTTCCAGAATAAGAACTACTTGTTTAAAGAGTTCTCCAACATTACTTATTAGGTAAAACTTCACCAATCAAAAATAAATTTAATCAGATGCTCAATCTATATTATTAATAAATCCAGTATAATGAATTAAATTAATCAAATGTACCTGAGAAAGGAACCGTCTTAGAGTAAAATGACTTTGAAATTAATTAAGCTTTATTGCCAGTTTAAGGAGGGGATATTATTAACATTTCTAATGATAGGTAATAATTATAATAAATTATTTATTAGTTTTTTAGAATCATCAGGATATTCTATCAAATAGTAATAATAATAGTAATCCATAATTCAAATTTATAATTTAATTGAGAACGCTGAAAAGTAATTTAAATATCTTCCATATGCAACAACTTTTGATATATTGAGTTAGATGATTAAAACAACCAAACCCTGGAAGAAATTTCTTCTTATTTCAAAATTTGATAATTTAATTACTAAGACACTTTTGACCAATAGAGATCAAAATCAAATTAAAAATATGCAAGATATTCTCTTTGCTGAAGATTCTAGATCAGACATTTATTTATATATTTTGTAAACTTATCGAATTGATATAAAATAGTCATTAGTATGGATAACAATTTAAAGTTGATTTCAAAGAACACTTATTGAATGCACTTAAATTAATGTGGGAATTTGATGGATTACTTGGAAGCGATATCAAATATATATATTGTCCTTGTTTTCTTAGATTTACAAATGTCTTAGAAATGTATCTGAAAAATATGAATATATGATATATCATTTATTCATTACACATTTCATCCTACATTATTACTAAAATCAATTATAAAATTAAAATTAAATATTATGATTCAAGCCTTAACAAAAATGGACCCCATTTAATAATATTATGTCAATGATAACTATCTCAGATCTATTTCAACAAAAGAAATTAAAACAAATACTTCATATTCACCTAAAGCATTAATTTAAGGTTATTGGAAAAAAAATTACTAACCCTTTGTATAATCAAATTCATCCAATGAAGACTAAAGAGTCACTTTACCCTAAATAAATACAAGATCATTTCTAGCAAATGATTCAAAAAATGAAGAATATCAAAATGAATCAAACAATAGTTTCACTCATAACATCCATCAAGATCCTAATTTAGCTAAATATAAAATCAAACCTGCTTGTGCTAATTACTATTAGATGAGAAAAGAAAAATTTAGCATTAAAATACCTGGAAAGGTTATTAAAGGAAGCTTTTCCCATAATAAAAAAATCCAGTTTCGCACAACAACTAAAAACACTAATAAGGGTCTAAAAATTGAGCAAATTTCAATTAAATAGCCAATATAATCTAAAGCAATAGTAAAATCTTCTATTTCAAGCAACTCTTCTCTCGATAACAATATTTCTTCTCAAAAGCCTTTTTAAGAAATCCACAAAAGCCCAATAATTTAAATTATAAAACCTATTACAGCTAATCCAAAGCCTAATTCGGAAGTTTAAATAAAAAAACCCTTCATTAACACAATTTTCTTGCAACTTTAACTAATAAAAACAATGAATTCATCTATTAGTAATATTGCTCTTTTAGTCTTCGATGAACTATTAGGATTTAGTGAAACTAGTTATTATGGGTTTTAATAAGACTTTATTTAGTCTTAGCTCTTTTTAGATTATTAAAATACAAAAGATCACTATTTTTCTAAATTAATACACAATTCTACTATTTATGCATTGAAAAATTTTAAAGATCTCATATATGCTTTATCCAAAACCTTCTAATTAATCCTTCTTACAAAAAATTTATAAAATTAACTGACTGAATATGTGAATATTAATCGATTACCTATTACAGCTATTTATTAAATGAAAGATCTTAATCAATCTACTCTCAATTTAAAAGCTTTAAATTGTATGGATATTTTGAATGATCTTTAACTTAAAAAACCAAACACTATCATAATTATATAGACTTATGAAAATTTATAATATAATCCAAATTCCAATATGAAAATATAAGAATAATCAATAATCTATCCTTATGGAATAGAAAATGGTATTAATCATCTATATACACTCATTCTACCTAATTTAAGTATGTAAAACCTTTTGAAAAATGATTAAAATAAATCTCATTATCATTTATTTCATTCTATCTACTATATTGAATAATTTTGTTAAACAATCTTAATTAATTGTGTATTCGATCGTAAACCCCTTAACTTAACTAAATTTTAAAATTCTGAGTATATGAAACAATTATAGGAAAAAATTGAATTCAAAATCAATCAAATTGATAATCTTAAATCACCCCAAAATTTATAAATATAGAGATATTCAAAAAAAGAAATGATTACTAGAATTTAAGAAAAGTTTGAAAATTCATAGAAATATCAAGAATTATCATAAGATCTCGTATTAAGAAACAAATAAATAATAAAAAGAATTGGTAAATATAAATAAGAATCAATCAACTTACTTTTAAATGTTAAAGAACAATTAAAATAAGAATTTGAATTACTAAATTATTGTTAAACTCTACTTGAAAATTGTTATTATATTATATTATGATATTATATGCTACAACCAAATTAATCTATTCTAAATAACATACTTAATAAGAGATGTTAATTTTTAAAATTCTCTAAATTTTAAAATCAATTTTAATTATAAGGAGAATCAAAAATCTATGAGAAACCAAAGATGTATTCTTGTTTTATTAATTCTGAATTAAATTAGAATTAAATAATTTATTTATCATTAGTTGGATGAGTGGAATATCAAAATTACTTAATGATATCATTAAAACTAGCATAGTAATTTAATAATTTACAATGAAACTACCCAACTTAATTTAAATAATTTTTGGATTACTTGCTTAACTTTAGATGATAAGTTATTTAGAATAACCTTGTTTTTCAACTTAAAAATCTTTTACCATAATTTTACATTTTACAAGACCTCACATATATATTTATACTTTAGGAAATTATGAAATTTACTTTATAGCTTTATTTATTTTAATTCAAATAGTAATTATAATATGGGTATATTATTGCATTGCTTTTAACACATCAGAATAGAAAAATATAATCAATGAAATATCATTTGGTCAAATGAACTCTAATAAAACTCAAATAATTATTTCAATCATTTCATTCTTTTTATTTCTCAATAAAGCCTATTTAGGCCATAATATAATCGAATTTTGTATGTTGCTACTTACTTAGAAAGAATAGAGTTCAGTTATATTAATTATAATTAGCATTCTACTAATTCTTTAAATAAGTATCATATTATTTATATAGTGGTAATTCTTAAATAGAAGCATTAAATTTATACCAAAATTATAGTATTTAACTATCAACCAATCATATACAAACATAATAAATTTATACTTAAAATTACTTTAATTAATAAATTATGCTTTCTTAGAGAATACCGAAGCTGCTAAAATTGCTTAAGCAATATTAATTATCATAAATTTTATGCATAAATTTTGGTAAATCAGATTTAACAATATTTATATGAGAAATTCATATTTATTTGTAATAATTATAATAGGTAGTCTTGGATCATTAATGGCATTTTTATAATTATTGGAGTGTATTTTTACTCAATTTACAATTAGATTATGGATTCCATTAGCTCCAATTAGTCTATTTATTATAAAAAATCTATTAGATAGAAATCTTCATGAAATGATTATTAATAAAAATTTTGATGAATTGAAAATTAGTGAATTGTAATACGTTTCATGTATTATTTATAATGGAATAGATACTAAAAATTTCTACAATTAAATCTTTCTTTTTTAATATATTTAAAATTTTTATTAGAAAAATGAGATTTCTTTTTCATATGAGTAGTTGTTATCTCAAAAATTTTATGATATGATTAGATTGCATATGCTATAGTAAGTATTGAAATAGTTAGAAAAACTATCAGATAAAATTAGAAATCCTTTTTATTTAGTTTAAATTTACATTAATTATGTTTAAACATTAATTATTCTTGATAAATATGTTGACGCATAACATATTATTGAGTAGTTATTTAGATATAAAAGCAATATTGCTTCATTTATGACTTCAAGGACATGTAAATTAACAATAAGAGTTGAACTTAGCAAATCATAATAAACATTTTTAAAAATATTAGAATATAAAATAATATCAATGATGTAAACTAAAATGATACAGTAAATATCTAAATCAAAGTCGAATTAATAAACTATTTCTATGGCAATGCGATAATTATGTATTATAAATTCAAATACTCTTGATGTATAATCAATGTTTATCAATGTCTTAAATTTAAAGATAGAATTTTTTAAAATTATAATAAACGACAAATTTCAGTCGAGTTAATTTAATTGTAAGGTACAAAAGATTCTAAGTGAAATAAATAATTTTCTTAGTAAATTGAAACAAAATTATGAACTGTTTCCAAGTATATATAATATATACCTATATAGCAATATCAAATTAGAGTGTTTTAATAATATATTAAGTTGAAATTTTGAATAATATTTTAGATGCATATAATTTAAGTTAGACAATAGCATTAGATGAAGATATAATATTAAAACATAATTAATCTGAATTATTCAATTTTTTTAATTAAAGTTTTAATTATATCTTATTTAAGATAATAGATGTATAGAATATTATAATTGAATATCATTCAATAACATAGGGTTAAAATTTTTAAATTAAAGAAGGTGATTAATTATAATCTTTAATACCAGTGTCACTCATAAAATAGCATTAAATTTTAGTTGAAAACTTTTTGGAAACAGGATAAAATAGATTTTTTTAATAAATTGATGAAACTTACATTAAGATTCGATAAGGCATTATATAACCAATAGATATTTGTATGGATTTGAATCATAAGAATTCATAAAATATTGAGATTACAACAGTGTATAGATTACCTTAAAGTGATAAACATATGATATTTGTAGATTCTAATTTTCGACTTTAAGAAATTAGTCATAATTTGTTTTATAGTGGTTTAAATTTATCTGAAAACTATTTAGATCATATTATTGGTATTCATATTAATAAAGTAATACCTTAATTTAAGAAATATATAGATGATAACAATTATGATATCAAGATCTGTCCAATTAATTTTATAAATTGTTAAGAAGAAACTGATTAAAAAGGAAAAATAAAAACTTATAATTGTCTTGATGAAATTGAAAATATTTCATTATACTCATGTCATTTATTGATTTAAAAAAGATATTTTTAAGAAAATTAATATATTTTTGTATTAAGAATAGATAATCTAAAATTAGATAAAGTTAATTCATGTACACAATTTAGATTCTTGTAAACTTCTGAACCTATTTAAGATATTGATGAATAAATAGAAATCAATTTACCTGATCCAGAGGAAGAATTTTAAAAATAATAAATGGTATTGAATACTGAACGTTAAGAAGAATTATAAATAGATTTATTATAAGACAATAATGATTTCTAATTTATTCCAGAGAGAAAGTAAACTGAAACTTCCTTTCCTCGGTTTAGCAATAAAATCAACAGAAAATTGGAAGATTTTACAAATCTATCGAGCATTGCTAAAATAAAGAGATCACCTTACTATTAAAAATTTAAATAAGTTTCCTTTATCCTGAATTCCAAGAATCAATCCAAGAATTGGATAGCATTTAATATTCTTTATTTAATTTATATTCTCGTAATAATAATTTCTTCAATAACTATCTTAAATCAAACCTATTATTTTAAAAAATTGATATCTCATTTAGATTTACTTTCCATCAAGAATGAAGTTTATTAACCAATTAACTCTTTTTTAGTCACAAGGTACACAATTGTAACTTATAATTAATTACTCAACCTATAAGCAATAGATGAAATAGAACATATAAAATTAACTTAATTTCCAAAATCAAATTTATTATCAGGATATGACCTTTTAAAAAAGAGTATTACTAAAGTATTATATATACCTGAATTTTAACCATTTTTAGAAGAGAATTATTTAACACTATCTTTATATGTAAAAAATAACACTGGAGTAAATTATAATTTAAGCTTTCGAGAATCAATACATTTGCTTTTAAATTATTAATATGAATATAAATTGGCATATACTGTTAAACCATTACAAACAGATGGACCTTATTCTTATTACTCTTACAAGAATTTTCTAACATTATATAAAAAGTTTGTGGATCTTGAATAATATACTTTAGAATAAACATTAGTTTATTCAAATGAATAGATAAATATCATTAGACTTTATGTTATATTATTTGGAGTTATCTCATTTGTTTTGATTATGATAAAAATATACAATTTAAAGTAAATTCGAAATAACAAAAATAAAATTTTGACTACATTAAAAAATCAAGATTTACATCAGGTTGAATTAGAAATACTAAGATTGAAATAGATAACTTTGAAAATGTAAAATAATAGATAAATAATCTATGGATATTCTATAGATTTAGATAATATTGACAAATCATTAAAAAAAAAATAATCGAATTTTAAATAGCATTAAATAAACAATAAAAAATAGATGAATTTAAATATATTTAGATAATCATTTATTATTCTATTGCATTATTTACTTTATTTTTCATTAAGTTTAAGCTTTTATTTGGTTACATATAACGAGATAACATATTATTAGAATGTAGCAAAATTTTATTAAAAAATTTCAGATGCTAGTGTAAATGTTTTGGTATTGTATGCTTGGAAAGAAGCTTTATATTTTAAAGCTACATTTACATTTTTTACATCTTCTGAAATTAAAGATCTATATTTACATGTGGAAGAGAACTTAGATGCTTTAAAAGAGTTTAATTAAAATTTACTTGAATTAGATAAGATTTATGAAATATTTGGATCATCTAATAAAATAGTAGAATAAATAACTTAAATTTCAGTTTGTGATAATTTAAGCGAAGTATTAAAAATTAAAAATATTATTCTAGGATTAGAAGAATAAAGCCTATTAGATTTGTGATAAGGTAATGTAGGGAGTATTAAAAGGAGGACTTTTAAATGCATTAAATTATGTGATCAATAGTATTTCTAATGAATATGCATTAAGTCATTTTGATGTTAGATAAACATTAGAAAAATTAGAATTAGAAGGGTCAACTCTATTATCAGATGTTCTGTCTAAATTTTCTGAAATAATAAAAGAAGAACTTTAATTCTAAACAAATGAATTACAATATGTTGTCTATGTAAATAAATATAATAAGATTTAGATTATTGTTTCATTATATTTACTATTTGAAATTGGAAGTGTATATTGTTTAAGATTGATATCAAAATCAGAATTAAATAAAATGATTCTTTTATAAAAGTTCATATATTTAATTCCATAAGGGACATTATATTTTGATGAATAGTTTTAGAGAGAAATCAAAAGATTAATGTTAAATGGTTAAATAATTTGAAATTGAATTACATATTTTATGATTTAATATGATATTATAAATCATAATAACATTTTAAAGATCTCTTGATTTGGTTATAGAATTCTATGTGTAATTTTTAATTCTTCCATTTTATTTTTAATAGCTTCAAAATCTTAAGCTTTTTTAACTTTCACACCGACTAAAGCAGGACCTTTTTCTCTGTTATTTTTTCTGGTATATTCCAGATTTGTAATTTCATCAGTAGGTCCTAAAATAATAAAATTTAAATAGAAGTACCTAAACATTAAATAATAAATTATTTTAATGCTCCTGGTTTTTAAAAGAAATTAACAAACATATAATATTATAAACCTTAATGAATCTCTGAAAGCATTCTAATATCAGTCATTCTTCCTAAATCATTATTACTACCAGAAATAAGACAAACAACAGTTTTGCCTCTAATTTAGTCTTTAAATCTATCTAAAGCAGATATTGCAAGTGCACCTGCAGGTTCAACAAGAATACCTTCTTCATTAAATAATTTCATCATCGTTGTACAAACATGTCCTTCAGGTACTAATACAACATCTTTTAACACAGAATTTAAAATTTCAAATGGTATTGCTCCTGATTTTTTAATAGCAGCACCATCAACAAAAGTATTAATAGTATCTAATTCAACAACTTATTATTATTTAATTGCTTCATACATAGAAGGCGAACTAGATTAATAATATATATATATATAAATTACCCTTCTGGTTCAACACCTATTAATATTGATTCAGGCATAACTTATTTAAAATATGATGATATTCCTGCTCCACATCCTCCACCTCCAACAGGAAAGAATACAAAATCAATTTTATTCTCTTAAATATCTTCTAATATTTCTACAGCAATTGTTCCTTAACCTTCGATAATTTTTTCATCATCAAATGCATGTACATATATTCCATTTTCATTATTACATTTCTCTTTACTTGCTCTAAAACTCTCATCAAAAGTATCTCCTACTAACTCTATTTTAACATACTATTTTCCCCATGATCTTTTTTTATTATTTAATCATATATACTTAACAGCATTAACTTTAATACTTGGTGCATTTGTTGGCATATATATTATACAATTTATTTTTAATAGATTACAAACATATGCAACACCTTATGCATGATTACCAGCACTAGAACAAAATACTGTACGATGTCTTTCACTCTCTGGTATTGATATTATTTTATTATAAGCACCTCTTAATTTATAACTTCTAACTATTTGTAAATCTTCCTAAATTTATATATTTTTTATTTACTCGTTTTATATAAATATTAGCTCCAAATTATTCTGATAATTTTATTGATTTTTAAGTAGGTGTTCTTGTTATTACATTCTTAACTCTTTTGTAAGCTCCAAATATATTAGAAACAGGAATCAATTTCTATATATTAGGTGGATGATTATAAGTTAACACATCCACTTCAATAGTCTCTTTTGTTGTACTTTCCTCTTGTTTACATGATTTATTAACATTATGTGCAGTAGGTTTTTTATCTGGAGTTAACAATGAATCGTTGCCCGCTAGATTTAAAGATGAATGAGCTTTTTTAGAAATTTGCATCTTGATATATATTTAATTATGACGTATTTACAATATTAAAGCAGTTATTAATATACAATATTTAATTTGACTCATTTTTTTATTACTAATCATTTAAATCAACTATATTAATCAGCTATAGATATTTATTCAGATTTAGTACTCTCATCTTATTCCTCATCAATCTTTCTGTAATTAATATTCACAATGTTATTTAATAAATTTAAAAACATTTATTCCACTCTTATTTATTGATTATATCAATTGATTAGGAAACTCTTTGTATAATTATTATCCAATAAACCTAAAAAATTTACATTTTTACTTTATTTTTCAATCAATTATTAAATTATTATCGAATTTATCCTGTTTTATTATTGAATCTTTTTCTTTTAATCTATTTTCAGCTATTATATTTATATTTATAGATTTAGCAACTGAATAATTTAATTCCCTTTCAATATTTATGGGTAAATTTTTAATGCAAATCCTAACATCTGTCTCTTCTTTATGAGATAAGAATTTATAAATATTTTCATTTTTAATTAGACATTTAGAAATACTTAAGAAATATAGGAATATCTTGCATTCAATTATTCCTATTTTAAAAATGCATATTTACTTTAATAATAGAATTACATTTACTCAACAATGTTCTGAGCTTGTTTGTATATTTAATATTTATCTTCTTAATTTTAAAAATTAAGTCATTGAAGAAAGATTCTAACTTTTTTCGATTTATTCTGTAGTAAAATAAATCATATAAATTTAATTAGAATCTTAAACGCTAAAACAATTATTTAATTTTATAATTGAAAATCATTTTTTATATTATTAACGATCATTTAGAACTTAATTCAATTAAATATTGATTGATCCTTCTTATATCAAAAAAGATTCAAGATTAAGATTCATTCTGTTTTTTTCCTAAATAGAAATAGACGTTATAGCAATTAATTTATATCTGATAGAAAAATAATCAATATGTGTAATTTGTATTTTATAGTAATAAATATAAAGTTAATGAAACATTATAATAAATTTATTCAATATGTAAAAAGAATTTATAGATAATTGATACATTATATATTTTTTCTTTATAAATTATTTATATGCAATAAAGTAAGTTCAGAACAGTATCACCAATGCAATGCTAATATATTTCAACTCCGTCTAATTGTTCTGTAAGTGGAGCTTTAAAAAGAGGTAAAAACCTAAAAACTCAATCACCTTATTCTTCATAAAACAAGGAGAGTATTGTCAATATACCTTAAGGAGAAGTTGATAAAAACAAAAATAGATGCAAGGAAATTAGTATTGAAGTAGCAAAATTTTTATAATAAATCAATAAAAATGAAAGTAACTTTCCATCCATGTATTCCTCTATTGTTGGAATTGATAATAAAAATCCTGATGATTGTTAAGAGGAATAACAATAAAAATTATAGTCTTAAAATTAATCGTACTAAAAATAAAGTGAAATAAAACAATAAGAGATTGAACAATGGAAATAAAAATATGAAATAGCAGCAAAGTAATTAAATGAAATGAGAAGTAAATATGATGAAGATATAAAAATATTAAGTTAGGAAATACAAGCAGTTAATGATCGAATTACGTCATGTGAATAATAAAGAAACTATAGTTTCTTTGAATAGAAAGCAACAGGTGATAATTTAACTAATATGAGCATTTAGACATTTTAAAGATCATTAAATGATAATGATAATTAGATTGAATAAAATAAACTATTAGATGAAATCTCTGAAAAAAACTCAATCATTAAAAATCTGAATTTTGCTTTAGAGAAAATGAAAATAGAAATCTCTGAAGCTTAACTCAAATCTAATGGAGAAATAGAATAGCTAAATAATAAAATTAGTTAGATATAGGTTGAACATCAGGCTCAAATTTAACAATAAAAGATAAAAATGGAATTTTATTAAGATTCATAAATTTAGAATATGAAAATAGCATACAATAATTAAATTGAAATATTAAAAGAAGAAATTACGCAATTAAAATGCTTGATTGAAATAAAAAATCAAGAAATATAGACTATAAATAACCAAAATTAAAGATTAAAATACTCAAATGATTAAAATAATATTTTGTTAAAATAAGAAAATGAAGCATTAAAAAATCAATTAAATAAAAAAGAATAATAATATTTGGAAGATATCAATTAAACTAAGTCTAATTATTTTGCAATGCTAAAAAATGAGATAGATTCAATTAAATAAAGTTCCTAATAGCAAATATCTGTGTTAGAATGTGAAATCAAAAATCTAAAAGAATTTTTATCAGCTAATAATTCAGAATAATAATAATTAATGCTAGATCGATTACGTTAGAGAGAATATTACGAAATAGAAAACTAAAAATTGAATAGTATAATTGAAGATTAAAAAAAACTATTGTTATGCTAAATATAACAATCAGAAAGTATTAATAATGAATCAATTAAGAAAATCTAGGAAATTCAATTGTAATGCCAATTATTACTTGAGGAAACAAATCAAAAGATGGAATAAATAAATAGAGAGAATTTATTCTTAAAAAATTAAATTCTACAAAAAGATAATGAGATTAATAATTTTGAGAATATTTACAAAAAATTAAATAATTATGAAGAGAATCTATTAAAACTTGAAGAAGAGAACTCAATTATTTTAAATCATTACGAGTAATAAGATAGATAAAAATAAAAAGAAAAAGAATAATAAATATATTAATTATAAAGAAATTTTGAAGGTTAATTGAAGTAATATGATTTTCAGTTATAAAATTTAATTAATGAGAAATTATAATATATGTAAATGTTGGAAATAAAAAATTAGGAATGCATTGATTTGAGTTTGGAGGTGAAGAATTTATAATTGCAATAATAAAATATAAGAATTGATAATGAATTATTATACAGTAAATTAATAACATTAAGTAACACATAAGAGTCTAATAGAATATTGAATGATCCACCAAATTATACAGCATAATTTAAAAGAATGTCAGAGTAGATATCTTTGTTGCAAAATGAATTAATGATAAAGAATAAAGAACTGACGAATATTATAGATAAATATTAGTAAATAGAGTAGATGGCATGTAAAAATTAGATCAAACAAAATGATTAGAATTTGAATGATTTAATGAGAAAATAAATTAGAAAAAGTAGTCAAGTATTGAATTAATGACTAAATACTATTATAAAATATTTTTTAATTATAAATCAAATATTTTAAAAATGAATAAGATTAATTGATGGAAATTGAATATATTTCATTGAATTAAATTGATTTCTATTAGTTCTTGCTGAGAACCATAAACTTGAAAGCCTGGAATAAAGATATTGAATACTTTAATTATTTTGTAATGGTAGTTATTACATTTTTTAAACCTCTTAATGACTTTTGAGTAGTCCTTATTCTACCTTTTCTTGAATAATAACAGGTTATCCTCCTCTACGAAAGGTTGGTCTTAATCCTTGAACTTCAAAAACAATGGCTAGATTTTATTATTCTAAGAGTTTAAGTTTGCTGTCATTCATGTATCGTAGTGATCGATTTTCTAGGATAATAAAATAGAAATACATGAGGATTATAATATGAGAACAAAATCTCTAACAATGGTATAGAAATAATATTCAATAAGATTCCAAATGATAGAAGTGATGATTAAAGCAACAAATATATCAAGTACACAGTACTGTGATTTTGCTTCTTTTTAATCCTAAATATTAGAGTTATTACATCTTTAAAAATGAGTGTACAATTGATAATGGGAACAATTAATCTGTCAAGTACATTAAAACAAATGCTCAAGACTTTCAATTTTCTATAGATAAAGATGGGTTTTTTGTTTTGTTGTTTTAAAGCTCTCATATTAATGTAGAGAGCAATGGAGGATTGAAATACAATGATGATGATATCCATGATAGATATAATAAGAGAAAGGGATGAGTCTTTTTAAAACATGAATGCACATGCTAGAGTTCCTAGAAATAATAAGGATAGTAGGTTAAACCCCAAATGATTCTGCTAATATCTAGATAGACAATTATAAGAAACGCTTTTTGAGTTGGCAAACAACAACACTTTTGTTGCATGGTAAGAAGATGGTATATTTTTTTACAAATATAATAATAATAATAATAATATCTATGCTTTGATATATTTTATATTTTGGAATAGATCATGCTCCTTTGAGTTATGATTTGACATAGTCTTGGAATCTTGGTTGATTGAGCAAATCTAAAGCTTAATTGGCAGCATTAATTTCCTTATTGTATTCAGCAACGGTGGCATTATAAACGTCGGTAGCAAAGGCATAGTCATCATTTTCAGCTTATAATTATCCATTAAGGGTAGCTAAATCAGCATCAAGTTCATCAATTAATTCAAGAGTTTATTCTTATTTGGCTATAAATTGTTAGAATGGAAATAGATACTTGTATTAGCTTCGATTTCAGCATTCTTAACAACAACAGCTCTTTAGAATTCAGCATGTTCTTAGTTCAATTAAATAACTTAGGCATTGAATTCAGCAACTTAATCAGCTTCATCAGCTGTGATTTAATTAAGTGAATCAACTAATTCAACTCTCAAGTTATTGAAAGCAACAACAATCTATTTAATTATATTATTAAATAATTACATCTCTAAGAGCACCTTAGTCAGCAAAGTTGGAGTCAACTGTGATTTCTAATAAAACTTTAACGAAGATTTGGAATTAGTTGTGCTTTTTCAAAGAGCTTTAGATTTTAGCCAAATTCTTTTAGACTTTCTTGATTTAAGCAAGAGATGGGGCTTCTAAAGTGCTTAATAATTATAAGCATTCATCAATAGCAGAAATAGCATCATTATGTTCAGCAACTTAAGCTTCAAATGTTTCATGATCATTGGCTCTTTAGACTGTAGCTTATTCAAGTGTTCTTCTGTTATTTGCAATGTTTTCTTATAATTATTCAAGTTAGGCAGCAAATCTTTCTCCTTATGGGATGAGGACGTTATCAAAGAAATCGTGAGCATTGAACAATTCTAATTAAATATTAAAACATATATAAAGTACCTCTTTCTTTATCTTAGATTTCTTATTCAAGTCTGGCAACTTCTCTGTTGTGAACATCTGTTCTTCTATTGAATTCATGATGAACTCCGGCTAATTCCTCTTCCAATTCACCAATCTATTAACATAATAACTCATTATATATACGAGTTTCTCAATCTCAGAGTTGAGTTCAGATAAGATACCACCTGTTGTTAAATGGAGTTCAGCAAAGTTCAAGATGAATTTACCCCAACCAGATTAGTGAATCTAAGCAAAAGCTTTTTAGTCTTTGCTTGTCCAAATTGAGGATTAGACATTAATGGCTGTTGAGGCTAGTACTAACAATGCACACACGGCAACTTTGAACATTTATTGTTATTAATAATGAATTCCATCTAAGCATTATTTTGCTAAAAAAAGGCAAAAACGAATTTTTCTTTTTATATATTAATTAATATATATTTCATATACTTTTTTTTTTCTTCTTATATTACACTACTTATACTACCTATTCTTTATATATAATCATATCTATTCATTCAAAACAATCATAATTATCTTATTTTCTCTATTACTTTTTTTATTCCATTCTAATCAATCGATTAAATTCTCTAAATTCTATCCTTCTTACTCTCTTCCTAAAACTATTGTCTCAATATCAATTCAAATTTACATATCCGCTTATGCTATTTCCATTTCCACTAACATAAACACCATACCCATCTATTATTCCATTTCTAAATTCCCCTTCATAATAACTTTAATCATTCCAAATAAACGTTCCCTTTCCGTTTATTTTATTTCTATTCATCTCTCCTTCATATCTTTTAATATTATCTCATTCTTACTTGCACCCATCTTTATAATATAAAATCCCTCTCCCACTTTTCTAACCATCCTTAAATTATCCATAATATTTCAAACCATCATTTCTTATTTCTTAACCTTCTCCATTTAGTACATTATTTATCCATAAACCTTTCATCATTTTATCTATTTACCTTTTACTACCTTACTCTTACTTTAGAACACTCCAAACCCGTTAGCCTTTCCAAATTTAAAATCACATTCAAAACTATTCAATTAATTATCTCTTTACATATCACCATTCGAATAAATCATTCTACTAAATCCATTTAACTCATTATTCACCCAAATTCTATTTTTTATAAATTATTAACTTTTACCCATCTAGTATATTTCCTACTTCAAACCATACCAGTATTCCAGGACCACTTTTTTACTCATTTTCAACTACACCAAAATAACAACTTTCATCATCGAAATTTCTAATCTCATATTTTTCATTTATTTCATAAACAGGACCCAAATCATTATACAATTATCTTATTTTTTTTGATTACATTTTCTTTAAGACTTCCTAATACCTTATATCTACTTATGGACTATTCATTATAGATTAAGAAATTTCATCATTAGCTTGATAATGTATTAAATGGATGAATTACTATCATTCGAGAAGTTATTGGATATTTTGTCGATTTGAGTAAACTTTTCCTGATTTTACATGCAACTAGATTCGTCAATTTTGAAGAATTAAATATTGAAAATTCATCCAATAAGGAATTATTGAAATAATAAGAACTTTCAGTTTCCATAATTTAATAATGACAAGAAATGTCTCGCATAATTATTTTTCACTCTAATCCTTACACATTTACTAAAGAACACTATTGACAATAATGATAAATTAATAATTTTGAACTAAATTAAATAATTATTTTATATCATTTCCTTTTCCAAATTTAAGGAAACCAATTACTATTTTCTTTCATTTCTTGCAAATTACTGTTCACATCATTCAATTTTAATTTTACTTTATCCACTTCACTTTTACATTCATTTATAATAGTCCAAACAACTGCTCCCTTATCTATTTTTACTTTAAAAAGTTACCTTTCTAATTTTAATTTTATTACTCTACCATCTATTTCAATTAATGGAATTTTGTTTCAACAAGATCACGGGTTTATGTTTCAACATCTAATTTATTGCATAAATTTATTACTTAACCATATTTAATCATGCATTCTTTTTTCAATCGATTTTAAATCAATATCAAATTAATTTTTTCTTTAGTTCTCTTTTAAGTCTTTCCTTAATTATCATTATAAATTATTGATTACTATTAATCAAAAAGCATGTTTATCAATGAATCATGATACTGTGTTTTTTTATTCACTTCTTCCTTCACATTTTTGATTTTATTTTTCAAGGTTTTAATTTAATCTTCAAAGAGAAATTAATCATTAAAATCAGAAAAGGAACTATTTTTTGATAAAACGAGTGTTTATTTAATGGTACTATCTTAACTTCCAATAGTGTATTATTTTTATTTCATTTATTATAGTTCATTCTATAAATGGTGAAGTTGATTTTGAAACTAGGAATATACAGTATAATAAAACATCAAACAAATGCTTATGAATTAAATGTTCCACTATTAATTAAATTTGCTTAGATAATTCTTCCATAAGAGCGCTCTTTTAAAATTCCTTTTCAATTATCTCTTATGTAAAATCTCGTTATTCTTCATTCATTGAAATAGATGATCTTTATCTATGTAATGACTTTGATTTTTTCATATACTATTTTATGAATAGTGATATTTACATTATCTACTAATTTTTCTACATTGCTTTATAGATCTTATTCATTTATACTCATTATTATTTATATATAATATATAAGGCATCTTAGATAAAGTTAATTTATAAAAAATTTCATAATTTAATCAGTTGGATGGCACGCTATGCTAAAAAACCAATAAACAAATATCCTCAACCAGCAGATGCCAATAGAAGAGTGTAAACAGAAGCAGCTGATATAGATGATATAGATCTCTAATAAGCAATATTAAAATTCAAAAATCTATAAGAGAAACAAAAAACTCCATTAAAAAATTAAAGAACTAAAAGTAAATCTCCAGCCCCACAATAAAGCAATTAACCTATTGATTATTCATAATTTACCTTCACTAGCTTAAAAGTAATTGGGCAAGGATCCTTTGGAATAGTATACAAAGCAAAAGTGAATGAGACAGGGGAAATAGTTGCAGTGAAAAAAGTGATCTAAGATAAGAGATATAAAAATAGAGAAATATAAATCCTTCAAGAATTGGATCATCCAAATATTGTTGAAACAAAACATGCTTATTTTACATATGGAGATTCTCCTGATGAATAATATCTAAATGTTATTATGGACTATTAGCCTGAAACTCTCCATTCATTCAATGCTTAATTTTTGAAGTAGCAATAATTATTACCAGAAATATAAGCTAAGCTATACTCATATTAGTTATTACGTGGCATAGCCTATGTTCATACAAGAGGTATTTGCCATAGAGACATCAAACCACATAATGTTTTGGTAAATCCAGATACAAATGTACTTAAAATCTGTGATTTTGGAAGTGCTAAAAAGTTATCGCCATTAGAACCTAATATTGCTTACATTTGTTCAAGATGTTACAGAGCTCCTGAACTATTATTTGGAGCTACTAATTATACTACTCAAGTTGATTTGTGGTCTGTTGGTTGTATCATTGGTGAAATGTTTAATGGATTACCTTTATTTCTAGGAGCATCAGCAGTAGATTAATTAGTTGAAATTATCAAAATACTAGGATCTCCTAGTAAGGAAGAAGTTCTATCTATGAATGAATTATATGATATCAAACAATATAAAATTGTTTAAATTAGAAAAAAAGATTGGAGAAAAGTATTTTAAACTGTAGTCGATCCTGCTGCTATAGATTTAATTAGTAAAATACTTACTTATTGTCCTAAAACAAGATTGACTGCAATACAAGCATTAACACATTCATATTTTGATGATCTTAGAGATGAATCTACTTTCAGGATGTACCAATCTAAAATTTAAATTCCTGATTTATTTGATTTCACAAAAGAAGAACTTTCAAATAATCAATCATTAGCTAATAAATTAATTCCAAAATGGTACTAAAAAAGAAATAAATGTTGATTATTTTTATTCATTATAATGAAATATTATTTTCATACTCCATTTATATCCAAAAATATGAGACTAAAAATTTTATATTATATAATTTCAAATTTGAGAAATATTTTTCATTTTTGGTAAATGTGTTGTTTCTGAATTCCCTCTTCTTTCTCTAGTTCTTTTAACGACTATTCCAACTGTTGAGAAGATATCTCTATTATAAACTAAAAAAGTCTTACTTTACTTTAGCTTTACTGCCTTTCAGCTTTGTAGTATTATTCTAAGCAGAGGGGACTTCTTTACCCCAAGCTGTATTTTTATAAAGTGAAATATTATATTGATCAGTAGGAGATTTTATCATACGCATATCTTTAGTATTATTATTATTTTATTTATTTATAGGGATAAGATATTATTCCTTATCTTCGAAAATAACTTAAGCAACCTATTCATAAATTTACATCGAATTAATTCTAATGAATGATATTTATATGTATTTATACTTTATATTTCCATCACTTGTAACACTTGGCTAACTTAATCTACGAATTCTATTCAGAATTTATTTTTTATCATGATCATTAATAGCATCTTTAATTTAAGCATCTTCTGCTTTAACTACTTATGCTGATGATTGATTATGAGAAGCATTAATTTACTGAGTCAATGAAAGATATTCATTTCTAACCATTCTTAAAGCAGGATCATTCATCATATCTAGATTGATTGGCTAATCTTTTGGCCCTTCTCTAACTCTACCTTCTTAAATTATAAGCACTCCTGATTATAAATGCATATTCTCATTAACAAGAGGAGCAAGATTTTAAAATTTAATTTGATCTTTCGTATCTCTTTCCCTATCTTTATCGTCTTCTTGCTTCTTTTTTATTTGTGAACTTGAATTCTAAAATAAACTTCTTCTTTTATTTAACATGTTTATTTTAGTTTGACCATCTTCAAATTTAGATCTCTCAATTAATAATTTAAATACCCTAATGTTGCAGCTGGAGGTGGAAATTTATGGTTTTTCAAAGCCACAACAGAAATTAATTTTCCATCATAATCATAAGTGTATAACTTTGATTTTTTATCTTTAGAAATGAGCTCATATTTCAATTATTATTCTTCCATTTCCTTTTATTTCCTTTTTCTCTCTTGTTCTTTTATATCTTATTTAATTTTATAATCTCTTTCCTTTTAAGTTCTTAATAGTTCTTCTGTCAAACTTATATCTAAAGGATCATTAAGATCAACAATTCCAGGTAATTTTTCTTTATCTCTTACATTTTTTTAATTATTCAATTATGCTTAATCCTTAAAATATAGGAATAATTTTTCAATACTTAAATTAAGACTCTAGATCTCATAAAAGTTTAGGCAGTTAAAGATTAGCGATTAGAATTTGTGCTTTATTATTCAACTTCTTAAATCTTGGCAGGTAGTAGATTAATTTTTTATACAAGCCATTACTCCTATTGAAATCTAACCTATTAATTAAAAACTTTGAATACAGGTTCCTCATCCTCCTCTAATCCTCCAGTATAATAATCATATGTTGGATCTTCATGTTATCGAAAATATTATTGAATGGGATGTGTCATTCTAATTATGGAAGATTAGTAGCCAATGATAGGTAGCATTTTAATTTGTTCATTTTCAGTAATTTTTTTTGAGACTATTGTAATTATCTTTTTAATGAAATCTCGAATAAAAAGCTCTCCTTCCACTAAGTTACATTATGATTGAATTGGATCCAATGGTAGATAAAATGAATGAAAATTGAGTTTGCCCATATCAACTTCAATCAATTCGCTATCAGATTGTGTATCCAATTTCTCAGTCGGATAAGAACGAATTGATGATAATTCCCCATACGAACTTCTTTATAATTAACTTTTCATATAAATATTTTAACAGATTAATTCATTGAATACGTTTTTAGTTTGAGATGTTAGTGTAAAATTATGTATGTTTTGTAGGATGAGTATGTATAAATGTATGTTAATTAAATAATAATTAGTGATATTTGCAATTTTAAAACGAAGAATTTTTATTCCGTTTTTGGCATTAATAAATTAATTATGAGAACTCTTGTTGCCCTTTGCTTAGTGGCTGCCGTCTTCGCTATTGATACAAACAAATTTGCTGTGCTCCTCCAAGCCGGTACTAAAGGAAATGATGCTGTTGAATCAGTTTACAACCTCTTGAGAGATTTGAAGACAGAAAATGTTAATGTCTAAGCTGCTGCCGACAGAAAGAATAACACTGATGAAGGTATTGTGTAAATTTAGACTTAGAAATCTTTACTTAGGTCATTGGTGACTTGACAAATGTTGCCTCCCTTAACAAATAATAATGGGAAGCATTAGGAGCTGTTCGTACTGATGTTGAAGCCCAAATCAGAGTATTCTATTTTCCCTTAAAATTTAGGATGGATATTCATGGTTAGCATGGGCTGAAGCAAGACTTGCTGAAATCGAAAGAAGAAATGCTTAACTCTAAGACTAAAGATGTTGGGCTAATGGACTCTTTGTTAGATCATTAGCTGATCATGCTGATGCAGTTGCAGTTGTCTAACTCTTGCAACAAGATGTAGCTGGATGGCTCACAAACAATGCTGGTGTTGAATTAGTTCAAAAGGCTGAAACCATCGCCGACAAATTGTCAGCATACAGTCACCTCTTCTAATAAGATGCCCTCTAGAAATTCTAATCCCTTGCTGAAGTCAAGAGAGATGGCACAACTGGAGAACAAGTCCTTTCCATCTTATCAGACTTATAAGCTGAATTGGAAGCAACACTTGCTACACTCTAAGAATAAGAAATCCATGCTGCCTTTGCTCTTGCCAAATACGTTTCTGATACTAATGCTGAAGTTGCTTGGTTGAACTCTGAACACGAAAGAAGAACAGGCCTTGTTGAAAAATTAGAAACTGTATGCATACATAAATTAATTTCATTAGTAACTCCCTGCAGTTCTTGCTTAATAAGCTAAAGCACTCAAATTATGGAAAGATTCATTGAATGCAGTTGCTGGTGCCACCGCTGATTTAGAAGAAAAAAGAGAATTCTATGCTTCTGAAACTGCAAGAAGATAAGGTATCTCATCTCATTTAATATATACTAGAGGAAAACGCCATCATCGATGTTGTCATCTAATTATTCAAGGATCAAGTTAGAGCCTTAGCCTCATAAACATCCCTTGGTAGAAAATGATTAGATTATAAAATATTCAATTTAAAAATATCCACCAAGTTAAACAATTCATCATCTTATTAATTTCAACAAGTCAAAACCATTTAATATTTTTACTTCATTCATTAATCTACATAATTCTCAATATTCTAATCCAATTAATAATCCTTTTCTTTTTCTTAAAATACATCAATATTTCTTTAAAATAAATAAATTTTTTTAAATTAAAATCCTTAAATCTCATTGATTTATAAAAATTTTAATAAAGCAATTTAACTGAAAATATAAACAGATAAGTTATAAACACCTTGGTACAAGATTAAATATTATATAGATTAGTTTAGAATACTTTAATAAAATTTAAATACTCTATATTTAAATATTGGTTTTATTATAAAATAAATTAAATAGAGAATATTTTAGAATTATTTTGCGCATTATTTAATTATATATATAGGTTCCTTAATAAAAATTTATTAAGCAATAAATAAAAATTATGTTAAATTCAAGTATTTACAGTTCCGGAAGTAATTCAGCCGTAAAGACAAAAGGCAATTAGGCTCATCTACTTTCAACAGCAATAAGTAAATTAGGAGATTCAAGCTTCAAATAGAGAAATTCAGATTAAAAAAATATATCTCCAGTGAGATTAAGATTATTTAGAGACTCTCCTAAAACTTATAAAGGTCTAGAAGGTTGCGTTGTAGGTGATTATCAGTAAGATTATGAATAAATTTCAGTCCTTTGGCTCCAACTCATGTTGTATTTTCAAATGATAAGACTCCATCTCCACATAGATCAGCTCGAACATTTAGAGATTCTCCTGAAAGAGCTAAGGTCAAGTTGAATCAATTTTAAGATTGGAACTCCAAATTAGATATTCAATTATAAATACAAAATAATTAGATAGGAAAATTGAACAATTAACTAATATAATAAAGTCACCAACCTTATAAACATAAGAGCTCAAAATCAAGCTTATTGTTTTCAGGAAGTAGTCCATCGAATTACTAAAAGTTTGGTAAATAAAGTGACCTTTCATCACTTTCATCAAGATTGAACTCTATTCCAACATCATAGATAGTCCCATATTAAATAGGGTAAATATAGCTAGATTATCATAGACATCAAAGTGAATTAAATGCATTACAGTCCTCATTAAGTAGAATAATGAAAACAAGTAGATATTGAAGATTAGTGATTATATGAATAATTAAATCAAATAAATATTTTTAATTGTAAAATAGAAAATAAATGATTTAGATCAAAATCAACAAGAATATATACTTTAGTTCGAGATAGTTAAATAGCTTTGATGATTTATTATAAGAATATTAGTTTTAATTTGAGACTAACTAAAATGAAGATAATTTACTATTCTAGTATTATTTTTAGAAATAAAGGTAGTTTTATAGATGGAGATGGAGATAAAGTAGTTATTTAAAATGATTACGATTTTAAAGAATTCATAAAATTGAGTGCAGAGTTTTTAAAAATCACAGTTGAGTAGAAAGATAAAGAAGATTTTGCAGAAATAGTGTACCATAATGACATAAAAAAAGATGCAATAAAAAAAAAGATTATGAAACTTTTAGAGTATTATTGACAGGTGTTATTTTTATTTATGTTTAATAAATCATTTTCTGGCAGCCAAAGCAACTTAAGTTGCAATTCTGTTTAAGTCTTATTATCCTTCTTTGGTAACGATTCTTGATCCCTTCTTTAAAAGAGATTTGTTGTCTTTTTTCAAGACTTTGATTGATTCTAATTATTAAAGTAGATATCTAATGACTTTTCCTGATCCAGATTCATGTTTACCATTATCATTGACTGAACCAAACATATGTGTCAGATTTCCAACACCCTTAAAGTTAATTAATGAATATTTTATACCCAATGACCTCTCACATATATTTTACGAGCAAGTGCAGCAGCTCTAACATACATCCAATCTTAATCAATTGGTGAAATTTCTTTTCCCAATCCAGTTTTAACAATAGATGCCCATTCTGGAATTTTTATTTTATTATTTTTCTTCAAATATTCGGCATATCCGCGAATGAAATCTTAAGCAGGTACATCCTTCATTTAATGAGTGATAATACTTTGACGGTGTAGAATGGAGTCGACATGAAAATCAAAAATCAAAAAAATATTTTTGAAATAATTATAAAGATATTTTTTATTATTATTGGCTCTTGACTGACAGCAGAGATTGTATGTAATTATAGATCTATTGAATTATGTACTTATCTCAAAATCAATGGGATATTGTTTTAATTAACATTTTATAATTTTAATGAATAGGAATTCTAAAGATGGATAAAAATAACTTTAAAGGTTAGAGTAAAGTATTTTAGAAGAGTTTGAATAGTTGGAGTTGAGAGAATTTGATTTAAGGTAATTAAGACATTGTTAAAGAATATGGATAATTTAAGGAAAGATTGGAAATGGAGAAATCAAAATAGAAAGGGAGAGTGTAGTATGAGAATAAATAAATAAATAATGAATGAGGAATGGCAAGAGATAGATATTTATATATTTAGATCGTATTTAATAATAATTAAATGTACATTATAAGCATTTGATCGATCCGTTTTTAAAACATTAATTAAAATATATGCAAAAACTAGCCATCTTGACATTAGTTGTTGCTCTTGCAGCTTCCAAATTTGTTGATACCCACACAACTTTGGCTCAAATTGATGCTAATCCATTTGGAAATGTTGTGTTGTCTGCAATCAAGGCACACATTCAAGCCTAAACACCAGCCAATGAAGTTAATATGTTATTGAACGGTGTTGCTGCTGGATTGTAATAAGATCAAAATGACCACGATCACGCTTTCGAATTAGACACAACAACCAATAATAGAGTAAGAATATTTATTAAGAATATCTTAGATTGTGGAAGATTTGGAAAAAGAAATCTTATATCACTAAAATCAAATTACATCCAACACTTAATTGAGAGATGACACAATTGAAGCATTGGCTGTTTCTGAAGAAGACATTAGAGTTACAATTCAAGACATTGCAACAAATGAATAAACATATGCCAGAGAAGAAGCCACAAGAAACTAATAACACGAAACCTTTGTTGCTAAAGTTGCTGCCATTGATGATGTTATTGATGCCATTGATGATGCTGCCAAATTAGTTCAACACTTGAGCTTAGGTGCTTCATTTGTCTAAGTTAAATCAAAATATGAAACTATTCACAAGAGACTTACTGATAATACATCCCATTCCCAACTCTTATAAGTATTTTATTTTAATATTCTTTAGCCAGTTGTTGCTGCTCTTACTGAATTAGCTACTCATGGAGTTAACTAAAAGGCTTTAACCAAGATTGCTTAACTCTTAAGCGAAATCAGATAATAATTAGTCTCAGAAAAGGCTACTAAAACTGTATTTATTATATTCTAATTCTTATTAAGGATGTTGAAGAAAGATAAGCTGCTCATTGGGCTGAATTCAGTGTTCATTTGAGCAATGAACATACCAGATTGGTTGAAAGAAAAGCATAATTGGAAGTCTAAATCTAAGAATAAAAGGATACAATTGAAGATGCTTAATCATGGATCGAATTCCACACCTTAGAATTAGAAAATAGTGAAGAAAGACTTGCTGGATAATAAGCATGGTATGCAGTCTAATCTGAAATCTATGAAACTTAAACTGCTGAAAGGTATCATCAAACCTACTATAATCTAGAGCTGCATAAAATGAAATCGTTGACAGACTCTAAGAACACATCAGCGAGAAATTATCAACCACCGCTCAATTCATCAGCAAGAGAAATTGATTCATTAACATATACAATTATTGACAATTGTTCTACATTCAACATTATATATTATTATTCTCTCTTCTCAGTCCCGCTTAATATTATTTTTATAAAATTCTTAGCTCAAACTTAAAGAGGCAAAGATTGCATTTACAATATTATTAAACGTCCATAAGAAATTCTTGAATTACTACTCTTTGCAAACCTATCTCCTAAACGTAGTGCATTTCATTTCAACTAAAAATGGAATTGAATCTGATATTATCATGTATCCAAATTTGACATTAATACAACCTAAATTATTACATAAGCTATGTAGGCAAATCATTAATGTCAAGGGAAATATCAGGAATACCTAAAATTATCTCTTTAGATTATCAAAACAAAGATAAAGATAAAAGTGATAATGAGATAGAAGATCTCTTTATCACTTGAAAAGACATCCATTTCACAAATTATGGTATCAAGGAGTCAGTTAGAGACTCTACTTATTATAAATAGAGACCTGAGACTTAGTATTATCATCATTAATATTGTAACTATGGGATAGACTTCCAAACTAAAGGATTAACAATTCAGAAATTATAAAATTACTTGGAAAAATTGCAATATCATATTGATGGATATTTTTGGAAAAAAAAATTGGTTTTCATCTTTTTGAAGAGTAAGGGGAATTCGAGAGCTTTTGATCTTTATTCTTCCCAGTTTATAAAAAACAATAAAAATGTAATATCTTTTATTTAAGCTTTTAAAAATAAAATAAAAGTTATTTCTCATTAAAATTTGAACCCTAAATAACATTGTATTTAATAATTAATATAATAATAAACTTATTAATTATAAATTAATTTATAGAATGAAAATTTTTATTGAATTTTAGATTTATACTATAATCTTATTTTATATTTTTATCTTAATCTTATCTGATGTTGAATAGCTAGCATTGAGTTTTTTTTACAAAAAGATTAAGCAATTATTTCCATAAATAAAAATACAATTATTTTATACAATACAATTTCAATAATTAAAATAAATGTATAGAGAAATCTGCAACTTCACAAGGTTATTATAGTGAAGTAGGGAAATGGGAATCAAAGGTGCCACAATATGATTTTGAGCATTTAGAAACTTTTTGATGGGTGTTTTTATTTCTTTGTATCTGTGACAATAATGAGAATAGATTTAAAAGAGGCTCAATAAAATTTGAGGGGCATAAAGTAGAGGATGAAGTATCAATAAATAAGTATATTAGTTATTGGAGAAGACTTTAAATAGATAGTGAGAATTTGATTAAGGTTTGTGTTTTGTAATGAAAAAAATTAGTATTAAAAGCAAGGTTAGGAAATTACCTAAATTGTAAGGGTTATGATTTATTGGTTAGTTAGTTTACATCAAGTATCAAATTTGGAGGGTGAAGAAGAAAATTTAATGAATGGCAAATCTTAATTGAACCTGATTATAAAAGTCATATATTAAATGATGAACATATCTAATATTAATTATATCTTTTTAACATTTGATGTTACATCATCTTAGGAAATACATGTACAGTACAAGTAAGGCTCTACCTTTGGAGCAACTTACTAGATGGGGATTACACAATACTACAGTTATAAGAAATGCCAGTACTCCTGAATTATACGAAATTGCTGCAATGAATCCATTTTCTGCAGATCCAGAGACAAGATAAGGATCCATTTCTAGTACTGGAGCTATGGTAGCATATTCAGGAAAAAGAACAGGGTATATAAAAAGATTTGATTATTAAACTTTAGTCGTTCACCAAAAGACAAGAGAGTAGTACTAGATGAATAGACTGAATAAGAAATTTGGTGGGGAAATGTTAATATTCCAATTTCAAAGAAATCTCACAATTTATTGGAGTAGATTGCCCTAAAATTCTTAAATACAAGACCTAGAGTAGAAATATATTAATAATAATAGTTATTTGTTGTTGATGGATATGCAGGATGGGATCCTCAAAGTCGTCTAAGAATTAGAGTATTTTGTACTAGAGCATATCATGCTTTATTTATGTAAAATATGCTTATCAAACCAACAAATGAATAATTGAAGAAAGATTTTAGTGATGATGTTGATTTTCATATTTTTAATGCTGGTCCTATGGCAGCACCAAAATTAGTAGAGGGAGTTGGTTCCGAGACTTGTGTTTCTGTGAATCTAACAGATAAAAAAATGGTGATCTTGGGAACTTAATATGCTGGTGAAATGAAAAAGGGAGTGTTTGGAGTTACTCATTATATGTTTCCTAAATAAGGAATTCTTACACTTCATAGTTCAGCCAATGAAGGAGAAGACGGAGATGTAACATTATTATTTGGATTGAGTGGCACTGGTAAAACTACACTCAGTGCTGATCCAAAGAGAAAATTAATTGGTGATGATGAACATGGATGGTCTGATAATGGTATTTTTAATATTGAAGGGGGTTGCTATGCTAAATGTGTTGATTTAACATATGAAAAAGAACCTGAAATTTATGATGCGATTAAGTAAAATTCATTTATAATTCCAAGGTTTGGTGCAGTCTTAGAAAATATAGAATTTTTATCTAAAGATTCTAGGGAAGTTGATTATAATAACATTTCTATAACTGAAAATACTAGAGTAAGTTATCCTCTAGATTTTATTCCTGGAGCAAAAAATCCTGCTGTTGGTGGTCATCCTAAGAATATTCTTTTCCTTACCTGTGATGCATATGGAGTACTTCCACCAGTATCTTTATTAACTCCTGAATAAGCTATGTATCATTTCATTACTGGATACACAGCAAAAGTATTATTCTTTTTATCTTTAAAAGGTTGCTGGTACCGAAATGGGAGTCAAAGAACCAGTTGCTACTTTTTCAGCATGTTTTGGTGAAGCTTTCTTACCATTACATCCAACTCTTTATGCAACCATGTTAGCAGATAAAATGAAATAACATGGAACCAAATGTTGGTTAATTAATACTGGATGGTCAGGTGGTAAATATGGTGTCGGAAAAAGAATGTCTCTTAAAAATACAAGATCCATTATTGATGCCATTCATAGTGGAGAATTAGCTAATGGAGAATTTGATAATTTTGAAATCTTCAATTTAAGAATTCCTAAAAGAGTCACTGGAGTTCCAGATTAAATTCTTCATCCAAAAAATACTTGGACGTATATACTATTTATAAATTTATTCTAGAAATAAGAGTGAATTTGATAGGACATTAAGAAGTCTTGGAGAAAAATTCTAATAGAACTTTTAAAAGTATCAAAATAAAGCTTCACCAGAAGTCATCAATGCTGGCCCTAAATTATGAGTGCATGTTATAATTATTTATTAAAATATCCATTATTTTTGATTCTTTAGTTTTTGCTTTGCCTTGATAGATTTCATAACATTTTATTTAATAATCATTATAATATTAAACATATTAAATATAAATTGATTTATAGAATGAAAATTTTATTGATTTTTAGATTTTATACTATAATCTTATTTTATATTTTTATCTTAATCTTATCTGATGTTGAAGTCCTGGGATTATTTTTTTTTTAAAAAAGATTAAGCAATTATTTCCATAAATAAAAATACAATTATTTTATACAATCCAATTTCAAAATAAATAAAATATATAGAGGAATTCTGCAACTTCATAAGGTTATAAAAGTGAAGTAGGGAAATGAAAATTAAAGGTGCCACAATATGATTTTGACCATTAAAAACATTTTAGTGTGAATTTCGATTTCTTTCTATCTGTGGTGACAATGATAAGAATTGATTTAAAAGAGGCTCAAGGAAATCTGAGGGGCTTAAAGTAGGAGAGAAAGTATCAATAATTAAGTATAATAGTTGGAGAAGACTCTAAATAGATATTTTTAATTTGATTAAGGGTTGTGTTTTTTGAAATGAAAAAAAATTAGTATTAAAAGCAAGGTTAGGAAATTGCCTAAGTTGTAAGGGTTATGATGTATTGGTTAGTTATTTTACATCAAGTATAGAGTTTAGAGGGTGAAGAAGAAAATTTAATAAATGATAAATCTTAATTGAACCTGATTATAAAAGTCATATATTAAATGATGAACATATCTAATATTAAATATATCTTTTTAACATTTGATGTTACATCATCTTAGGAAATTCATGTACAGTACAAGTAAGGCTCTACCTTTGGAGTAACTTACTAGATGGGGATTACACAATACTGCAGTTATAAGAAATGCCAGTACTCCTGAATTATATGAAATTCATGCAATGAATCCATTTTCTGCAGATCCAGAGACAAGATAAGGATCCATTTCAAATACAGGAGCTATGGTAGCATATTCAGGAAAAAGAACAGGGTATATAAAAAGATTTGATTATTAAACTTTAGTCGTTCACCAAAAGACAAGAGAGTAGTACTAGATGAATAGACTGAATAAGAAATTTGGTGGGGAAATGTTAATATTCCAATTTCAAAGAAATCTCACAATTTATTGGAGTAGATTGCCCTAAAATTCTTAAATACAAGACCTAGAGTAGAAATATATTAATAATAATAGTTATTTGTTGTTGATGGATATGCAGGATGGGATCCTCAAAGTCGTCTAAGAATTAGAGTATTTTGTACTAGAGCATATCATGCTTTATTTATGTAAAATATGCTTATCAAACCAACAAATGAATAATTGAAGAAAGATTTTAGTGATGATGTTGATTTTCATATTTTTAATGCTGGTCCTATGGCAGCACCAAAATTAGTAGAGGGAGTTGGTTCCGAGACTTGTGTTTCTGTGAATCTAACAGATAAAAAAATGGTGATCTTGGGAACTTAATATGCTGGTGAAATGAAAAAGGGAGTTTTTGGAGTTACTCATTATATGTTTCCTAAATAAGGAATTCTTACACTTCATAGTTCAGCCAATGAAGGAGAAGACGGAGATGTAACATTATTATTTGGATTGAGTGGCACTGGTAAAACTACACTCAGTGCTGATCCAAAGAGAAAATTAATTGGTGATGATGAACATGGATGGTCTGATAATGGTATTTTTAATATTGAAGGGGGTTGCTATGCTAAATGTGTTGATTTAACATATGAAAAAGAACCTGAAATTTATGATGCGATTAAGTAAAATTCATTTATAATTCCAAGGTTTGGTGCAGTCTTAGAAAATATAGAATTTTTATCTAAAGATTCTAGGGAAGTTGATTATAATAACATTTCTATAACTGAAAATACTAGAGTAAGTTATCCTCTAGATTTTATTCCTGGAGCAAAAAATCCTGCTGTTGGTGGTCATCCTAAGAATATTCTTTTCCTTACCTGTGATGCATATGGAGTACTTCCACCAGTATCTTTATTAACTCCTGAATAAGCTATGTATCATTTCATTACTGGATACACAGCAAAAGTATTATTCTTTTTATCTTTAAAAGGTTGCTGGTACCGAAATGGGAGTCAAAGAACCAGTTGCTACTTTTTCAGCATGTTTTGGTGAAGCTTTCTTACCATTACATCCAACTCTTTATGCAACCATGTTAGCAGATAAAATGAAATAACATGGAACCAAATGTTGGTTAATTAATACTGGATGGTCAGGTGGTAAATATGGTGTCGGAAAAAGAATGTCTCTTAAAAATACAAGATCCATTATTGATGCCATTCATAGTGGAGAATTAGCTAATGGAGAATTTGATAATTTTGAAATCTTCAATTTAAGAATTCCTAAAAGAGTCACTGGAGTTCCAGATTAAATTCTTCATCCAAAAAATACTTGGACGTATATACTATTTATAAATTTATTCTAGAAATAAGAGTGAATTTGATAGGACATTAAGAAGTCTTGGAGAAAAATTCTAATAGAACTTTTAAAAGTATCAAAATAAAGCTTCACCAGAAGTCATCAATGCTGGCCCTAAATTATGAGTGCATGTTATAATTATTTATTAAAATATCCATTATTTTTGATTCTTTAGTTTTTGCTTTGCCTTGATAGATTTCATAACATTTTATTTAATAATCATTATAATATTAAACATATTAAATATAAATTGATTTATAGAATGAAAATTTTATTGATTTTTAGATTTTATACTATAATCTTATTTTATATTTTTATCTTAATCTTATCTGATGTTGAAGTCCTGGGATTATTTTTTTTTTAAAAAAGATTAAGCAATTATTTCCATAAATAAAAATACAATTATTTTATACAATCCAATTTCAAAATAAATAAAATATATAGAGGAATTCTGCAACTTCATAAGGTTATAAAAGTGAAGTAGGGAAATGAAAATTAAAGGTGCCACAATATGATTTTGACCATTAAAAACATTTTAGTGTGAATTTCGATTTCTTTCTATCTGTGGTGACAATGATAAGAATTGATTTAAAAGAGGCTCAAGGAAATCTGAGGGGCTTAAAGTAGGAGAGAAAGTATCAATAATTAAGTATAATAGTTGGAGAAGACTCTAAATAGATATTTTTAATTTGATTAAGGGTTGTGTTTTTTGAAATGAAAAAAAATTAGTATTAAAAGCAAGGTTAGGAAATTGCCTAAGTTGTAAGGGTTATGATGTATTGGTTAGTTATTTTACATCAAGTATAGAGTTTAGAGGGTGAAGAAGAAAATTTAATAAATGATAAATCTTAATTGAACCTGATTATAAAAGTCATATATTAAATGATGAACATATCTAATATTAAATATATCTTTTTAACATTTGATGTTACATCATCTTAGGAAATTCATGTACAGTACAAGTAAGGCTCTACCTTTGGAGTAACTTACTAGATGGGGATTACACAATACTGCAGTTATAAGAAATGCCAGTACTCCTGAATTATATGAAATTCATGCAATGAATCCATTTTCTGCAGATCCAGAGACAAGATAAGGATCCATTTCAAATACAGGAGCTATGGTAGCATATTCAGGAAAAAGAACAGGGTATATAAAAAGATTTGATTATTAAACTTTAGTCGTTCACCAAAAGACAAGAGAGTAGTACTAGATGAATAGACTGAATAAGAAATTTGGTGGGGAAATGTTAATATTCCAATTTCAAAGAAATCTCACAATTTATTGGAGTAGATTGCCCTAAAATTCTTAAATACAAGACCTAGAGTAGAAATATATTAATAATAATAGTTATTTGTTGTTGATGGATATGCAGGATGGGATCCTCAAAGTCGTCTAAGAATTAGAGTATTTTGTACTAGAGCATATCATGCTTTATTTATGTAAAATATGCTTATCAAACCAACAAATGAATAATTGAAGAAAGATTTTAGTGATGATGTTGATTTTCATATTTTTAATGCTGGTCCTATGGCAGCACCAAAATTAGTAGAGGGAGTTGGTTCCGAGACTTGTGTTTCTGTGAATCTAACAGATAAAAAAATGGTGATCTTGGGAACTTAATATGCTGGTGAAATGAAAAAGGGAGTGTTTGGAGTTACTCATTATATGTTTCCTAAATAAGGAATTCTTACACTTCATAGTTCAGCCAATGAAGGAGAAGACGGAGATGTAACATTATTATTTGGATTGAGTGGCACTGGTAAAACTACACTCAGTGCTGATCCAAAGAGAAAATTAATTGGTGATGATGAACATGGATGGTCTGATAATGGTATTTTTAATATTGAAGGGGGTTGCTATGCTAAATGTGTTGATTTAACATATGAAAAAGAACCTGAAATTTATGATGCGATTAAGTAAAATTCATTTATAATTCCAAGGTTTGGTGCAGTCTTAGAAAATATAGAATTTTTATCTAAAGATTCTAGGGAAGTTGATTATAATAACATTTCTATAACTGAAAATACTAGAGTAAGTTATCCTCTAGATTTTATTCCTGGAGCAAAAAATCCTGCTGTTGGTGGTCATCCTAAGAATATTCTTTTCCTTACCTGTGATGCATATGGAGTACTTCCACCAGTATCTTTATTAACTCCTGAATAAGCTATGTATCATTTCATTACTGGATACACAGCAAAAGTATTATTCTTTTTATCTTTAAAAGGTTGCTGGTACCGAAATGGGAGTCAAAGAACCAGTTGCTACTTTTTCAGCATGTTTTGGTGAAGCTTTCTTACCATTACATCCAACTCTTTATGCAACCATGTTAGCAGATAAAATGAAATAACATGGAACCAAATGTTGGTTAATTAATACTGGATGGTCAGGTGGTAAATATGGTGTCGGAAAAAGAATGTCTCTTAAAAATACAAGATCCATTATTGATGCCATTCATAGTGGAGAATTAGCTAATGGAGAATTTGATAATTTTGAAATCTTCAATTTAAGAATTCCTAAAAGAGTCACTGGAGTTCCAGATTAAATTCTTCATCCAAAAAATACTTGGACGTATATACTATTTATAAATTTATTCTAGAAATAAGAGTGAATTTGATAGGACATTAAGAAGTCTTGGAGAAAAATTCTAATAGAACTTTTAAAAGTATCAAAATAAAGCTTCTCCAGAAGTCATCAATGCTGGCCCTAAATTATGAGTGCATGTTATAAATAATTATTACAATATCCAACTATTTCCAATTCTTCAATTTTCCTTTGCTTTGCTTTTTCTATTTTGTTTTAAATCATCAATTCTACAAATATTTTACTTTTTATTTTTATCATAGATCATAAAATTGATTTAATGAATTTAATTATTTTTAAAATAAATAAATAAATAATTAATAGCGTTTTTTATTTAAATATTTTACTTTCTTCGTAAAACCAAAATACTTCTGCGAAAACTCAAAAAAAAGAGATAAGAATGTATTATGATATCATATTGTATATTGTTTTTTAATGTTCTTCATTTCCTCATTGTAAATCACATCATTTATATGAACTCATATCTGACCTGAGGATGAGGTTAAGGATAAAGGAGGTATTAAGGGGTGTAATATGGTTAAACTGATTAGATTGGTCTAATAATAATGTTTGGTTAAATGCAGAATGTTAAAACAGGTTGTGGATTTTAAATTTATTACTAAAGTATAATTGAGATTTACTTAATATTAAATAAGTGGACTAAAACCAGGATGAAGTTAATTTAGATTATTATAAACTTAAATAGATTGATAAGCTTATTAGAAGTTAGACTAATTATTTTAAGGTTGAATATTTTCTTCTTAGGAATCTAATTTAATATTTTCAGTGTTTAAAATTTTAGATTCTAATTTAGATTCCAGTTTAGAATTTTTTTAGTTTTAAGCATTTAAGCAATTTGGAATAGTTGATTTACTGTTATTTTCTCCAGAAAAAAATTCTTATTTTGAATTCTTCCTACTAGAATTTCTTTATTTCTGGGTAATATAATTATTACTAATAATTTTTCGTATATTTTACTTGATAATAAATAGCTAATTTAGCATAGATTTAATATAGTTCACATCATTTTCTTAAAGTAATCTAAGTTCTGCTTTTTCTGTATACCTATATCGTTTTATAAGTAATTTAAATTCTGTTTTCATTTTCTCGTCAATGTTGAAACTTTTAAAAGAATCATCTTTGCAATAAATTACTCCTAACACATTAGGTTTAATCTATTTAAGTAAATCTGATGCTAAAGAAGAATGAATATAAAAATTACATTTATCTAAACCTACTGCTTTAGTGAGTCGACGTAAGACTTTTCTTAGCGTAGCATAAAAATAGTTTTTACATAGTAAATCTGAGCGGCCAGGCATTTGGGAAGCAATTCTTGCCCAGCTATTTCCATAAGATTATTAAAGAGTGAATAAATTGTCTTCCTCTTCTAATGTCCAATTACTTTTATTCAAATTTGGGTTAAGAATATTTTAATATCGTTCTCTACAAGCAGCAGAAGAACGAATTTTTTAGGTATTTTTCATAATAGATTGAAGTTCATGTGCAACACGATTCCAAGATGTACAACCAATTAGTTTTACAAGTTCTAATAAAAGTTTGTCTTCCTAAAAAGAATTCTAAACTAAGTTTACTTGATAGGACCAGCTCTATCTAGTTTCTGATTATTTAGATTACATGTTACTTAGTAACTTGGCAAGATTATTTCAAAATAAGATATAATTTATATATTATGAAAACTTTTGATAATCATACTAAAATATTATGTAAAATGTCACTTTTTAAAGCTGGATTTATGTTATTTTTAATCAAGCAATAGTTTTGCTTCAAAAAGAACATCCTCACTATTAGTGTCATCAAAACTTTCTTACTTTTATTTCTCAATCTTACCACTTAAATTATAAAATGCTAACTTAAAATTTGATAATCAAATAATTACACTAGTTATACAAAAAGTTGAAATAATTAGTATTCCTATTAATTTTTGAAATTTTAACAATCTGTATTATTGTTAGGATAATTTTTCATCTACTATTTCATCTCGTAGTCCTCTTAAGTACTTGTTAAATCTTTACATTGCTTCTTCCTTATAATAATAAGAGTTGAATAATTTTAATATAATTATTAAAAAATAAATTTTCATATGGTTTAATATAGAATTCCCCATACAACAAAAACTTTTTGTAAACTCTTAGATTATATAAAAAAGCAAATGATAAAGTTAATAACGGTTAACAAAATTCAATAATTTTAAAATCTAACATCTATCATCCTTCTCTTATTTAAACAATTCATATAAATAAAAATTGCTCACACATTAATAAATAAATTAACCATAACAATAAATTTCCTCAATATTTTAAATACCAAAATTATTAAACAAGTTAGGGAATAATTGTTTTATGTTATTTTTTATATATATTTAGGAATGTAATTATATAAATGCTTTATAGTATTAAGTAATTTAGAAAATATATCTTAGATTTACCTTTTAAATAACTTAAGACTGATTCTATTATTTTTTGTTTATAAAAATTATTTCAAGTGTTAAGATTCTCAAAATAAATCACTTTAAATCCTTTTTAATTTTATCATGCATTTTGTAGAAATATTAAATAATTATTTTTAAAAATGAAAAATATCTAATTTTAGGTTGGTAGATAGGAAGATGCTCACGAATTTTTATTTTGTTCATTCTAAACTTTAGTACATGAATGTAAAAGCTAATCATCTAAGAATAATTTTTTGACGATATTAAAAACTTTTTTGAAGACCTTTTTCTAGGAAATGATATAATTTTAGAATTGAAAATAGAAAAGAATGGAAACCGCAAAGATTACAGGAAAGTTATATTAAAAACTGGTAAATTAAGAATATGGCTTTAAGTCTTATGAGAAAAATGATTGAGAACAAATATAGAAATAATTTTAGTAATAAAATAATAGGAATAATTTGAAAAAAAAATTTAAAGAAAATTTCAAAATGTATCACTAAACTACTCCAAATATTAGACCTTGTTACTTGTTAACCATATCATATATGTTAATTATTGAATAGAAAAAATATGTATAATGATAAATATTATTTTATTCATTTTTATGGGTAAAACACAAGTTCTTTAAGATGAATTTTGATTCTTCCAATTTCATCTTCTAAGTATGAATTCAATTACTCAATTCTTTATGTAAAATGTTCTTATTAATATATTATTTTCTAATCAAATCCATTACTTTCATTGTGATTCTATTATTAAGCAAAGTTATTTTTAATTGCATATTTTATGAAATCATTTGCTTAACAATATAACAATTCTTTTTCAGAGAATACTTATTCTTTGTATGTTTTTAGAGACATTAATTTAATATTATTCTAAGCCACAATCTTATGAATTTATAATTGTAATTGTTATAATTTTTATTCTGAACCTGGATCTTCTTTTAAAAGTGAAGAAACTTTTTCCCATGCATCTTCAAATTATGAAGAGATTGATTCAAATAATTCAAATTAATCACTTAATTTTTGAAGTTTCATTTAAGTGCTAATATTTATGAATCAATTATTACTGTTCAATTAATTTAATCATCTATTATCCTGGACTAAATATTATTGTTTCATCTGGAAATCCATAGTCTGCATGATCTCGAACATCTTTTTTATCCTCATCGACTGTGCTTTCCTGAATACTATAAATTCTTACAAGCCAAGCCCAAAATATTTCTTGATGCCGATGCATAGATGTCTCAAATTCTAAAAATTATATAATCTCTTTTAAATTTGTTGTAATTTCATTTAGTTAATCTGGATCTGACAAACTAAGCAACTGATCAACAGTAAAATCCTTTAAATTCATTTATTATACTAATTTATCAATCTGTTTTTATCTTATATTCAATATACCTGGGTTTATTGGGCTTCTTTTCTTTTTAATAAACAAGAAAGTTATTTGAATTGATGCCTTATAATTCTATTTAGACTTTCAAAATCTTTGATCTAATTACCTTCACTTACAAACTTAAGTGCAGGAATTTCACCTTCTTGTTCCTTTGGTTTATTTACTAACTTAATTTTTAAATTAGCCACTTTCTTTTCTATTAATTTTTTATATTTCTCAAATATATCTGATTCTGCCAAAATTTATCCAACAACTAAAAGCAAATCTCTACTTGATGAATAATCCATTCCTGGTTTACCATTTTTATAAATTATAAAAGGTGAATTTCTTAAAGCAAGTAAGATAATTTCCAATCCATCAGGATCTGCATGTGTATTTGATATTTCATTTAATTTATATTCAAAATCAAATAAATCTAGAACGAGTAAATTATGCATTATATTTGATATTGGCTTAATCTTAAAAAAATATATTAATATAATAAAATACTGCTTCAGAAAGATTATGTTTAGCTTATCGAAAAATGTTTGGATCAATATTATTTACTCCAAAGGCCTACAAGATATTACAAATTGCTTAAACTGTTTCTTTTACAGTTTACATGTATTTTTCTGAAATTTAATTGAAAATAATATTATTTTATTTTTATAGTATTAATGGAGCCTCCAAATTGTAAAACTTACTTTTCATCTTAGTATTACCTAAATCTGTAATGGATGGATTTGACAACCTCTTATTGACTTAAACCTAATTTATGAATTAAAAAAAGAAGGTATTCTTGGAAGACAATATAAAATACGGAAAGGAAATAGACAGAGATTATAATAAATTATAAGATATTCTTGATGTATAAATATGATAATATATGAAGAATTTATAAGGAAAGATTGATAAAATTATAAAATCTTAAGAGGATGACTTTATGATAGCATATAGAGAATAAATGACAGAGGTGTAAAAAGAATTGAAAAATATGAAAAGAAAAATAGATGAGGAAGCTTTGAGATAAAAGGCTGATGAAAAGAAGAGGATTTTAGAGGAAGAAAGAGATTATTTTAAGGAAGAAGCCTTAAGATTAGATAAACTATGTTAGGAATAGTTAAGAACTATTGAAGAACTTAAATTTAAATTAAAAATAACATTAGAAGAAAGACAATATTATGAAGGCTTTGTTATTGGTATAATAAAATTTAATTAAAAAAAATAGATTCTAAGAAGGAAAATAAAGCATTAAAATATGAATTATTATATTTGTATAAATAAAAAAGTGAGGAATAAAAATAAGGTACAAGATTAGGTTCAGTTGGGAATGTTGGTTAAAGAAATAATATAAAAAAGATGTTAGACATGAGACCAATGACTTAAGATGGTACATAGGTAAGTTCAACAAAAGATGAAATTGGTGAAGTATCTAAACGAAATTTTTCATCAGCTAAATAACCATAAAAAACTTAATTTTCGAATAAATTTTAAGATTAAGGTTCTTCATTAAATGATTTCTATAAAAGAGAATTATCCTCATAATAATAGAGTAGATAGAATTAAGATATGCAATAAGTAATAATCACTTTATATTAGATTGAAGAAATATCAAAAAAAGATATAATATCAGAATTAAAGTAATAACTATAAAAAGAGAAATAATTAACTTAATAATTAAAAGTAGAGCTTTCATAATAAAATTGCCAAAGAGGAGAACTTGAGTCAATATTACTTGAATGTGTTGCAGAAGCTAAAAAAGAAGTTCACTCTCGTTAATCTTTATAAAAGCAGCTTTTGAATCATAGATATTTAGATTTAAATCATCCTGATGGAGAATTAAATTTCTCTTCATTTACACATACGGATAAAATGTATTTCAAAAAATTTTATACTTTAGTTAATTGTTAAGAAAATATATTGGAAGCGAAGAATTTTTAGATTAGTTATATTAACTTACTTTTCATAATTAATTGTAAATATCAACATCACTTAAATTAAATGAAAAGTGGAAGATGGATGCTGAAGAAGCAACTAAAAAATTTAATAATTTTAAAACCTTTAAATTTAAACACATTACCAGTTAGCGTAAATATTATATATGAATAATAGCTATTTTAAAAACTGCACTTGTAAAGAAAAATGAAAGAGAAATAATTTCAATATCAAATAATTTCACAGATAAAACCAAAGGTCTTATTGATAAAATTATTAAAAATTGAAACAAATTTAATTTTTATCATTTATTAATATTAAAAATTCAATTTTATTGTGCTACTAGATTGAAGTTAGTAACTTCATTATGAATAACTTCCCAATTTCCTAATTTTAATTTGTTGTAATTTTATAAATTCTTTTCAATAGGTTTATTCCTTTCTTCATTTAATTAAATAACCAAATCCAAGGTTTAATGAATTACTGGCGGAATAACTGCAGCTTAAGTAGTAGTATCTTCACTATTAAATATCTAATTCCTTACCAAGGAATAATGCAGGATTAGTATTCATTTCAATTAAGTATACTTTTAGATTAGTATCAATCATAATATCGCATCCCATTAATTCAAATGTTCCCATTCTTTTTTCAAACTTATCAGCTGAACATCTAATAATATGTGCAAAAATCTTTTTCATTTATAAATATAATGCATCAATCTTTTCTTAAGTGACATTTTTTTTATCTTTTAAATATTACTAATCAATTTAAATTAATTTTTACTTCTAATTATTACATAGACCAAATAGTAGATTCTTTGGATTGATTAAATGAAGGATGTTTTTTTTAAATAGCTGCATTTGTTAAATGTTTATATCTATTCTTTTCATCATCCATATCCTCAACATTATATTTATCAACTGATAAACGTAAATATCCATGCTAAAATAATACAAATAAAGGTCGAGTTGTGGCAATCAAAACATAACATCTAATATCGAATTTTCTACCTTCCAAAAGTAAAGGATTTTCAATATATCTTTAAACTATACATTTTCTCAGATTATTGGTAAATATCCCATTTTATATAAATCCTTTCTAAGCTTTTATTTAATTTGAAATTTATTTTAATCTAAATCATAGAAACTATACTTTTAAAATTCTTATTTTAACTTTTTAGCGTTAGAACATAGCTTTATACCTCTTCCACAATTAAAATAAGTTGGTTTGATTATCCAAATAGCAGAATTATCTGTCCTTAGAAATTAGTCTTCTTCCTAACTTAATTATTCTGATGTTAAATCTATTCTATATGTCTCAGGGAAAAAATGGGTTGAATTAAATTACAACTCTAATCTAAATGGAAATTTATACGTTATTTTGATCTTTCATATTCTTTCATTGTTTATATGATTAACTATTTTGAAGTAAGAATCATATGATTAGGTAAATGATTAATTATTTATTATCCATCCTTGAATAATTAAAATTGAATTTCAGAATTTGTTTAAACCCATTTTAAATAGAAATCATTATTTGTCTTGCTAATATCTTAATCCAATTATTTCCAACCTCTAATTATTTTCTATTTAATAGTTTTACTGAATTTATGATAAATAATTCGCAATTAATTTACCATTATTCCCAGGACCTACGTAAAATTATCTCACAAAGATAGTTTTTTTGTTTAATGATTTCTTCTTAATATCTTCAGTTTAAGCTCTTATTTTCTTAGAACTCTAACTTTTTTTTAATTTGCGCCCTCTTTACATTTATTACATATTTTATGATAATAAATAAAATTATAATAAAAATAGACTTTTATCAATAAATGCAATTAAAGTGTGCAGAATATCTAAAAGAAGCTGTATTTATTTATTTAAGATTAGGTGAACACAAATATTTAATAAATTCGATATTCATTTATGTCAAAAGCTTGTAAACAAATTGCATAATTACTACCTTTTTAATCAATGTGGCATCTATTGCTTAAATAAGAAAATCTCTTTTTTTATATGTTAATGCTTTAATCAATGTTTGGTTAAAATATCAAAATGCTGCTGGAGTTGATAATTGAGAGGTTTGCACCAATCATGTAGTTCTAGATTTAGTTCTTAAATGCTTGCACATTAGTTTTTAAACAAGATACTAATTTTTTATCTGATGCGATTAAAAGTCACTTACCTGACATATATAAAGAATGTATAACACAGCTACAATTTTTTATTAAGCAAATTCCAAAAAATGATTCTAAAGAAGGTTAGTCAGTAGCAGAATAAATATCTTCAGCTTACAAAACAATTTTGGGAAATATTCATGATTACAAAGTTACTCTCGAACTTTATACTAGTCTCTAATAAATTGTATAAAAATGGCCTTTAATTCATGAAATTAATCCCTTAATATTCCATGAAGTTGAAGAAATAATTGCAATGAGAACTCCAAGAAATGTTGAAATTTAATTCTATGAAGAACCAACTGAATGTGATAGTCCCACTAAATCAAATTCAATTAGAAAGGAAAATCAAGTAGTAGTAGAGTTACAAAGATGGCTTAGTAAAATGAATTATCCTATTCCTGTAATTTCTAAAAAAATAGCAAGCAGTGTCATTAATTCATAAAATATGTTTAAATTAAAGGAAAACATTGAAATTATGCTTTCATTTATTTATTGTCCTATAAAATATGATCCTGCTAATTGTGTAAATATTTAAATTATTTTAGTGGATGAAGATTGAGTTTGATCACAAAATTAGTTTAAAAGATATTCCTAATCTTAAGGATTGTTATTCTTTATAAGCACCTGCTTATATATATCACATCAGATCAATTAGATCATTACAAAGTTTAACGGATGAAGAAAACCATTAAATTATCGCAAAAGTCAATCCAGCTTATTTGTAAATTGCTTGTAACACTTTCTTAATAATTTTTAGTTTCTTATTTATCTGAATGCTTTAATGAAGATCATTTAAAAAATTGTAATTTTAATCATTTAACTCAATTACTTTTATTTTATTTAGAAAAAGAATAAGATATTTCGATTTACTTCTGCCTGCATTATAATATTCCTTATGCTTTTTTTTTTCATATAAATTATGAGTAATCTTCTACATTTCTCGTAAATCTCTTTATCTAAACTAATATGTTAGGCCATCATATCTCAGAACATTAATAAAAATTATATGATTAAGTATGGACATATTTTAAGGTTAGTAAATTGTTCGAAGATATTATAAATTTATTATTGAGCCCTAAGAATAGATAAGATTTTTTATGTAAATGCTCATCAAATTTTAGAAATAATAAAATGCTTGAAGTTTTTACATTACATCCAGATTTTTAATTAAAAGAAAAAGTCTATTAATAAAATGAGAATGATTTTAATTTTACTGTTGAAGAAAAAATTCATTTAAAATATGATATAGATTAAATCAAACCATTCGTATAAAAAAAAACAATAAAATAATTATCATTTTTCAATAAAATTTCAAATAAAATATTACATAATACTAGTGAAAAACCAGCTTCGATGATGGATGTTATTAGAGTAGCTATTTAGAATGCAGAAATAATTAATGAACCTCATAAAAAAAGATAATCGAGAGTAACACGTGAAAAACTAATAGTTTTAAGAAGTGCTTCAGTAATGTTCAATTTAGATGAACAAGATTCAATTAAGGATCCGTTTGTTCCTTATAGCTATAATCCTAATCCTTTAGAATTAAGAGTTGAAACCAAAGAAAGTAATACTAAATTTGATTAAAAGTCTGTTTCATTTATAAAGGATAGCCAAAAAAATATATATAAAAAACATTAAAGGAATTCTTCGTTTTAATTATATCCTTTGTCGTTAAAGGATGTCACACTTGGTAAATGGGATCATGAATAGAAAATGGATCAATATCATATTGAAAAGTATAAAATAATTTATATTTATATAGTTTGATAAAAGATGAACCATTTTGTTATAATCTACTTTAATTTATATCAATATTAATTTAACAATTGATTTCAGGAGATCATAAATTATTTAAAAAAAATGCTTTTCTGAATAATAGATAATAATTGTTAGGGTTCATGTTGCTGGATGAAAACAGTACAGTTTTTGATAATTTAATGAAAGTAATATTATTTTTTATTATAAGATATACTTATTTAAAATTAAGTTAACTCCTTACATAAAGGAAAATAGTGCTATGTTATGTGGATAGTTAGTTAATCTAATCATTAAAAAAAAGCCTGAATATATGAATTTTTAAGACAATGCATAAACTTATATTGATTATATATGTAAGGTAATTATTAATTCTTTACAATGGAAAACTTCAACAACTTAACATATAGAGTTAGATACCAGCAAAATCCTATTATGCGAGACACTATAATTATTAATAGAATATGGAATTAGCAGAGGATAGATTCAATTATTAAATAGTATAACTGCTACAACTTGGAGTTGTCTAATTGAAATCTGTAAATAATGTTTTCCTGTTAAACCTAATCAAATATTTTAAGGTATTTTTATAAAATTGCTTAAACTTAATTTGGAGTTTGGATCAGAATTCAACATTCATACTATATTTATGAAATTAAATTTATTAAGTGTCATTAAATAATTGGCAGAATTAACATCATCAAATTCAGTTTAAAATAAGAAATTTAATTATTTGAATGAATTTATAAAGACAATATGCAATTTAATATCAAATCTAATCAGTAAATAATCATCAAAAGAATGCTTTAAATTCATTCAAAATCTTGATTCATGGAGTTAACTTAAATAATAATATAAAATTACATCTCATAATCATGGAAATAGTTTTTATAGTGTTGATTCAAGATTAATAAATAATTCAACTCCTGTAACAAGTTAGAGTCTAACAAAAATCAGAATTCGTAAATCTGCTCATTCATAAGCATCTAAAGAATGATTCATAAATATATTTTTTATAAATAAGCTTATCATTATTAATTTCATTCTAATTGTTCAAAAAAAATTCTTCATCAAATCTTTGAGCTATTTTAATGTAAGCGTCTAATCAATTGAAAAATATTTTTCATCCTTTTAATTTTATAACTAAATTTATTTTGTAGGGCTTAATGCTTTCTTTTAATCGGATCTTTTTGTTCCCTTCATAGAATGCTTTTTATTTTTTGGATCTTGCTTTTTCCTTTACCGATTATTTACTTTTTCACTTGCTTCCTATTCTTATTTAATATTCTCAATAGATTCCTCTCTTACTTTAATTTTATCATTCTACTCATTCTCATGATATTCTTCATTGTTAAGTACTTCTCTTATTTGAGTTGATTCATTTTAAACAGGATAGTATAATTAATTAGTTTCTTTTTCTGAAATTAGCTCTAAAGAAGATTAAAAATCCTATTTTTATTCTTCAAAAGGTCTAACTTTAGTGCTAATTTCTTAAATAAAATAATTTATATATATACATGTTTCTTTAATTTATTGCGATGATAGATTTTCAGAACTATCTTTTTATTAGCTTTTTTCATGTATTACTTGTTATGAAATCAATTCTTGCTATTCAACTGCTGTTTCATATAAGGTCTCAAGAGCAGATACTTCTTTTTGGCATTTTGCTTTTTCGCCTCCATTTGTGAATTTGACTTTTTATCTATATTTTTCTTTTTCTTTATCATTCATATGATTCCATTCTGCAATTAAAGATTCAAATAACCGCGCTTTGTTTTCATATAATTCTTATGGACTATATTCATGAATTTTGTAATCTATAAATAGTAAAAACAAATTGGACTTAATAATTTATATTCAATAATTACTAATGGTAATGATGCATTTATCCCTGTTTCATTGCTCATGATAACTTAAAAAAAATAATAAATATTTTAAATTTAAATTAATATAAAAATACTACTAAACAAATTAATATTCATTAAATAAAAAAATTTATTATGATAATTAAGTAATAAGTTTTCATTTATTAAAATAAATTCTAAATAATGAAAAAATAATTAACAATTTTATGATAATTTTTTTTGAGTTGTTATATTGTTGTATTTAGTTTCAATTAATATTGATAGAAAAAGTAATTTTAATGAGAAAATTAGCAATTTAATTTTTGTAACAAACTTTAAATGAGTAAGTACAAAAAAATTTGAATTTATAAACCATAAATTTCAATATTATGAACTAATCAACAAGAAACCTATTTTATAATCTGAGATCAAATTTAAAACTATTTAATATAAAAAGGCAATAATAACATACAATATGAACTTTGATGTTATCCAGTATTAAATTTTTAGTACTAAGAAACGACTATTAATCGAATTTTTTTAAATGTCAAGTAAGCTGTAAACTATATGATGTATTTTTAATTAATAAGAATTGTTTATAAGAAAATAAAGATAATTGTAAGAATTAGTTTAAGAAATTCATACTAAATAAATTAGAAAATGGAAAAATAAAAAAATCTAATTGATGTATAAATAAAAAATATTGTTAGCTTACTTTTGAATATGGATAGAGTTATGATGAAAAAGGAAGAAAGAAGTAGTGGTTATATGAATACTTGACAGTTTGCTTAAAGGAGGTAATGAGTTTGAATGATGGATTAGAAAATGATGGAATTAATGAAGGCTATGTTTGGAGACTATTTTAATAATATGTTTCTTCTAGCTAGTTTAATTTTGATTTTAGTGGGAATAACATAGGATGATGACTAAGAAGATGTTCTATCGTCGTAATTATTGAACAAATTACAAATAGACTCATTTTGTTTATAGTGTACATTTTGCCCTTTCTGATTGAAGTAGGAATTAGAGCAATATAATTGTTGATTGAGTAAAAGTAGAATTAGCAATGTATTTTGTAACAAACTCGAATTGCCTATACTAGATTAAAAGGATTCAAAAGAGAAGACTTAATATTTAATGAAACATAGAATTTTTTGATGAAGGCCCGATCTTCTTCAATTAGAAGTATTTAATAACTTGATTCATAATAAAATATACCTGATATTCTACCTGCTTCTAATGTAGAAGACATATTTTACAGTAATTTAAAAAGAGGAGATTTTATACTACTTAGTCGTAATTAATAATGTCCAGGAGACTTAGTAATATTAGACATGAGTGATAGACATGGTTATTTTTATTCAAAAAGTTATTTTAAGTAGGCATTTCTTTAAAGAAAAGAACCTATGAAAACAACCAAAGTAGAGATGAATGCACCTAATAAAGGAGATTTAAATTATTTGAGAAAAATATTAAAAGGGAAATTAACATTTAATAACGATTACAATTTTGAGTAATTTGAAGGTCATATAAAATTATCTAAAGATCCAAAGGGAGAACCTATTTAACCAGAAAATATATTATTTTTTGGATAAGCTCTTCAATTTAGTGATTGGGTATTTGGAATACTTATAAATGTTGGAGGATAATCATTATATAGTAGGAAAGTTTAATCCATAAAAAAATAAGAAAGAAAAAAAAATAGATATAAAAATCTCAATATATTATAATTTTTCCTTTATATGATAATGCCCATAATTGCATCATTAATCTAATATTATGGATACTCATCAGAATAATCTTTTAGTCATATTTTATTGCATTGTTATTAATAATTTCTAGTTATTTCACCTTCTTATCTTAGTTTGTTTCTTTATCTCTTTGATATGATATTAATCATCAAAGAAAATAAATAATTATAATCTAAAGATTGTAAAGAATTAATTTTAGAAACAAAGCAACTTGGTAAACATTAGTGCATCAATTATCCAGTTAATATGACAGAAATTATGGATACTACTCATGTATTTCTCAATATTCAAATATTATCTGATGCAAAAATTGAAGCATTGTGTCATGGAGATACTATTTATTAAATTGATTAAACTTTAATTCCTGATTTAGTACTCTCATAATCTTATAAAAAAACTTAGTTCTATTTCAATTTAACTAAATAAGTAAATGATTAAAACATTGAAATTTTATAAGAGAAGATTGAAACTATAAGTCCTAATGTTCCTCCTTAAAAATTAAGTATAACCTCTCATTAATAATTCAATTTCAATCTTGGAAAAGATATAGGATTAAATAAGAGAACATTTTTAAAATAAAATACTTAAACTCTTCATTCGCCAATATTTAATAATTCAAATAGTGCTAGACAATCTTTAGAAATATATCATAGTATGGATGGAGGATTAATTTAATCCACTCTAGCTGGAAATCTTATAAATTAATAATAACATTCTTTAATTAGTTAAGAACCTGAAGAAGAACAAATTAAATAAATCTAAATTTTTAGGGAAAATACACTTGTTGAATTAGGCTTAATTTAACCTTTTCAATATTTTGAATTATTTTCTGTTATATCTTTATGTCATCTAACAAGAAGTGAATTAATGACATTACCTGAGGATAATAAACCTTCTTAGAAAAATTCAAAATTGGGTTTCTCAGAAAGAGAAAGAATCAAAAAACCTAAATTTAGTATTGATTAATACTTTCTAGCAGAAGATGAAGCTCTATTAAAATTAAGCAAATTATTTAAGATTTCCTATAAAACTTATGGGTATAATAAATAAGATTAACTTTGTTATGTATTGAAAATTAATGATCTTGAAATCCCTTATATTATTCATTATCGATTATATCATTAAGGGTTTATAGATTATGATGAAACAAAAAATAATAAAATGTTTAAAATACCTTCCAGATTTATTGCTATGATGATTCAAGATGATAATTTCTAAATTAAAGAGTCGAATTAACTTGTTCTTTTATGTAGATTTTGTATTGTTACCATTTCTGATATTCCTGGATATGAAAAATTTGATCTAGTCAAAAAAGCATCACTTTAAAAATAAATACAATATCTTATCAATAGAGGTGATATAATTATTTGCTTTTTGAAAATGTCAATTAAATAATAAGATCTCCAAGAATCTAAAAGTTTTATAATCAATGACTATGAAAAAACAATTTAATTGATTGAATTATTATCAGATAATTAATATGAAATTGTTGGTCTATTTGGAATCTGTTAAAATGATAATCAAGATTTAATTAAAGAATCTTTTATTACCAATAGATCTAGAATTGTTATTCAATCAGAAAAGCCTTATGAATTAGTTCTCCCTTTTTGTATCAAAAATAATGTTCTACATAATGAAACAATTACCTATAATTTTCAATCTTCCTCTAGAGATGATATTCTCTATTAAATCAGATAAATTATCAGTAGTCTTAATTAAGAGGATCCTAAAAGAAGTTCTACTTTATTAATACGTAGAAATGCTTAAATTCAAACTGATAGAATTAAAATCAATAATAATGCTTTGATCATTGATGGTAATGTATTAGATTTAATATTAAATGACAAATATCTAACTAATCATTTTGGATTTATTATTCACTTTAATAAGATTATTATTGTATATAATATGAATAACAACCTGAAAGAAAAGTTATTGAACTTTGTAACCAAATATGATAGTGAATATTATTCATCATTTTGTATCAATTATAGTGCAGGATCTCATGGTTTAGTAAGAATGAGTAATTTCTCTTATTAAAGGCATGATGAAATTGAATCTGATGTTATGGGTTTTATTAATTAATATTCAATAAATATTGATGAATTAGAGTTATTTGATAATTTAGTAATTAAAACTGGATTTTAAATATTTTAAATTAAAGATGCAACGTAACGTATATGTATTTAATGGAACTTATGTTTTGCACTTTTACAAATGACATTCTATTGTTTTCCACATTACAATGGTTAATTGATTTTTAAAGATAGATTATTAATATTATAAATATTAGTGCCAGCCATTATTTTAACATATGCAATTAAGACTATTTTTGTAGAATAAGAATACTTAAGTGTGAAAATAAACACACTCAAGTAGAAATCACTTGATTTAAAGAATAGTCATATAGTATAATTATTGTTAGAAACAATTATGGATGTATTTCTCATAACAATTGTACGATATATTTGCTACATAAATGACATTTAAGTAGGGGTTTATAATACAAAAGAGGAAATAGCAATATTTTTCAGTTTTATTTTGATAATTCATCTTTTTAAATTAGCATTTTTGTCAAAAGAATTATATTTAGCATTATTCTTATCTTTGAGTACATTTTTAATCATACTATTGCATATTATAATAGAAATGATAAACTTGGAATATGTTATATTAAAGGAATTCTTATCTTAACCAACAACTATAATGTCTTTTTTAATTTTAATATGCATAAAATTAGTAATGAATTTATTAGGGTAATTTAGTATATATTTATATAACAACTTTTTGGAAAGATCTTAATAAGATATTGATTTTAATTTGATATTGGAAACGATCACAAAAGAATTTTAGAATATAAAGAATATTTAATATTTAATAAAAAAAGTGTTTAAGGATTCCGAAATAGATTTATCAGTAAAATAGATATTAAATAAGGGAGACAATAAGAATCAATTAATTTAACTAAATAATTACACATTAAATTTTGAAGAGCAGCTATATAATTTAGAATTCATTTAAATGTACATATCGAAATGGAAATTTATAGGAGTATTGACAAATTTAAGTTATTTTTTTGGACTAGACATATTTTTGTTGATACATTATGGATTAAGATTTCATGAGATTAATACAGCATTATTTTCATTAATGTTAATAATGACCTTTTGTTAAGTATTTCTAATAAATTAGTCTTGTTATCCAAATTATAGAAAGTTAATAATATATTTTGGGTTTTTATAAACAATATTTAGATTATTCATAATAAGTGTAGATGTTTATGATCATGATAATAGGTATTCTGCTTTTATTTTTTACTATTTAGTAATATTTTCATTAACATAACAAATAAATTATAAATATGTATTTATAGTAATCCAATAAATAATGTCTTTAGTATGTGGAATAGTGATGTTATATGCAAATTAAAAGTAAGAAACGAAAGATGTGTATTTAGGTGAAATAATAGTATTATTTGTGACATTCAGTATTATATCTCTTTAATCTCGTTATTAAGATGATGTAACTTAACGTTAAGATTATATATGTGGAAAGGAATTAGAGATTGAAAGATAAAAGTTTCAATCAGTAATGTCTTTGTTGTTGCCTCCATTTGTTTTAGGTAGAGTTGATTAAGGAAATGTCAATTTTTCTGAGAATTAAGGTTTGGTTGGTATAATTTTTGTAGACATGTGTAGTTTTGATATGATAGTTAGTGCAGAGGATTAAAATATAGTATAATTGATTGATAATATTTATCGTCAGTTTGATTAAATATGTTCTTCAACTAATTGTTAAAAGATTGAGACTGTTGGAAAAACTTATATGGCTTGTTCTGGATTATAATGTGTAGAGAAATTCTAGCCTAAGGGTCATCTTAAGAATCCAATAGAAAGATTAGTAGAATTAGCATTTGGGATATAATAAGAAATTACACATTTTAAATGGGGACCTAATCAAAAAAATTTTGGATTGAAAATTGGTATACATTATGGGAGAGTTTTAATGGGAGTAATTGGATCAATTAAACCATAATTTTCTTTAATTGGAGATACAGTTAATACAACCAGTAGATTATGTGCTCATTGTCCAGAAGGCTTAATTCAAATATCACTTCAAGCTTATGAGTAAATCAAAAATGTAAAGTCAATCAAATATACATAAAATAAAATTGAGGCTAAAGGTAAGGGAATTATAGATACTTTTTTGATTGAAAAGAAAAGGAATTTTGAATAGTCATTCAACAATAAATAAAAAAAAACAGAAATGCCACATATAGATTAAAAATTAAAATTTGTCTTAAATAATCAACAATAGCCTTAAAACTCTTTTCGAAATCCTAAATAAACAGGAATTGCTGCAATTAGATAAAAAACTAGTAGACATTTAACATATAAATTAAACCCATTAAAATAGGAAGAAAATTAATAATTAAATCCTCCTTAAAATATTTCATCATAACAACCATAAGCTTAGTAGAATGTAACTTCTCAATAATCAATAATGAATTAAAAGACATCAACTTTGAATTTTACAGCTAGTTAATTACAATTATTCAGAAAATAAACAAAAAGAAATTTACTTGGAAATTAAAGTAATTTGGCATCATTAAATTTTATTGCATCTCCTCATGCCTTAAATTAAATTTAATCAAATATTAATACTTTTGCTCCAAGCAATAAATTGATTCATTAAAAATCAATTTTTAGTCATTAACAATAATAGGCTTAATAAACATCTTAAGAAAAAATAGAAAAATATTAATAGTAATCATCAATTCAAACTCCACATCATGATCCTTCTAATTAGAATATCTTAGCAGGTATTCCAGATATACCTTTAGATTAATCTTTGAATGTTTTAGATACTTCAATAAAAGATTAAACTCCATTTAATTGTAGAAAAGATGATTAAAAAAAGTTTATTGATTCTACAATTAGAATGATAAAATTTAATGATATAGAGTTATTTATAAAATCCAAGCCAGAGGTATTTAATAAAACAATTCCGTTATTTAAAATACAAGAGTTTTTTCTTGAAGGTAAAAGTACAACATTATAGGAGAGCAACAATAATAATTGGCATTTGATATCAAAAGAGTTTTTATTTGAGGCATTTAAAAATAGTGATACTGTTGCATAATATTATGAAAAGGAATTAGAAAATGGTATAAAAAGTGTGATGATATCATTATTGCTTTTATTAATCATACATATTTTCTTCATAATATTTTCATAATTAAAATAAGTGAATACACAATAGGCAGTAATTAGAGCATTAGGTTGTTTTTTCATTTTAATAGAAATATACTTTTTAAAAACACATTTTTTTGAATGGAAAAGAAAAAGATTACTAAAAATTATAATCATTTAACTTATATCTTAATGTATAATTCTTGGTGTGTTCTATGATTAAGATAAAGATAAATCAATACTATTATCAATAGAATCTATAATTACAAGTTGTCTTCTCTTTGCTCATAAATGGCTCTATGTTTAAGAGAAAATATTGATTTGTTCATTTATGTTTACAGCTTGGTTGATAATTATAAGTTCAGTATTTATAATAGACATTTGGGAAGTGTTCTTTTTATTAATTTCGATTGTTTTATTACTTTAAAGGGAAGTGTTAAGTTATTTATTTTCTTATAAATAAATGCTCAATTAAGAATAAATAGAGATAAAATAACTAGATAAAATGAATCTTTTAAGTTGTTTATTACCAATTCATGTTTTGAGTAAATTCTTAGATGATTCAACTGGTTCAAGATAGTTCTCTGATGTCTATAATGATTGTACAATTTTATTTGCTGATATTGCTGGATTTACAAAATATTCTTCAAGTGTGTAACCAGAAGAAGTTGTATCTATGCTTAAAAATTTATTCGATGAATTTGATAAACTGACTTAAGTGCATAATGTATTCAAATTATATACAATTGGAGATTGTTATGTTGTAATTGGAGTTACTGATAATTTTAAAAGAGATCCAGTTTAAGAAGCATTTAATGTTGTTGAAATGAGTTTGAATATGTTAGAGGCCATCAATTTAGTTAGAAATTAAATTAATTATCATGATCTTCATATGAGGATTGGTATTCATACAGTATATTGTTATTTAATATTTTAAGGGTAATGTTATAGGTGGAATCATTGGTACAGATATTATTAGATATGATGTATATGGTAAAGATATTCTCATTGCCAATAAAATGGAAAGTAGTTCAGAAGAGGGTAGAGTTTTAATATCAGAAACTACTAAAAAGTTAATAGAAGATAATTTTCCTTCATGTTATGTTTTCAATGGAAGAAAATTAATTAATATTCCTTCAATCAATACAACAATTACTGGTTTCTTTTTAGACACTGCAATTTGATTAATTATTAACTATTCTATATATATTTTATATCTATTTTTATAAATATAATTTTTATTTACTTTCAATTCATTATATAATCATTTATTTTAAGAAAGACCTTATCAAATTTAAAGCATCATTCTTAAGAACTCTTCTTAATTGATTTATCCATCTCCATTTTAATCCAATTATTTAGATAGCTATTCATATTTTTTTTAAGGAATCTATATATCTCTTAACAATTTTTTTAGTTCTTCCTTATTTAATTAACCACTATGATCACTGTCAATTTATTAAAAAATCATCATTAATTTTTCTTTGTTGAAATATTTCTTTTGATCAATCGTTGCTATAACAAACTCTGCCTTTTCATAATTAAGTTATACCTTAGTAATCTATTTTACCACTTCCATTTACATCAATTTTTTTGAAAATCTCATTAACTTCTTTTAATGCTCTTTCATGTGGTAAAGTTCTGGAATATACATTAAGTAACTCTTCCTTCGTTAATAATCCATCCTTATTTAAATCAAATTTCATGAATTCATCCATTAGCATAGTTTTATCTTATTCAGACATTAAGTTTTCTGCAATGTAAACAAGCATAGCAGTTTATAGTTAAGAAGATATCTTTTAGATAGATTAGATGAATACTTTGAATTAACGCATATGTCTTTGTAATTACTTATTGGGATTTTTGAGAATTCTAGCTCTTCCAATAAAAACATCATGGTTTAAAACTTAAAGAGCTGTTGGTCTATGAAAAGGATTTGGATGTAACATTTAAGTAATCAATTTTTTCATAATAGGATTGATATTATTCCACTCTTGACCATCAAAATTTGGTATTCCTCTTAAGATAGAATTCTTCAAAGATTATAAATTATTTGCTTAAAATGGCATATGAGATGTGAGGAAGAAATAGAGAAGACAACCACATGACCAAATATCAGATTTGAAGGTTGTTTAACCTTTAATAGATTCAGGTGATCTAAATGATAATTCATTTATTGTTGAGGTTGGTTTCCAATTAGAAATCTTTTACTTTATAGTATTAGATATACCAAAATCAATTAATTTAATCTTATCCAAAGATTTATTTGTAAACATAATATGTTCTAAACGAATATCCCTAATATTTATTTATTATTTACCCATGAGTAATTTAATTCTCATGTAGATAATGCAAACCTGCCATAATTTAACAAAATATTTCTATCATTGCATATTATGGCAATTAACTAAATGCATCCAATCTTACTAACATATTTCCACCATCCAAATACTCACCTATCAAACTTATTTTTCTTTAATTAAAATAGTAAGATATAGTGCCTTAAATATTCAAATGTTTCTAAAGTTTTAAATACAGCAAATACCAACTTCAATAAATTTTTTATATTCTCTTCGAATTCTGAAAGTGATTCGTTCTTTATAATTTCATATTTATAAACCCTTACAATTCTTGAAATGCTGTTTTACTTAGAAACACCCTTCATTATATAGCTTCTTTAAGCTATAATCATATATATATAATTAATACTAGCTAGTGGATCTAATTTGTGAAGAATATAATCCGACTCTAAATTTTCAGTCTCTTCAAACGCAAATGGATGATAAATTGATAATGAAGCAGCTTATCTAGAACTTGAGGTTCTAGGAGTCTTAGAATCTGGAAGTTTATTTTAATCTTTCACTTATGCACAACCCATCACTTATTGTTATGTTATTAAAATAATTAATTCTAAATCATTCTTAGTATTATAACATCTATTCACTAAACTATTCTCAATCTCTAGAATTCTTTTACTATATTTAATTATCTATTCTTTTAGAATACTCTATTATTTCCAAGATTATTATTTAATTTCTGATTATCATTTCAAATTTAAGTAGGAATGCTTAATTTTAATTATACTAATACTCTCAAACTTTATGTTTAAAATCAAGATTCCATTTTTAAGTTTTATAATATTAAGAAATTGTTCATTTTATATGAAAAAATAACTTGATATCTTTTAATTTTAAATTTAGATTTTTATATCTGCTTAACCAAATATCATATCAGATATAGATTACTTTTAACATGTTTCTAATAAATATGGCAATTTTTTGATATCGCTTTTATTTATGATTTAAATTGAAAGTAGTGAGTTTATAAATGATTATTATAACATTAATATGAGTTCCGTTTAAAAAGAATTAGACAATTCAAATTGCAATGGAAGAGGATTATATTTTGATTAAACTTGCTAATGTGATTTAGGGTATTTTGGTGCTCAATGCTCAGTAAAATTAGAAGAAATTCATGTCATTTCTTATTTCACATTTATTGGATTATTTCTAATCCTTTTTATCTTGCTACTACTTTTTACTGTGAAGCAACTTCAATATTCACTCAATATCAATTAAATTCCATAGTTTCAAAGGTAGAAAATAACGACTATTATTTTTAGAGGATTAGGATATCTTAAGCATTTTTTAAGCTCACCTTTGAATTGCATATTGTGTTTAACCATATTGTTCAATGTTCTGAAAATTTTATGGCTCTCCTTAGATCCATTAAAACCATTTGTAACTTTTTATATTAAAGCAGGATGGCGATAAAAGAGTCTATGAAAGAATCCTAGCAGAAGTTGTATACACTATCCTATTTTATATATATGGTATCTTACTTATGGTCTGGTATACAATGTATGATGAAATTTCATTCAATATTTCAGAAAGAAATAACAACTCAAAATCTCAATTAGTACTTAGCGATGAATTTAAAATTGAAACAAGAAAATGGGTATTCGTATATTACAAAGATGTAATGAAAATTAGACTTTTTTTTGTATTATTGATACAATTAGCAATTAGTACATTAAATGGTAACATAAAAATCTAAATAGGATTAAGATTAAGTTAGAAATATTAGACAATACTTTATATAGCATATGCAATTTTGCTATTAAATTTTATGTAAATAAAAATATAAATTTAAAGTTCCTTTATATTTGAATTTTATCTGTATGGAAAATCTCTAAATAATTGCATAGAGTCACAATTAAGAAGATTAGACAAGGATTCTATAGAGTAAGAACAGGTGGTTTAAGAAATACTTGTGCAAGCAAATTAATAACAATAAGTAAATAAAATTAAAAATTTTTAAAGATAGTATTTTCTAAAAATTTTCTGGAATTATAAGAAGTGGAAAAAATAAAATCACCAGAAACCCAAGATTAATAGATCTTGAGATTTAGTTCTTAAAGTGAAAGTGAGGAGAATAATGAGTAGATTTAAACATCAAGAGCGATTGTTTCTCTTGAAAAATAAAAACTTTCCAATAAAAAAAAGTCTGTCTCCTTTAGAAAGTAATAAAACATAAAAAATGAAATCTCAGATTAATAGAAAAATATTGAAAGTTAACAAGATTTTGAAATAAATAAGGAATTACAGAGATCTCACTTGAAGACTATAGTAAGTGAAGAATCATTCAGTTCTAAAGAAGGGGGAATTCATCTGAAAGTGAATTCTTGTTTACTGAATGAGGATGATAATGCTTAAGAAAATATTAAGTGGGATTTAGATTAAAATAGATAAAACATAAAGGAGATTAAGAAAATGTAAATAAAAGTAGTAGAGAAAACAAAATAGTAAGTAAATGAAATAAAGAAATATAAAAAAGCAAATCTAAAAGTTTAGAATAAGGATGTATTTTTTGATAATTAATAATAAAATGATGATCGAAAAACAAAGGTATAATAGGGAGAAGATTATCAAATAGAAATATAAAACTAATAAAAATAAATAAGAACAGCTAATCTAAATGCAGATAAGAAGGTCATAATAAAGATATAATTGTTAATTTATGCAGGAGTATTCTTAGAAATTTGTTTTGGGGGATTGTCAATAGTGATTTTATTAACAGATTTATTAAAAACACCTGCAGGTAAAGTAATCATAAAAAAAATGTAGGTACACTTTGTTATTTGTACATTTCAGCTATGTTGTAATATTTATCTTTGATTACAGTACTGAAATTATTTAGAGATGTAAGAAGCCAAGAAGTTTTGAATTTAATTTGGATACAAAAAGTTGGTAATGGGAAGAATAAAATAAACTAAAAATATTTTTTTACTATTCCAAGAAAATAAACAAGAATGGATGATTCAAAGAAAAAATTTGAAAAAAGAATCAATATGCATATCGGATGAGAGGTTATATTGATGAGATTAGTTATAATATGTTGAGACTTTATAATTTTTGGTTTACAAATATGAAATTTAATTTAAATTAATAATTAGATTCATAAATTAGGCTTTTTGAGTTCCATTTTGGTTTCATTAAAGTTGACTTAATTTAAATTATTTTTGGATTTTGATTGTTCCTGTTATTCTAAGTAGAGTTAATATCTTTCTAATGAATCTTGAGTAATTTGAGTAGCTTTCTTAAAACAGAAATCAAAGGTTTCAATGAATGTATCCATTTGACTATAAAAATTAGAAGAAATAATACTCTTTAGAATGTTAAGGTTAAAGATTAACTCTTAAACGAGCTTGTCCCATTTTAACAATAGGATATTCAATACCATTACAATGAATTCCTTCATCTAACATTAATCTGGTTACAATTCTGCAGGTTAATTCATCCCCAATTAATAAAGGTAAAATAGGAGATGGATAACCTAAAATTTTATAGTTTCTAGAGTTTAATTCTTTTTTCATGTAATGATAATTTTATAGAACTTATGTTCTTAATCTGACACCAACCTCACTATTTAAAATTCTGAGTTATGCTAAAGCAGTTGCACATTAAACAGGATTAACTGAATTAGTGAACATATAAGCAGAAGAAAAGAATTTAAGATAATCAATAACTTCAAAAGAATTACAGGCAACCCATCCAACATTAGTGGATAAACATTTAGATCCTCCAGACATTAAAAGAACATTTGAAAAATCTTAGAGACCTTAAATTTCAAAAACTCCTTTGCCTAAAATTTTATTTCTTTTTTATACCAGTTTTGCCCATGCATCCAAAATCATGAGCACAATCTATTAATAAGAAAGCTTCATATTTCTATGTTATTTTTTATAAAGCCACAAGATCTGTATAATCACTGTCCATACTAAACAAACCCTCAGTTACAACTAAAATGCATGCATCTGGGTTATCTTATCTAACTTCATAAATCTTCTTTTCCATTGCTTCAAGACTCAAATGAGTTACTCTAAAAACATTCTTAGTAGCTGCATGAGCTCCTTCAGTTAAACAATTATGACATAATTCATCCATTATTACAAAATCATATGGTCTATATATATTATGAAAAATCAACAAATACCTTATTAATCCTTTTACTACTCCATATCCTGCTAACCAACCAGCACTGTATATTATTACCTCTTTCATGTTCCAATAGTCTTTTAACTCTTCTTTCAATTACATATAATATTTTGAAGCACCAAAAGCTAATGGTGCACCACAAGAATTCACAGAATATTCTTATGCTGCTGTTGCTGCTGCTTCCTATTCTTTTTAAATTTAATTATACCTTTGCTTACTCATTTGTACATAAACCCAAATAGTCTGCTGATGCAAAATTGATCCCATAAAATATATCTCCATAGTCATCCATTCCTAACATTTATAATTTATGTACCATAACATTCTTATCCTGGTGCAGACATATTTCTTCTTTCGTATAGAATGATCTTTTATTTTCTAAACTACCCAATCAGATCTTGATAACCTTTCACTCTTTCAAATAAGTTCTAAAATCTATTTTTCAATTCTTTTACCTTTCCCTCTACATTCCTATATTCCAAATGATTTAATTTTAGGTTCGTTATAGTAACGTTCCTGTTGAATTCATCTACTGGATTAGTTGATGGGTACTTTTTCATTTCCTTTCTAATTTATGTTTTTTTTGAAAATATTGTTCCTAAATTGTTCTCAAATTTGAATCCCCCCATAGCGTTAATTTATGTATTTAATACTTAAATAATACGTATTATTTTCTTAGATTTTAAATTTTAAACGACAATTCATTATAATGCATGAGAATTTTGGGCGAAAAGTTCCTTGGGTTTAAATTTATCAACTTTAAATAGTTTACTCATAATTTCTTATTAAATTATAATATAATTATGATATCAATTTGAATGAAAAGAATCATCAACAATATCAATTATGTCAAATTACATTTCATCATTATGAACTTCCTATTTCTTTACCAATTAAATTATAAATTTCACTTTACAAATTCTAGTATTTCATGTTTATAATTGGAGTTCTTTAGCATAAGATCTGGAATCTTTAATCATCTTATATTTATTGATTCTCATTAAGGATTTTCTCTTTATTATACCTCTTACTCTCCCTTCCCATCTTCTCTTTCATTAACTTCATCTAACCATTTAAATATTTCTGATATCATTTTTGTAAAGTTCAATATCTTTTTATATCTCTTTATTCAAAGCATCTAATTATTACTTTAATAGGAAACTTACTATTATTTCTTATAATACTCTGTGTTTTATTCACTCTCTTATACAACTTTCAAGCTTAATCATAATTCTTATCTTATTCAATATTTTCTTAATCATTTATTTTCAATCCTAAATTCAACCCTTTTCAACTTTATTTGTCTACTTTTATTCCTTATCAAATTCTCTAATATAATTGTTTACAGGTTCTAATTCTTCAATCAAACTTTCAGGCATCAGTTCTTCGTTTTGATTAGCATTAAATTAAGAAATTATTTAAAAGATTTCAAAAATATAATAATTTTTTTTGATTTTCTGATTTTAGACTGAATCATTTTTTTGTTTTTATTAACGTTTAAAAATCAATTACTACATTCATTAATATAAGATTTTCTAACTTTTTTATTTCTATTTGAGTCTGATTTATAATAGCAAAATAAACAATCCCACATTAAGGTGGTTGAGCTTTAGGTCTCATAAGAAGTGAATAAATTGAAATATCATCTAACATTCATTTTTTTAAATTTTTGAATGGAGAATTAAATGATTGACAAGTATTATCCCTTTTTCAAATTTGCTATAGTATAGAGGTCTAATGATTTATTTTTCTGTCAAATAATCTATTAACTCTTTGAATCTCTTCATTCTTCTCTATATTATTTCCATTAAAGGCTCTAAATCTGCACAATCAATAATTCATTCAACAATTATTATGATCAATTAAGTATCTATTCAGTCTTATTGACTACACCAATGTAATTCAAGAATAAATTAAATAAAATTATTTTAAAATTAATTTCACTATCCATATGATCTCATCCATTTTGCATTTATAATATCCTGAAATCTGTTTCAAATTTTTGATCCAAATAAAATTATAACTTTGGTATTAAAAATATCATATTCTTCACTATCATCATCCTTTTTATCAAATATGGATAATAATAGCAAACTATAATAAACATAAGAATTACACTCACTATCATGTAGATGATAATCATAATCTAATTTATTAAATTTTGTCATACTTAATGAAATTGCATCAATTCTGAAGTCTTTAAAACTATTGCATTAAATACTTCAGATTCTAAATATAAAATTGCATCAGATGCTATTAATCCTATCTCCGCCTCTTAATATGTCCCAGATTTATTCCTGTATTACTGTTGAAATCCTTAAGTATTCTCAATTTCTGTCTTTATCTACCTATATATTTCGGTTAGAGTATTTATCAATCCTAATTTCATCACTCCCTCGTAAATCAAATTACAATGTTCTTCAGCCAAACTTTTATTATACTAAACATTATTCATTAATTATTGTTTACATGAATTATATAATTGCATAAATTATTTGATTCAACATTCTCAAATTTTTCTATAAAGTCATCATCTGTTAATGAGGAATCGCTAATTATTATTATATATTTTTACAAATCAAGAAACAAATAAAAAGTCATAAATTCTTTTATCTTTCCCAGTTCCTCCACTACTTTTACATTCTGTTCTAAACGCTTTTGATCAGTAAAGAAATCAAAAAAAGGAGATTAATCTGAAATCATATAATTAATTTCTCGAATCTCATACACAGCTGTCACTGCAGATCCTAACTTAGACAATTATAACAAAAGTGAAGTACTTTATGAATACTTATCTAAAAAATTACTATTCATTGATTGTAATACTAATTATGGAAGTAAGTAAATTATAAGAATTATTGAAAATACTAAGATTAATCCTAACCTAGGTGGCTAATATTCATGTTTTATTATTCGATTCAAATTTATTTTTTAGTTATATGGAAATGATTAAACAGAGATTTCTTTTTCCCATACACTCACCTCAAAATTGTAAATTTAGTATGCATCATCATGATTTAGCAATTGAATCATATTTTCTAGTTTTTATATCTCTTTTTCAAGTGCATATGCATTTATATTGGTGAATAAACTAAATAATTCAGAGTGTTTATATTGGTTTTATAAAACAAAGGAAACTCCTAAAGTTACTATTAGTAATTCCAAAAATATCATTTTTAAAAAAAACTTAGTTTAATCACTTTAGAATGTCTTAATTCTATTCTCAACAAATGTTGAAACTTCATCACTTAAGTAATCAAAATAATCATCCATAGCTATAATATTAGCCATATAATAAACAAATTCATTTGAAGAAACATCTGATAATACATTATAATAATCAATTATGGATGTAAAATATTATGCTTCTTAATAGTAAATCAAAGCAGACTTTAGGGATAAGTTTCTTGGAACGATACTTAAATTTCCTAATTAATACATTTAAATTTCTTTATCATAGAAAAATAATTGAAGATTTTATTTGTCTAATTAAGTCGTAAATGAATTTTTCAAATGATCATACGATTTTAATATTGAATCCATACCAAATTACATTTTTGCATATGCGACTTCTTAACCAATTTCTTCAAATAAAAAGGCTAGTAGCATATAATTTACTACACAAACTTAAGCTGTTACGCAATTATGAATTGGAGCCATAAAACTTCCCTTTAATGTTAACATATCTACATCAGAATTTACCTTCTAATATTATGGTAAAAATTTTATCAAATTTATCAACTAAAAAATACTATTTATTAATAAAGCTAATATAAATAATATTAATATAATAGTAATTTGCCTATTGTGACTGCTTTATTACAAAAATTAATTTAACTTGTTATATTTCTAGTAATATATAGAATTATCTAAGAAACCTCTCGAAAATTTTGATGAGGCTTAATCATTATTAATTTCATCTTTTTAATCTTTTACACTCTAACGTGAATTTTTCTACTTCTCTTATAAAGGATCACTATTTAAATTACTAATTTCTCTACTTTTCATTGTTTAATATTGTTTTATTTCACTTGATAATAACTCTTAACAAGGCTTTTCTATTCTAACTAAAGTTAAAGGACTGTTTAATTCATCTAGAAATAGTTAATTTGGAATTAAGACAGCAGATTCCTAATTAAGTTCTAAACTACATGGAAAACTTTATTCTTGACTAAATACTTCCTAATTTAATTAAAAATCCAAATTTTCATCCAAAATCTATAATTCTATAAAGCTTTTTCTTTCAATAATTTCTAAAATTATTTCTTATTAATCTATTATTAAATATCCTCTCATATATCTTTATCTGAGATGATCTTTATTGAAATCTATTAATTTATTTAACTCTAATAAATATAAAGTTTTTGAAGTTAAATTACCGTTTTTTTTGTTTAGATACTTCAATAATTAGGCTGTATAACCTACTATTTAATTCTAATCATTAATAAAAATAGAATTAGGTTATTCTTCATATAGTTTTAAAAAAACATAAAATGATAATTCTGGTTCTTAAGAATTTTCAATACTTAATGAAAATTAAGAATTAAAATAAATATTATCTTATCCTCTAATTAACATATCCGAAATCTAGTTTAAATATTTGCAAACTCCACTTTCCAAAAAATGCTTTATTAAATTTTAGTGAGTTTTATAAAAAGCATCTGGTAAGAGCATTTTAAATTAAAACAATTCTTCATCCTTAATTTTGTATCCTAATTATATTAATAAACTTTAACTTAAATATTTGATTTATGTATTTACTAAATTGTCTTCGAGCCTTAAATTAAGAAAATCCATTTTATCTAATGGATTTAATTTCAATTCTTCATTATTAAGTTAAAAGTATTTAATTAATTCAGCCTATAATATGTTATTAAAAAATTCAACATAGAGTATTGTCAATAATTAATGAATAAGATAAGTTTTTTAGTTTATTAGTTCTTATCTCAAATTTTTTTATATTTATAAGGACTCTTAAAGAATATTGTAACTTTTATTAAAAACACTATTAATTTTTGCAGGTCTTCCTTCTAAAAGTTGTGTATAAAGAGATTCTTTATCTTTGAAGACTTTCAAAATTTATTGTTAGCTTTTTTATATTTGAACTTTATAATTAATAAAAGAACTTGAATTGAGTTTATCTAAATGAAAATTCTTAGTAATATTGTAATTTAAAAGTTAATAAACTTCACTTTTTAAATTTATTAGTTTAAGTTACTAAATAAATGATACTACTATCTGAACTTTTACAAATTGCTTATTTACTTCAGAGTAAAATTATGATTCATTAAAATTATGTATTAATATTAGAGTATCTGTGTACTACATTAATGATAATTTTATAAGAATGTATTTATAATACCAAAAAGTTTTTTAATTTTTTTTTGATTTTATTATTTCATTATTGAAAAGAATTAGTTCTGAATTAAAAGGATCATTAACATAGCTAGAGAGTTATTTAAACATTAAGGTTTCAAAATTTTCTTATTTAAAATTTTTGAATTTATTTTCATTCAGTATAAGGAGGTTATTAAATATTTCCCCTATTTTTCGATTTTTATTATATATAATTTTATTTAAATGTTTAGAGTAATAAACAATTAGATTTAGAAACAAGGGGCACAAAACAAAGAGCAAAGCGATTCTATATTCTTTTTAAGTCGTTTCTATAACAAAAAAGTAACATAAATTATTAAAAAAACAGAATGTGAGTAATAATAATATAAAGGTTTTTAAGTAATTGATTTCTTTCTTACATTCTTAATGGATATACAATCCAAAAATAAATAAATTGATAAAATGAGATAGTGTTTTTTGCAAATAACCTTATTAATGATTTAGATATAAATTAATAACCACTAGGATTATATTAAAGTATTATCCTATTGATAATATATTAAAATGTATAGGAGAACTTGGAAATTGAATGGATTCTGAACACATTAAAGTTAGTAGTATAAACAGTAATTTGCAAAATAAGAAAAAAAACGAAAAAATGAGCATTTAAATTTAATCTGGCAAATTTAATGTTGCTTCTTGAATAGATAAAATGAATAGGTCTAATTCATAAAGTGATATAGTGTACAAGTGTACTTGAAAGATAATTGAAAGTATTTTTTCATTGTTTTAATGTGTTTCTTTAAATGATAAGTGATGTTATGTTTTCTTAATTTTGAGTTCCTTTATCCATTGCATAAAAAAATCAATCATGATCAATATTATCAGAAAAGATGGTATCACAAATGCATATTGTCTGAATCCTTTATATTTGAATAAATAATTATAAGGTCTCCATATTTGACCATAATACTAAAATAAATTTATCAAGTTTATTTATATTTGTTAATCTATAGCATTTTCCTAATTTTATTGCAATAAACAAATAAGTTGAGAGTAATAAATAATACATAATAGAGAAACAACAGTTTCTGATTCTATTTTTACTTTGTGATGCTTTTTTAAGAAATGGCTTAAAACATAGTGGTAAAATTATATCATTAAATTAAATAATCACCTTAATAATGAAAGAAAACTAGTAAAAAATGAAATTAAATAATAATCATAACAATAACATAAATTATTGTTTAATTTTTATTTTTTATATTTCATTCATTTGAGTTGTTAGTTATAATAAAAAAGCTAAAAGTCATAAATTTGAATGACAGTCACAGTTGTAATTTTATTAGGTTTAATTTTGATTTTTCTCTTTAATTTGTGGCAGTAGATATATATTGAGAAGAAGAATGTAAATTATTGATGCTTTTGAAAAAATGAATTTGTACAATTAAACCAACACAGTTAATGATTGTAATCCCAATTCCTAATTAGTTGATTAAAAATCTTTTGAAATTCTATTGCATAATAAAAATAAAAATTTTTCGATATATAAAACTGATGACACTGTTGTTTACAAATCAAATTGGCTTTGAAGAAAAAGTATTGCAGTGTTTTTTAAACTACTAATTATAATCAACAGATGAATACTGATGAATTCTGTGATAAACATGATCATAAATACTTTTCTATTAAATTTGAAACAAAATGCAATGAAATTTTCACATAAGAAATTTTTATTGGTTAGGTTGCTTTTGGGATAATAAAAATACTTAATCAAAATATAACCCAAAGGATTATCTTTATTTGAACAACAAAGTTGTTCTTGGACTATAAATGAAGAGAAAATTCATATTTTGTAGTTGGAATGAAAAGCATATTTTGATGAAATAAAACTATTCATTAATACCTTTAATACAGTTCAAATTCAAATTTTATTTATCATTATGACAATATTACTAAAAATTAGGATATTAAGCATGTTTTGATTCGGCAAAATTATTTTCTCAATTGTTTTAAGGTCTTTTATTATGAATAATATTCTCTTTATTGATTTAATTGTAATTAAATATTTTTTATTAATTAAATTAATTTAATTTGACATCATATTATTTTTCATAATTTATTCAAAATAAAGAGCTAAAGTAATCAAGCTTATAATTTTCAATTTTATCAATTGTATTAATGAAATAAACATTTAAGACTAATCAACATTTTCTCAAAAGATTGAGATGAGAATATGTTTAATCACATTCCAATATTAAATCAAGAAAAAATTCAATAAATTCAATAAGTATTGTTAATATAGGATCTTTATTAAACTTTTAATAATCCAGAAAAATTGATTATCTTTCTGCTCTAATAATAAAATTATTTATAATTTATTATTGAGATAATCAAAGCAATGAGCAAACAAAAGTTCCAAACTATTAAAGAATCAATTAATTATTAAACTGTTTTTATTATTAAGAATCTTCTATGAGCTAGGGCAAACGTTGTTTGTTGTAAAATTACAAAGATGAGAAATTTAAGAAAGAAAAAATAATTGTGAAATTTGATCCATCTTATCAATTTATGTTAAGTTTGATATTGTTAATAATTAATAATATGATATTCCTATTTAAGAAATTAAGAATTTATTTGGAATTCTAATATTTTTTTTAAAAATGAAGACAATAAATGATGAAAAAATTACAATATATAATGGAGAAGATATTAAAAACTTTGTCTTTCCTGATAAATTTGATCACACATAAAGTGGAGTACCTGGAAATCCATGTTATAACTTTAGATTTAGAATATTTGTGTTCTTTTCCTATATTGTTCTTACATAACTTTTTTAGCTTTTTTGTACTCCAACAGAAAAGATTATAGGAGTTTGGGATGTAGGTCACTAAATAACAACACCGATTAACAATTTGTATAAAGATTATAGATGGTATTCAAATAAAGTTATTTAGGTTTTCCATTTTAATATAGTTAATCTCAGCATTTATTTTAGATGTAGCTTATTTTTATATTTCACTTTATTGGGTTCTTTACTAAAGAAATTTTAGATTATTCGCTGCATTAATTATCTTTTATGTTATTAGAGCTATCCATCTAAATCTTGTAAAATTAGAATTTCCATAGAATTACTATTGGGAAGACCCAAATATTCCAAGTTTAGTTGTGAAATATGGATTTTTTTCTGACTTTTTTTATTCTGTAATTTAATATATATTATATTAGGGACACGTTGGATATTTAGTAATTTGCGGACTTGAAATGAAAAAGATAGGCAAAAAATATGTGTCAACACTTTTCTTTTTGTGTTCCTTATATTAAGCTTTTGTTGTAATAACATTTGCTATTCATTACACAATTGATGTAATTTAATCATTTTTAATTAGGTAACAACGGGATGTATATTTGCTCACTATTTTTATAATTAAGTTTGCTATTGGGAAGTAAAAATAGATTTCCTTCTAAAAACAATAGCTAATCTGTTTGGAAACTCTTCAAAATCAAATACTGTTAAATATTAAGTCCAAGGTGATAAATAAATAGGAGTGACAAATGTGTGAAAATAAACTAATTTTTAATTTTCTAAATATTTTGATAAATTATATTTAAAATTTATTTAGGAATGCAGCAATCCTCTATAAAAAAATTACAATGGAAAAGTAAATTGATTTTGAATAATAATTTAGAGATATTAATTATTAACTAACTGAATGATTCACCGAAAAATCGGTTAATATTATTGATTTAAATAAACTCAATAGATTTAGTGAGTCTAAATCCTATAGATTTTAAGTTGGCTCTAAGGAAAGCTTAAACTTGAAAAATAGAATTCAAGGAAATGAAATTTAGTAGCATAAGAGACTTCACTATAATGAGACATACAAAAAAAGTTGGAATAAAAATAGTAAATTAATCTTTAAAAGGAAAATAAAATGGTTAAGGGTGATTAACAAGGAAATTATAATTGTCCAGATAAAGCTATGACTAACTCTTTAATAATAAGTGCTTATCTGAGAATCTATTAGAATTTCAAATTATAATAATAATCTTATTTTATAACCTCACCGATATTACAATAATGAATTGTTCAGCGAACCTTTTAGATTATTTTCTAAAACATAATTAATCTTATTTACAGATAAAGAAAATATCGAAATAAAATCTTCATCATTTATTTGACAGATTAGTTTACTATTCAATCTTCAGGTAAATAAGAGACAGTATTGAAAGTTTTCAGGAGATCTGAATATTTTTGAGATTCTAAAAGCAAATGAAGCTTGATAAAAATGAGTAGTAAATTTATAGTGATTTCTAGTTTAAATTTAAAATTGTTTCAAATAACGAATTCTTTTATAGAAAATTAAAATCGGCCCCAAACTTCCTACAATTATTCTTAATTTTATGAAGGAGTTTAAATTTCTTCAATTAAAAATGTTTAAATTATTTTTAAAGGATGAAATGGCTGAAAAAATATAATATAATTCGGTAAATCGAATAAAAACTATTTAATTAGATATAGCAGGTTTATTTAGTTGTCTAATAACCTTTATGATAGCATAAATAAATTATGATAAAAAATTACACGTTTGAATACATCATTTTATATTCTAATTAATTTATTATATTATTATTTGATCTTATGAATGGAATTGTGAAGTATAAAATCATTTAATTAGTTCTTATGAATTGTAGTAAATTAGAACAAAGTCCCAAGATAATTTGAAATCAGTAATTTGAAATGAAAAATTTAGATAATGGTTATGATAACAATACTCAGTGGATTTTGCTTTTTATAGAATGCTCATTTAATATTTAAATGGGATTATAAAATAACCATAATATACTGCTGCGTATCCTCCTTCACAATAATGGTGCATAGATTACTTAAAAGTAGAAGGTATAAAATTATTTATTTCAAGTCTTTCCTAATACTGTTGTTTTAATATTTTCGAAAGTTTACTACTTATATCTTATTTACTCTCCCTGGTTTATTACATAGAGATAGAGAAAGTGAATATAAATTTCATTTCTTACGCTCAATTAGTCTTACAATTTTTGATTCTAGCTGTCACCGTTCTTGTTAATAGAAGTACAACAGATAATGATAGCTAAGATTAATCATTTTAAATATAAGAGATTGTAAATATAATTTAGAATTTATAGTTAATTGCTGCATTTAAAAGTATAAGTGCCTTATAACTTGTATTTATAAGTCTAAGAATAACTCAATAAATCACCTGGGGATGGATCTAGACTTTAATTATTATATGGTTTCTATTAGGACTGTCTTTTGTGATTGCCATATGTTTATTTATTGATATACTGTAAAAATGCAGAATTAAATAAGATGAAATTGAAGAAGATAAAAAATAAATTATTAGTAAAAAATAAATACATAGTAGTCTAAGGAGGAATTTGGTTGAACATGATTGCATTAGGAATCACTTTATTACCATTTTCAACCCTGTTTGGATGTGCCTTAAATTATGACTTTGAAATTGTATAATTAAATTAATATGCATTTGGATTCACTGTGCTGTATTATCTATTATAATTAGCTTATTATTATAAGTTTAAATAAAAACTGATGTATATATTTAAAAATAATAATATAGCGATTACTTTTTATATTATGATATTGCTTAAAATAATTTGTATATAGATTAATAATAATTACAGTAAATTAATCAAAATCAATAATAAGTAGAGAATAGAATACAACTCAAAATGAAAAAAACTCATAAGATAAGTATATCAAAGGTACCTTAATTTATGGTGAAACTATCATAAACTTATTATAAATGTGCTTAACAAATAGATTAACCAAATTTGTCATCAATGATGTAACAGAATAAATAAATTGAAAAGAATTAGTATTAAGAAAATGATAATGATTAATCTAAAAGATTTGATTTATTATTATCTAGTCCAAGATAAAGATTGGAAATCAGTTAAAGTATAGGATAAGATTTGACAAGTAGAAATTTTGATAAGAAATAATTGGATGATCAATGTTCTATAAAATAAACTAAATAAGAGCAATAAAATAAGAATTAATAGAAATTATGTTTAGTGTGTTATGAAAAAGAGAGTAACATGATAAATATGCCATGTGGTCATGGAGGATTTTGCAAAGAATGTTGTGAGTAATTATTAAGAAAAAGCGAACTTTGTTATTTATGTAGAAAACCAGTTACTCATAGTTTACAGATACAAGAAGTTTAAAATAGAGAAAGTTTAGTAGAAGTTATTGAAGTTTTGGAATAATAAAATTGATGTTAATTGTATCATCTTATTTGAGTTTTTATTTTCATCAATTTTAACCCTTTATAATATTTACATGTTTAGTTTATATTTTTAATATTATAATTAGAGCCAAACGGCATCAAATTTATAATCATTGATTTATTTATAAATGTACTAATCAAGAATAGAATCAAATTAAAAGATGATCATATTATAATATAAAAATTTATTCTGATATGGGTAATGCATGTTGCAATCACTCAGAGATTCACTAACACCAATTCTAAAGCAATTAATAAATCATGATTCCTATGTTAAAATAAAATGATATTTGGGATTCATTTTAAGATGATGATGAAAATGTTTCTACTATTAAACAATATATAACTCCAAGTGCTGCATCAAAAGTTGATCTAGATTTCTCATAAGATACCAATCTATCTAAAATGAAATAAACTATATAATTACCAAGCACAAGAAAATCAGTCAAGATAAGTTATAGTGATTTCGTTACTATGAAACAAGGCGAATGGAATTAATAATATAGCATACTCAAAAAATTAGGATAAGGAAGTTATGGTTGTGTTTGGTTAGGAAAACATAAAAAAACAGGTATTTTAAGAGCACTGAAATAAATTAAAAAAGACTCACTTTTATTTGAAGATTAATAAAGAATGTTATCTGAACTAAACATTCTAAAATCTTTAGATCATCCTAATATTGTTCGTGTTTTTGAAAGTTTTTAAGAAGATGATTAATATATTATTGCTACTGAGTATCTATTTATTTTATTACTTTTTAAAAAGATATCTTCCAGGAGGAGAATTATTTGAACGAATTAAGAAACTTCAATGCTTTAGTGAAAAAATGGCAGCAGATTACATTAAATAGATCTTATAAGCAATTAGTTACTGTCATGAAAAATAAATTGTACATAGGTAAATTTATTGTAAAATTTTTAGAGATTTAAAACCAGAAAATATTCTGTTAAGTGGTTAAGGAGAAGAAATTAAAGTTATAGATTTTGGTACTTCAAGATATTTTTCATTAAATAATAATATGAATAAACGATTAGGGACTCCTTATTATATTGCTCCTGAAGTATTGAATGGTGAATACAATGAAAAAGTTGATATTTGGTCTTGTGGTGTTATATTATATATATTTTTGTGTGGTTATCCTCCTTTTACTGGAAAAAATGATAATGAAATTTTATCTAAAGTAAGAAATGCAAAATTGATTTTTGATAAAGATGATTGGTCATCTGTTTCCAAAGATGCTATAGATTTGATCTCAAAAATGATAAATATTGATACAAAAAAAAGATTTTCTGCTAAATAAGCCCTTTAACATCCTTGGGTTTAAAAAAATGCTAAACAAGAAATTATATCTTTATAATTATTAAATAACATACAAAAATTTTATGTAATTCTTTCTTTTATTTTAGGTTAAAAATAATTTTCAAAAAGCTGTCATGACTTTTATGGTTAATTAAACTTTACAAAATTAAGAAATTAGTGAATTGAAGGCTACATTTAATGCTTTAGATAAAAATCATGATGGAAATTTAAGTAAATTAGAATTGATTTCGGGTTATCAAGAAATATTAAAAAGTAAAGAATAAGCAGAAGAAAAAGTAAATCAAATTTTAGATGTATTGGATTTAAATCATTCAAATTTAATAGATTATTCGGAATTTATAATGGGTGCTATGAAATTTGAAAAATTAGTTTCGATTGAAAGAATTCAATAAGCATTTCGTATGCTAGATACTGTATAATTAAATTTATTATTAGAATGGAGATGGATATATTTCAAAGGAAGAATTAGAAGATAGTATGGGTTTTTTAGAAACTGAAATATGGGAATAGTTTTTAAAAGATTGTGACTTAAATAAAGATGGAAAAATATCAGAAGAAGAATTTACAAAAATGTTAGTTACTTTATGATATGATATATTAATTATTAAACAAATAATTTACTTCATTCTTTAATACCTAATGCTTATTACAATTTATCAACTAATTTTGGGCCTCCAAATTCTAAAGCTGCATTGAACATATCACCTATACGACATTTTAATACAACAATCTCTTCTTGTATCTTTTCTATTATTTCATTTGAATTTTCTTAAGTATGATTAAGTGATTGAGCTTCAATCAATGCCTATTAATAATTATTTGAGATATTAATTTTCTCTGTTTCTAATTCATGATTTTTTTATTCTAATTCTTTTATTGTATTTTATAATTAATTTATTTATGATTCTTATTATTCTGTTTACCCTATAATTTTTTCATTTGTAAGTTAAATTTTTTAAATATATTCAAAATTCTCACATTTTTGCTATTCTAAATTTTCCTTAACACTCTCTAAAAATTTAATCACATTTTATTATTCTTATTCAACTTATTAATAACTTTAAATTTCTTATTATAAATTTTATATTGCATCATCCTTATCTTTTAATCGATTCATATAATTCGTAGTTATCAATTAAATCTCTATAGCATGCCTTCCTTCTTTTTCTTATATTGAATTCTCCTTATCATCCAATTACTTTTTTAGATCCTATATTTTTAATTAATCCTCTTGAGATTACGATTATAATTATTAGATCTATTTTATAAATTCATTATTCTTTAAAATATTCTTCAAATTTATTTAATCAATTTGTTCTTCAAATTTTTACGTATTCTCTACACATATTTTCTCTAATTTCTATGCTTTTTCATTTATATTTTTCAATTCAACTAATTAATCATTTAAATTGTAATTCAATTTTTTCATATTCTCTAGTTCTTCATCCTTCTCTTTCATCTAATTATTTAATACCAAAGCTTTCTGTTCTAGTTCATCAATATATTACTAGATTAATTCCTTTTATTTCTCCCATTCCTCATTCTCAAGAAATAATTACTATTATAATTCTTATATTTCATTTTAGAATCGCAATTCAGCCTACTAAGCATTAATTTATAATTCTTCAATAGTTTTATTTTTCTATAATATTTATTGTTCGAAATTATTAAATTTAATCCCCTGTTGATTTTCTTGATTTTAGAAATTTTCATTTTATGCTTGCAACTATTCTATTTAAAGTTATAATTCTGTTTCTCTCAATAAATAATTTTTCTGCGTTTACATTATTGAAACCTTTTCATTCATTATTTATTCATAAGCATTTTAAGCTTTTATGAGAGCTGCAGTTTATTAATTTAATTATATATTTAACTCTTCTATTTATTGTTCCATAATAATTTATTTATCTTAAATCTTTTAAAATTCTTCTTTTGAAACAAAATTTATTAAATTATCCTCTAAATTTTGATTACCTTATATATCATTTACTTGATTTGTTTTTAATGATAATATTTTCTATTCATTTGTTTAATTATCTTATTTTTAAACTAATTCCAACTATTATTTCACAGTTTAATTTTTTTCTTGCTCTATTTAGTCTTGTTATTATGGAATCTCCATTTATAAATCTTTTAGTTACTAATTCAAATTAACTACCAACTCATTTAATTTTGAATTTTATTCTCTCAATTAAATTATTTCTTTTTCTTAAGAAACATTTTGTAAAATTAAATTATTATTTTAGTTATCCTATTCTGTTTTTGCTATTTGATTTTCCTACTCTAACTATTATATATTGTGAAACTATTCCTTAATTTAACATTATAATTGTTCATTAATTATAATTTATTCTTAAATTTTTTAGTTTTATTATTATATTTAGATTGTTAGATTATTTATAATATCATCTTTTTCCAAAATTTGTATCTACAAAGTTTTAATTTAAATTTAAAGATCCTAAATTTGAATAAATAGTTTATTTTATTCACTATTGAATCGATTGAGCTATTCTTCCGAAACTGATTTGTCTAGAGAATCTTTCTATAAAATTTCCAAGTTTTTAATCTATTAATTTGATTAACGTATTATATCATTAAAATTATTTAATAATTCCTAATTGGTTGTTTATTATTATTACGAACGTATTTTCTCATTTTATAGATCATCAAGTTTTAATTTAGCTTAAGTCAATTCAAGCGTCTTTAATTATAATTATTCTAATACTAACTAGTGTTAATTTTATGAATCTTCAGTTTGACTTTTTTCATTATTTAAAATCTACTACTAAAGTTATTCTATATCCTAATTTAACTTAGAAAATTTTGAAACTATTAATCTATTTAATTCTATTAATTAATTTGGAAGATCTGCTTCAGTGTTAGATATTTATGAGTCAATAAACAACCTTCTCATAACCTCTGTCTAACTGATGCTATCGTTTAGAACTTATTACAATTAATTTATTTATTGCATAAGAATTAGCACTTTGTCTTTAAGTTCATTCTCTCTCTATTGTTACTCTTTTAATTCTTCGAAGAGTTTCTACAATTTTTCTTTATACTTTTAATCTGTTTCCAATTATGTTGAGATTGTTTCTTATTTTGACTTTTAAAGTAATTCTAAATGTTCATCTATTTCTATTTTATGCTTTTATTTTTATTATTCGAGCAAAGTTTAAAATTAAATTAATTCATTGTTTTTTTCACTTAACTCCAATGTCAGCTTTTCAATAACTAGATTATTTTTATTTAGAAGATCTTCATCTTATTTCTTTATTTCTATACTTTATTAAATTATTTACTACTATTGATTAAGAATCTACTAAGATTATATATCAATCTAATCATCATATAAATAACAATACTTTTTCTTTTTGCATTTTTTCATTTTACTCAAAAGAACTATTTTTATCTTATAAATTTAGTAATATTAAATTTAGATTATTAAGGTTTTCTTTTTATAAATCAATTAAGACTTCCTTTTCATCAAGTTTATTTTTGAGTTATAATATTTACTAATTTAATTGAATGATTTAATTTTCAAAATTTATATTACTTATTTAACTATCTTTATTAGATTTCTCTAAAATAGAATATTATTAGTCTTTTTTCTAACATATTTCTTCCAATTCTTATATTTTTTATTTTAATGAAGAAAAATTCTTTTCTTCTGAATTAATATTATTTTAATATTAATTATACTCGTCTGATAATTTATTATACTTTTACATAGCTTTTTTATAGTTTTACGTGAGATTTTCATTATCTTTTTAAGCTTACCTTAATGAACTTTACAATTAACTTAATTATTGTTCATATTAATATATCTATTCTTGATAAATGTTTTAATCAATCATATTTTCTATTTACTTTTTTTATTGTTAAACTTATAAAATCAGGGCTTCTTTTTTAACTTTTTCAGTTTGAAGTTCCTATTTTAATTAGTTATTTTGATCCTTGATCTCCATATTTAAAATTTTTTATTAATTAAGTTCTTCGTGGAGATGTTATAAATCTGATTGGACTTAATTCAAAGAATTAGAGTTTGATTATTATTTCGGAGAAGTAAATTAGGATGATACTTCCGTCAAAGAGGGGTTTTTTATTTAACTTTAAGATCCAGAATTTTGTTATTTAGGTGATTAATCTCCAAAATATTTTTTAGCAGTACTTTCGAGGGCTGCTTTAAATGGAGTCAAAATTCCTAGTTTCTTATCAGATGTTTACTCATTTACTGTTGAAGAGTGAGATTGAATTGTATCTAACTCTACTTCTCCAACTTCTGTTAAATGAATTTTTGAAAATATTTTGGCTTTGGTGTCAGGACAATTTTCTAAAAAAAGTTGTTCATTAATGTCTAAAGTGGAATTATGAATTACCATATTTTTATTAGTTTAATTAATCTGCAATATCGATAAAACATTGACCTGCTTTTTTATTACTTTTAGGTGTAATGAGCAAAATTAATAATTCCATTTTCTTTTCTTAATATATTCCATTTATTTAATATACATTTGTTTGAATGGCAAGAGTTTCATTGATTATTGCCTTACCTTAATTAAAATCTGCTAATTATTATGTTTGAACTTTTTAATTTCCTAAATAAAAATAAAAAGATTATACCACATTTTAATACAACTTACATCTTGAAAGATAGTTGGCTCTTCATTTCAATTTTTTCAATATGAATTTGTACTTAAAACTTAAAACCTTTTGGATTCATATAATATTAATTTTATAATCTAAATAAAAATTATATAAAATTTCTTGATAATTTGAAGATGTAATAAAATAGAAATTCTGAGTGATAATAAGAATAAGTTTAAAGAATTGATAAATAGTTGTTATTTACACAAATAGAATTGAGATTCAGTTCCTAAATTATCTTCTTCTTAAAAAGTTTCTTCTAATTTCATTATCTACAAATAAATAATGATGACGAGTTGATATTTGATGAGAATAAACATAATGTTTTTCATCTTTGATATCTTTGAGAGCATTATCCATATACTCATTAAAATTTCTGAAATGATGCTTCATTAAATTTTTCCAATTAGAATTAGTGATATGATTTTTGGATTCTAGACTCTATAATAATTTAGAATATTTAGATTATTGATCCGATAGTTTTTTTTTTTCTTTGGAATAAGAGTCTTATATTTCTTATGTTTTAAGAATTCCTTCTTCAAAAGTGTTACTAATTTCACTTATAAGACTATGGAGTCTTATATTTTTGGTTTATTTTTATACAAGTACACTTCTTGAGCAAGAGATTGGTTTATATTTATTGAAATTGGAAGAACGAAAGGAATTTAAATAAAATTCATGTTCAATAGGTGGTAATTTAGCTTAGACTTGGATTTTATCAATATAATCATAAACATCCTATTTAGTTTTAAAAGTGGTGTTGTTTTTTTAAATTTAAGGAGTGGTATTTTTGGTTTTTGGTTTATAATTAAAACAGATTTCAGCATAGGTAGCATCAAGCATAAATAATTATATAAAAAACTAAAAATAATGTGTAATGGTTTTTGATAAATAATAATCAATTGATCCTTTTAACTTTAAGGATATTGGATTCATCTGGATTTTCTTCACTTCCTCCTAATAAAACAATAGCCTTATCACCAGTTTTAATGATTCCTCTAGTTTTAGCTGATTTGATTGCATAATCAACAAGAGTATCAACTCCTTAGAAACTTGGAACTCTAAGACAGGTAACTCCACTAGTCATAGATAATCCTTTAATAGTTTTATCTTCAGTACTAAAAATGAATGAGAGATAGAAACCTAATGGCTATAATAGGAGCTCTTGGTCTATATTTGGCAACAAGTCTAGCAATTTCTCCAGTAAGTGTAAAACATATAATAACATGAGCTTTAGTTTCAAAACTCATTTAAACAGCAGAAGCAGCTAATGCTTCAGAATCTTCTAAAGAAGATCTATCTTAAATTCTATTCCAATATGTTTTTTCATGATCAACACATTTTTCAGCTTCACAACAAATCTATAAATAATATTAGTATATAATAATACTCTTCCCATAGTTTCTACAGCAATAATAGGAAATGATCCATTAGCAGTTTCTCCAGATAACATAACACAATCAGTCCCATCTAATACAGCATTAGCTACATCAGATGCTTCAGCTCTTGTTGGTCTAGGATTAGTTATAATAGATTCCATCATTTATGTTGCTGTTATAACAGGTTTACCTGCATCTAATGCTCTTTTAATCATCCACTTTTATGCTTAAAATACTTTTTAAGGTGGTATTTCCATTCCTAAATCTCCTCTTGCCACCATTATTCCATCTGCTGATTTTAATATTTCATCATAATTTTGCATTCCTTCCTAATTTTCAATCTTTGCTATTATTTTTATCCCACTACCTCTTGGACCTAAAATATCTTTCACATCTTCTATATCTTATGCTTTTCTAGTAAATGATAAAAAAACTATATCAATATTGTGTTTTAATCCAAATTTAACCAAATCTTCTTCTTCTTTCTCAGTAACTGTTGGTAAATCTATTATAGCACCTGGTAATGACATATTCTTTTTTTCTCCAAATTATGCATCATTTTAAACTGTTACTATTACACTGGCCTATTTAATAATATTCCAAATATATTTTATACCTCTTTTATTTCATCAACTATTGTTACTACACTACCATCTGCTATCAATATTTATGAACCCACATGCACTGTCTTACATAAACTTTAGTAACTACATGCAATACATTCTGATGTTCCTTCATATGTATAATCAGTAGCTATTTATGTATATTTATTATTATTACTTATTTCTAATTTCTATCCTTTCTTTAATACTATCTATTTATGTTCCTTATTTAATCCTGTTCTAATTTCTGGTCCTTTTGTATCTAATGCTATTGCTACTGGTTTCTCCTTTCTTTATTTAAATGCTTCTCTTAATTTTGCCACTGTCTCTCCATGAACTTTATGATCACCATGTGAAAAATTTAATCTAGCAACACTCATTCCTGCATCTATCAATTATACCAGTGTTGCTACATCCCAACAAGCAGGTCTTTTATATTACTCATTTTCTCTTACCCTATTGTACAAATTATCTTTGTTGCTCTCTTTGAATAATCTGTCTCTGATAAGATTGTTTATAATTCATAATGTGCAAAAGAATCACAATGCATTTTTCTTATTATAAAATAATTCTTATTTTCATTCTAAATCTAATCATCAATTAAATATACCTCAATATATATATATATACAATATTTTATTCAAATTTACATTCATTTTAAATAAGGTCTCAACTTTTACTGTAACCTCATTTTATTTTTACTCATTATCATATCACTAGGCAATGTTCTGATACGTATATTCTAATTTAATTAACACTCTGATTTCTACTAAATCAAAATGTTTTTCTGCTTATTGATAAATTAACTTTGTTTTTAATTTAACTAAATCTATTTATTTCCATTATCTTACGATTTTGATTTTATTAATTATTAAGTCATTCTTTCTACATCTACACTTCTTTTCTAAGCCAAAAAATATTTATTAAACTCATTCAAACTTGGTTATTTTATTAATGGCAAATTTTAAACACTACTCTTTAAATTCCTATTTTTATCCATCACATATTAAGCTATAATACTATGAGAAGCCTTTCTACTCAAATTATTTATATTTTAATCTCCATGTAATCTAGGAGTCAAATATTAACTTAATGTATTTTCTACTACTATCTAAATCTTACTAAATTAAGTCTTCTTAAATTACATCTTTGTCATCATCTAAGGAGATGATTCACAAGAAGAATCAGCTTAATCCTAATCCAATTTATTTATTATAAATTTACAAATCTCTTTGACATCACTTCTTAATATCTTAACAATCTATCTCTTGATACAAATATATTATTCTAAGGCTCTTAAATACATGTCTTTCTTTTTAATATCAAACGAGAGCATCTTTATGAATAAACTAACATTCTGATCTTTTTCTCTAATTCAGTATCCAATTTTAATATTGGACCTGAATATTAATAATCACTAATTGTTTTAGCTCTCTTGTGTGTAATTCTTTACTATTACGGCAATAAACAACTTCTACTACCCGAAACTTTCTATTGCTTCTTAAGGTTTGATCTTTTCATAAATTCTAATTGCATTATTCATATACTATACTGCATTTTTATTCGATTCAACTTTTTCTTCTTATAAACTACATTATCTCTTGAATGCTAATATACAAACACAAAAGGAGCAAGACTATCTAATCTTTTTTACTTCATACTAATGTGATCATATTAACTGGCTCTCCTTATATTTCCTTTCTATTTAGGAGTTTCAGATACTGCTTAACTTGCTAACGATATTGCATCCATTATATCTGGTTTTTCTGATCTTACTGATTTTCTTGCTGAATTTCTATAATTCGATTAGTTTGGTATCAACAGCATATTTTTAAATTTGGGTTACATTTTCGACTAAAGACCTGATGATAATAAGGTTATTAAAGGTAAATCAAAAGAATGAGATCGCTTCATTTTCTAATTTTGTAATTCTAAACATTATAACTTCATTTATCCTTCCTTTATATTTGTATTTAACCTATTTTTTATTGATCTATACACAATTTACATTTAATAATTTTATATAATTTTTCAAAATTATTATGAAAGCATAATTTGAAGTTGAAGCTATTGTTGGTATGCGTAAAAATCTTTCTAAAGTTGAATATTTAGTCAAATGGCTTGATTATTCAGAAGAAGAAAATTCATGGTAATTTGTTTTCTTATTTAAAATACTCTAGGGAATTTAAAGAAAATTTAGTTAGAAATTGTAATGAACTAATCAATCAATTTCATTAAGATCAATTTTTCCAAAAATTTAAAGGTCTCATCACAGATTATAAAGAAATTAAAGGAAGTTTGAGAACAGATTAACCTTTTCAAATTGTTCGAGAATTTGAAACTCATTATTTAGTCAAATTTATTAATTAATTTAGATCGCTTATTATCCAAGAAAGAATATATTCGTTGGCTCCTCTCTAATTAATAAATCAGAAGCTCCAATTGATCTATTATAAGAATTTTATTGTAATTAAGAAGAAGAAAAAGAGTAAAATTAATACAACAATCAGCGGATTGGATGTATTCTAGAAGTCTATGAAAAATAATCAAATGTTGTTTTATTAGAATCTAAAGAAAGAATTTTAGTTGATAACAATATAATTATTGATAGATAACCAGAACTTTTACTTGATTATTTTGAAAATATGAATTGGATCACAATAGTCGAATGATTTTTATTATTATTTTTGATTTAGCAAAACTAAACATTTTACATATTATTACAATCATCGTAAGCAATTTAATATTTCTTATCTTTTAGAATTTCACAACTGGTGTCGATAAAGTTATCTAAAATTTTCATCTCTTCATTTTTATTTGCAAATTTTGTACAATGAATAAAATAACGTAATTAAGTCAAAGATTTATATCTATGGTTCGAACTTTCGTTAATGAACTTATATCAATAATAAAAAAAACAAAAATTAAATAATGTAACATAAGCCAAGCCTATTTTTTTAATGCCAATTATATGTTGCTGAATTGAGTGAACCTATAAGTTTGCTCGAATTTACAAGTGAGGATGTCCCAAATAAATTTTCTTCAGAATAATTATCAAATTCTCTAAATCAGATTTCAGATCATAAACCTAAAATAAGTCTTTAAGATGATAAGAGTATAAACTTGTAATAATAATATAGATAGTTAATCCTTACAAATCAAATTGGGCTAATACTTTGCTTAATAAACAATTCAAAGTTGAAGTTACATGTCAAGGAACCAAATGGATTATCAAAAAAGTTTGCGAAGATGAACCTTAAAAATCAATAGTAAGTAGTTTACCAAATCTTCCGAAATCTATTGAAAGTCAAGAAAAATTATTGTCAAAAACAAACTCTAAATTAAAAAAAATAAGATTTAATAAATTTTTTGTTGATAAGCACAGATAATATGCTTTAACACCAAATGGTGTACTGCCTTATTAAAACTCATCAGTTCCCCATTTGAATACGAATAAAAATGATAATAAAAATCATAATCATAGCTATAATAATAATAGTAATAATAATAATAATAATAATAATAATAATAATAATAATAATAATAATAATAATAATAATAATAATAATAATAATAATAATAATAATAATAATAATAATAATAATAATAATAATAATAATAATAATAATAATAATAATAATAATAATAATAATAATAATAATAATAATAATAATAATAATAATAATAATAATAATAATAATAATAATAATAATAATAATAATAATAATAATAATAATAATAATAATAATAATAATAATAATAATAATAATAATAATAATAATAATAATAATAATAATAATAATAATAATAATAATAATAATAATAATAATAATAATAATAATAATAATAATAATAATAATAATAATAATAATAATAATAATAATAATAATAATAATAATAATAATAATAATAATAATAATAATAATAATAATAATAATAATAATAATAATAATAATAATAATAATAATAATAATAATAATAATAATAATAATAATAATAATAATAATAATAATAATAATAATAATAATAATAATAATAATAATAATAATAATAATAATAATAATAATAATAATAATAATAATAATAATAATAATAATAATAATAATAATAATAATAATAATAATAATAATAATAATAATAATAATAATAATAATAATAATAATAATAATAATAATAATAATAATAATAATAATAATAATAATAATAATAATAATAATAATAATAATAATAATAATAATAATAATAATAATAATAATAATAATAATAATAATAATAATAATAATAATAATAATAATAATAATAATAATAATAATAATAATAATAATAATAATAATAATAATAATAATAATAATAATAATAATAATAATAATAATAATAATAATAATAATAATAATAATAATAATAATAATAATAATAATAATAATAATAATAATAATAATAATAATAATAATAATAATAATAATAATAATAATAATAATAATAATAATAATAATAATAATAATAATAATAATAATAATAATAATAATAATAATAATCATAATAATAATAATAATAATAATAATAATAATAATAATAATAATAATAATAATAATAATAATAATAATAATAATAATAATAATAATAATAATAATAATAATAATAATAATAATAATATAATTAAAATTCGATTAAATTCAGAATCTCCAAATTAAATGCCTATTTTTGATATTAATTTTATCAAAAATCTCCAGCGATTCATAGCATGAAATATAAAAGCATGTTTAATACATCTTATTTTATTGTGTGATTTTAATAGTAAATAAAATATTTAATAGTTGAATTTTCCAAAAATCAACATAGGTGAAATTGAATCGTCTTCTTAACAAGTTCTAATGTTTGAATTTTCTTCGTTCAAAAAAGATTCTTGCTTTTGTACTAGAATTTACATTTTTCTTAAGATTTTAGAATGATTTCTGGGTAATTTTAGGGAATCTAGCATTTTGTGTAAATCTATTAAATTCATATCTGGCCTTTAGACAAATTCGATGATTTATTTTGGACAATAAGCTAAATTATGAAAGGGTAAATATGTTGACATTTTTTATTCGTTAAAAAACAAAGTATAATAATAAAGAAAATTAATTGAAAATCTTTTTCTTCGAATTAACCTATCTAAAATATCATGTACTTAATGTATCAGATGATATAAATATCGTAACAAAATATTTTAATTGAAGATATTTAAATTATAAAAAACAAGTTTAATGAACGCCAAAACCTTCTCTCATTATTTTCGACAATTAGATTTATTCACTAAACCTGTACAACTGCTAATTAAAAAAGAAGAAGGTCACAAAACGACTATCGGAGCTTCACTCTCTTTGATTGTTATAGTTGTGATGTCGATATTTTTTGTGAATAGTTTAATTGTTTATGCAGATCGTTCAAAACCAGTCACATTAACAACAGAAGTATATCATGCAGAACCAAAATTATTTGAATTATAGCCTAACAATTTTACTTTATAGTTTGGTTTTTAAGATGCTACATTTGCCACATATATAGATGAATCCATTTATTTTGTCGAACCTTTTCTTGTAAGCAAATCAGTAGAAATGTATTCAAATTCTTTAATTTTAGAATAAATGGTACTTAATAGTCTGTATACAATTATGCTGAGTTACCATTAGTATAATGTTCGAAAGATATAATAAAATAAGATTCATTAGCAGAATATTTTTCACATTTTGATCTAGCCACAAATTTTTGTATTGATTGGAATAAAATTGATAAGATAAATATGTAAGGAACTTTTGATGCTGTGAATTATCAATATATTTTACTAAAATTTAAAATGTGTACTGAAAAGAATAAAAAAAAAAGTATATTTCATTAATATCCTAGGTATTTCTGAATGTAAGAGTAAGGAAGAAATAATGAAAAAGTTGAATCACAATTATTTATCATTATAAATGTCATCATATTATGTTGATTTATAAACAACTTAAAGTCCTTACATACCTAAAGGAGAAGATTTATTCACAACTATTTCAAGTTAAATTTTCAAAGAAATTACTATCTATTTACAACCAGTCACTACATATACTGATTCAGGAGCCTTCTTTTCTGATATTCATTATGATACAACACTTAAATATTTACATCATACTGAAATGATTGATTTTAATGAAGAAGATTTAATAGCAAATGTAGCAATTAGAATGCATACAATAGAATAAGTTAATTATAGGTAATATACAAGAATTCAGGCACTTTTAGCTGAATTAGGAGGATTATGGAATGTCTTATTTACTATTTCTATGCTAATCTAAATTCCATTTAGTAGTATTTCTTATAAACTTTAAATTATTAATTCATTATTTAATTTCGATGGATAAGAGGAGACTATTAATGATGACTAAGATAATTTTCTATTTAGTCATCAAGATGCTCCAATTATCAATAGCAAATAATCTAGTAAGATTTATGCAGAGAATATTCAGAAAAATACTTTAAATGATATTTAATAAACAAATAGAAAATTAATTTCACCAATTAAAATTGGTAATACTCCTTTGAAAAAATCAAAATTTTAGAGATAAGATTCTTTTAGATCATCTATTAAATCTTCATATAAGGTCTAACAAAAACTTCAAGAGCTTAATTAATAATGCATGAAAATATAAAATGCAGGTACTTTAGATGAAGATATTAAAGTTAAAACTATTGACAAACTTAATTAATAAGTTAAAGGATTTTTTTAGACTGTTTCAAAAAAATTAACTATTCCATATTATAAATATATACTTAGTTTATTAAAATTATTTCAAGATGATTAATAGGTTAAATAAATGAATTTTTCAATTAATAGAATGGAGAAGTCTTTTGATATTTTATATATCATAAAGAAATTACATGAAATTGATAAATTAAAAATGATATTACTAACCAAAGAACAAATAAAATTATTTGATTACCTTCCAAAACCAACAATTTCTTCAAATCCTGAAAAAGAAATTTCGGGACATTAATATTTCTCGATATTAAAACCTATAAAAACCAACTATTAAATGGCTCTTGAAGCTTAATAAGCCTATAAGGAAATATTATTTAAAATACATGATCCAATAAACAAACAATTAGTTGAATGCATGGATGAAAATATTTTAGAATTTTTATAATTTTAATTATGTAGAAATGATGGAGAATAGTAAGAAGATGATTTACTTAATGATGGAACTATTTAAGAAGCTAAATAAAGAGTTAATTCAGATCAAATATTAGATAACTTTGACAATACCAGCTAATAAAATATATGAATATACATAATTGTTTCTTATTCAAAGAAAATTAAAATAGTTTTTTTTTAATTTAAAACATTATTTTTGATAAAAAAATACTACAATATTTAAATCATTTTAAAAAGTAATTGACTTCGAGATTTTTTAAGTCAAGATTGGGTCCATCTTCATTTGCCATTTCCAAATCATAATCATCATTTGATTATCGAAACTTTCGATTTTCTTTATGCTCTTAACATTATTTAAATGATGTATATGATTTGGAATCTTTTCTTTTAGAAAATTATGCAACATTATTAAGAATTTAAGGTTAAGATTCAACTTAAATTAGAGTATTATTGCTAGTTTAATAATTATTTTATTTGCTAGTAGCTTAACTATTAGGTTCAATAGATGTAGTTTTATGCAATTAAATTTGCTATAAATGCTTATAGGAATTGTGATCGAAGTATTTTTCATGTAATTATTTCATGAATTTGAGATGATGCGAATTCTCTTATTTTAATCGAAATATTTGGCCTTCTTCATCAACAGGAGGAACTTAATCTAACTCATTTTGTTATTTAATGTCAGGTATAGAGTTAGGATCAATTAATAATTCTTCATATTATTATTTTTCTATTAATTTGATTTCCCAATCATATAATTGATGATCATATTCAAGCAATTATTTTTCGAATAGATTTCTCAAATGAGAATAATTTGGCTACTGTTGAAAAAGCAATGATTTTACATGTTAAAAATAATGAATAAAACACTATTATTTAAAAATAATGATACTTTTGGTAAATTTAAACAAAGTTGATTTAAAGGTAATCCCATTTTAATTTATAAAATTTGTTCATATTTATCCTCTTTATCAAGTGCCTTAATATTTGACCAAGGTAATTCTCCTTTCATAAAATATATTAGCATATATCCTAGACTTTCTAGATCATCTCTTCTTGATTATTCCATCCCTTATATTAATATTTTTTATTACATTATAATGTATTTATACTAGCATATCTTGCTGTACCAATTACTCCAGTTTTTTAAGTAAATTCTATATGTCTACCATCTGTCATTCTGTAATATTTAGACAATCCAAAATCAATTAAATATACTAATGAAACATCCTCCTTAGAAATTAAGAAATTCTCTGGTTTTATATCTCTATGAATAAAATTCATACTATGAAATACTATAATAATAATTAACAATATAAACCTTCCAAACGATCTATTAGTTATATTGATAGTTAAAGCACAGTTTATAATGTAAATTTACCACCACATTTTTATAATAACACTTCTAGATTCTCTCCCAACAATGTACACATATAAAATTAATACTAGCTATCTTTCCCATAGTGAATTAATTCTGGAAAACCTGAAATTGATTTAATGAAATGTATAATAATTTACCATTGATACCTTTCAATTATTTTAATATGAGAATTTCTCTATTCATCATTCTCATTTATAATTTTCTACTTTCAAATTTCGTTGCACAATACTCTTTCTCCTCTAAATCATATGTTAAGTAAACAATTCCAAAGCTGCCACTTCCTATCCTTTTCAATAATTTAAATCTAGACTCAATTATTAAACCTGGTTATAAACCAATTTTTTAATCCATTTTATTAATAAATTTTAATATGTTAAACTAATTTACTTTTTATTCTAATTCTATATTAAATCTATTTCAATTTATCAATAATAATATTCACTAATAAACATAAAAAGTTATATCTATTCAAACTTTATGAAATAAATAATAAAAATTTTATTATTATATATTAATTTGACAGAAAATTAGAAATAATTATTTTAAAACTCAAATTGTTAACTCAAAAGTGAAATTGCAAAATTAATATTCTTCTATATTTTAATATTGTAAAAAAGGAAAGATTTATCTTAAATTATTATTAATCTAATTATTTAAAGCTTTCTCACTTTATTCTTTTCATCATTTTTGTTAAAATTTATACATTCAATTTTCAAAAGTTATAATCTCTCTCAGTTATTCGAATTCTATAATTACAAATTAATTTTAAATTCCTCCAACTATCATCATGATCTTATTTATAATCATGATATATTTACATGCAACAACTTTGTTAAAGATTATATTTCTAATTTTTAAGAATTATTAAATAAAGAAAATATTTGAAATTGTAAATTTAGTAAATAATTTTGAAATAAAATTTAAACCGTGAAATAGCAAGTAACTACTTAAAAATTATTAAATTGATCATACAGATTAAAATTTATACCTAAATGAATCTAAAAAATAATTAAATTTTTCATATTTTCAGTTATGAATCTTTATATAATATAAACTCAGTAATTAAGTCTTTAAAGTATAAGTTATAATTTATTTTAATAATTTAATAATGGTTTGTTATTTTCTAGTGATTATAGAAACTTGAGTATTAGAAGTACATAAATAAGAATTAATTTGTTTTAGAAAAAAGACTGTTAAGGATGAATATATATCGACAATTAATTGATGAATGAAAATGAGTAATTTAATATAACATTATGTAACTTTATGTAATAGACTTAAATGAAATTAAACTCATCTTTAAGTGAAATATTGATTTGATTATTATAGTTAATAATAAATATTGTGAATATTCTTTAAAAGTTATTTATTATATATTTTTTTTACAATTTAATTTTATTATAATTTAAAATAAATCGTTATGATTCGAACAGGTTCAGGAGTTCAAATTCAAAAATTGCAGATACCTCTTTAATAAATTAATCCATTTAATGGGCAAATTCGATATAGCAATCCATATTCAGATGCACCTAGCACTCCTTAGAAATCGATAATAGGTTAATAAATTAGAGGATCATCAACATTTACACCTAATAAAAGCTAATAGCAATTTTATTTTAAAGAGAATTCTAATACAATTGAAAGTAAGATATAATCATTAGTTAATGAGAATTACTTTCTAAATTTGGAATTAGAAAAAGCAAGAAATGAATTATAAAATAATGCTTAATAGTATGAATAGTTACATTTAATAAAAGAGAGAGTTAGCAAATTAGAAGAATTAATAGACACACAATATAGTGAAATAGAAATATGGAAATTAAAATATTAAAAAGCAGCAGCTGGAGATTCAAGACTAGAAATAAATTAAATGGAATAATAAATATTTAATGTTATTGATGAAAATGAAAGATTAAATAAGATTATATCTAATTTGGAATAATAACAATAAGAAAAGGATTAAGAGATAAAAACTCTAATGATGACAATTTAAAAATAAGAGCTGGAGATGAAAAAATAAAAGGAAAAATTAATAGTATTTGAGAAAACAAATAAACCTGCTGTTTAATGTAATCCATTTGCAATTGAAAACAAAAAATAATCAAAATCTACAACAAGTGATTTAAAGCAAAGTAAATCTAAAATCAACGATTCCGATTCAAATAGGAAGAAAAGTGATCATATCTAAAAATAAGCTTAAACAAAAAATTAATAGGATATTAATGATTTACAGAATTAAATAAAATAATTATAATCTGATAAATTATAGTTGGAGATAATTGCAGAAGAATTATAAGAAAAATTATAAAAATAAAACTGTGAAAAAAGCGAGAAAAAAGATTCTTAAAAAGATTTCAACTAAGATTAAAACTTTTCAAGACTAAAACAAGTAATACTTCAAATAATATGATATAGGAACTTTCAAATTAACAAATACTAATACTTGAAGAATTTAAGAAGTATAAGGTTTGTTAGTAACAAAATTTAATGATTAAAGAACAACTTATTTAATGGGAGTTATTTTTGAAGTCTCTTAATAGTCAAATATAGAATAAAAATGATCAAGATGATTGTGTTGATGCTACTATTGAGGAATTTCAAAATAGCTCATCAAATTGCCTAAAATTAATTGATTAATTTCAGAAATGATTATATATATGATATTTAGACTTGTTAATTAATTAATCTAAACTAATGAATCAAACATCTATTTTTGAATATCTTGATAACTTACAATTATAAATAACAGATCCAACTCAAAAATAATTAGAATATTTTAACAATAAAAAAGTGATAATAACTTCATAAAGATAAATTGCTATAACTAAATTTAAATCTCCTTAGAATGTTCGCTAAGAACAATAATTTTTAAAATTGAGAAAGACTTTGTCATAATAAGAATTTGGAGAGAAGTAAATATATTTTAATTATCAAAAAATGAACAATTATAAGTCAAGAATTGCTTTCTAATGATTTTTATAATAAATTTATATCTAATTACAATATCATTATTTAATTAAATCTGAGTGTATTAAAATTTAGAATTATTAAGAATAGATCAATGTAATTCATTCTAAATGGGTAAACTTAGATGTAAAATATAAATTTAAAATTATAGATATCAGTACAAAAACTTAGATTTTCTAAAACTTCACATTTTTATAAAAACTAAATAAATAATAGCGCAATACCTTTAAGTTAATTATAATTCATAATTAGAGAGTATCAAAACAAATAAAAAGCATCATTCAGTTTTGAGAGAAATGTAAATAACAATCTCTAATTCAGACAACCACATAAACTTTGATTTTCATCGCTTAAAGCCAAGTATTACAAAATTTAAGTAATCTCAAATAATTATAGATCTAAAAGTACAACTATTTATATAGAATCTTTCATAAAATGTTTATCCATTCCTAAAATAAAAATCTCAATCGAATAAATAACATAAATTTTCTATATGGATTAAATACAATGCTTAAAAATGAAATAATTAATTTAAGGATCTTATACGCAGCTTTGATTTACAGATATATAAGAAATCAGGCAATCATAATTAAAGAAACTATCATTTAATATTTATTCTTATTCTTCTAGTTAATTAAGTTCAAAAAAAAGTCTAAGCTTAAAAATTATACTAGTAGTGTATAAACTTCCATTATTTGTGCTAAAAGAAAATGTTGATATCGCATTAAGATTCAATATTTATTTCCAAAGAATCGATTTTAGTAATTTTGACTATTATAATATTTTTTATTTTAGAAATTATTATATTAATATGTCTGAAAACTTGTTAATTTAAAAAGACTATTAACAAGAGAATTAACAAATCAAACAATAATTACTCCAATATTTAGTTAAAGTCTCAAAAATGCTTGATGAAGAATATGAAGAAATTCTTTAATTTGGTTCTGATTCTGATCCAAATGATATTATTAATTCATTATTTATTATAGAAGATGCTAGATAAGAATAGCATAAGGTATAATAATTAATATTGATTTAGTTAGATAAATAATAATTAGAGGAATTGAAGATAGAAATTGAATCCTAGAAATAATAAATTATTTCTTTACAACAATAAAATGAAAAAATTTAAATAGCAAAAAATTAATAAGAATTTAATTCTGAAATTAGATAGTTAGAGATCAAGATTAATGAATTATCATTAGCTCTTATTCAAAGCAAAGAAGAGAAAATCATTTACATGGAGTAATCTCAAAAATAGATATAATAACTTAAAGAATAGGAATTAGAATTGAAAAACAAATTATAAATACTTTAATTTGAATAATAAAAAAAGTCTTCATTTGAAGAATCAGATGAGAAAGTTAGAGTTAGAAAAAGTTCTAAAGATTATATTGAAGAGGATTTATCAAAATAATCTGTTTCACCTCAAACATAAAAATTTAAATTAGATTATTCTAAAATAAGTCTTGCCTAAAATTTGAAAAAATTAACAAAGATAGATTAAGTTTAAGGAGCATCAAAAGCATCATTTAAGTTTGGCAATAAATGAATTTTTCAATTAATATCCTTTATGTTTAATTTTTGAATTTAAAGTATTTTATTTTTAAATTTATCCTTCTATTTTTATTTTGACTCTTTCTAACTATCCATTATAAAATTTTTCATTTAAAGAAATTTACGAATATTGCTAAATCAATAATTTAATTAAAAATTACGATAATATCATTTGTATTTAAATCTTAATAATATATGGTTATATTATTTATATGATTTATTCTCATAAAATATTTAAAAAATTTTTGTCGAATAAATAAAATTTTGTAATAAAATTCTCCATTAAATAATTGTATTACTTTTTTTATTTTTTTTATATTTCATCAATGATCTAACCCTAAATATCTCTTAGGTTTTCTATTCGGTAGTAATTGGAAATGTTTTGATGATTTATAAATCTTTTTTATTCATATTTTTATAAATAATGTATTTATATAAATAATTAGGTATTAAAACAAAATTTGTTATAAATCATAAATAATAAATATTTTCAAAATTTTAGAACAATTTTTCATTAAAAGCTTCAGGATATAGCAAATGTATTTATTTATCAAATTTATAGTTCGTTTTATTCTCCTCAACTTTGGTTAGAAAATCGTAATCTTCATCTTCTTCTTAAAATTCAGGAATTTCATTATTCTATTTGAGATGATTTGGTATTTAAATATAACTAATTTGAATTCAATAAAGTATTCATACTTGGATGAAAAATTATTTTTGAATCCTTAAAATATACTTTCATCAAACTTATGTCTGAATTAATTGCAATACATTACCAATTTACTTTATTGTTTGATATTTCCTTAAATATTATCAAAATAATTGCTTTATATTTAATTTAAACTTTGTGAAACTAAATAATGAATTTAATTAAATACATATCTTTTCTAGTATTAGTTTAGATTTTTATGTATTAAATTGAATTTCTTTAAGTTAATTCTATGTACCTTTTTAATTTTATTCATATAAATTTAAATATTCGATAATCATCTCTAATAAATTGGGGGTAATCTTAGAATATAGATATGAAATACCTTATATTCTACATCATAATATTCAAATCCTTTAATAAATCTATTTTAATTAATAAATGAGTCTAATTAATTACAAAAATTAGATAGTAATCTTGTGATTTCAGCAATTTGAAGAAGTTCTTCAAGTTTGAATTGTTCTATTTTTTTAATCAAAATATTAAATGCAACAAGTGAACAAGTATAATATTTAAATAAATCATTAAGAATAGTTAGAAAAACATATTAATTTAATTTATATTTAAGATGTCCATTTTTTTTGGTATCTATAACTTCAAAAGCCTTTTATACAAATTGTATAATTAAATTGATTTCATTTTTGGTTTAACAAGTAGATAGTTAATTAAAGTATAAATATTTTTCTTTTTTGTATAATGTCAAGGAGAATGAAGTTCTTAATTACTAGGATTTGAATTTGATATAAAGGTAATATTTAGAAATCAACTCATGTATTAATAATTTATGATTGTTTTTATTTCTTTCTTATCGATTCTCTATACTAGGTAAATCTAACTCACAAAATTCTTTTAAAAGAATACCATCATTCACACACCTGATCAATTTTTGTGACCAAAATACCTATCTATTATAATCAAATTTTTGATTATGATAATCCATCCATCTTCATCAGTATGATTTTATTTTAATTTTCGTATTATAGAACCAAAAGCGATTCTTCTATCTGTTTGTTTATCATAACCAGAAAGTGCATTTAATATAATTTTAATATCACTCTCATCTGGAGGATAAGTATTTACATAAGTAGCTGCTAATCTCGCCTATATAATCAATTTAATTATTTATACTCTTTCAAAAGCTGTCTCTGCTCCTACTGTTGCACAAAATCGTGTTATGAAATTCATATTCAAATAAATTATATTTATATGAATTTATTTTATTCTCTACAAATACATTTTTAAGTCTCGCCTTTTTTACTTTTTAAAGTAAATAATAATTAGGACAAATTCTTAATTAATTACTATATGTTTTAAACCTAATTCATGATTATAGTTTATTATATAATATAATTAGTAAAATTATTTCATTAAATGAGTACTCCAAAAGCTATCAATAAACCAACTCTTTAAACTTAAAAATCTTCTAAGCCCTCTTAATTTGCTCCAAAAACTGGTTCTCCAAACTCTTCTTAACTAATCAAAAGTATTTAAAGTTCAAATATCTTATTAGCACAATAATCCAATAGTATACATATTAAAAGTCCAATAGCTAAAACAGAGAGAGCAAGGACTTTTAATTTTAGTGAAACAGAATCTAAACCAGAACTTAAAAAATGGGATGTCGTTGGTAAAATTGAAAAATCAATCAATATTCTCAGAAAAACTAGAGGATAGATTGATTTCTCATTTTAGATTAAAGTTGAAGAAATAATTAATGATATGATGAACATATGTGGAATTGATGAAAAAGTCTCTAAATTGTTTCTTTAAATCAAAGAAGAACGTGATTAAAGAATGTAATCCTAATTAAAAACCTTAAAATTCATTAAAGGGCAATAGGATTAAATAGAATAATTAGTAAGAATATAAATTATCCTAGAAAAGACGATGTTAAGAATATTACTGAATAATAATAACATTATTTGTCTAGTTATAATTGAATATAATCAATTTAATATAAATTAATTCATCCGCTTCAAAAAATAGGATTTAAATATTATTCATTCATATAACCATAGTATTTCCATTTTTCCAAAAAATAACTAAAAAAAATCTTCATTTTTTCAAATCCTAATTTATAAAATTAACTGATACAATTTTTTTTTAATATTTGATTGTTCAAACGAAGTTATATAACTTTAATATTTAATAATGCTTAAAATCAGCTTGGTATAATATTAAAAAAAAAAGCGACAATAAATTCAGTTGGGTTATTATTGAATTAACAGTGTTTTAATTATCTATATTGCTTAAGATATATGAGTTTATAAGAATAATTGAATTAGTAAAAATAGGAAAAATGATTAATTTCAGAAATTTATTTCCACAATTTTTTTATATGTTTAATAAAAAAAAAGACTATATAAAAAAAAAGTATAAAGATGTTCCTCCATTAAATATTGGAGATGTAAATAGAGTATTACAACAATATAGGAATGATGAAGACAAATTTCGAATGTTTACATCAATTTTAGAAATATAAAAATAACATTAAATACGAACTCATGAAAGTAATACAGAAGAAATACTTAGAAAAAATGTTTAAAGATTAATTGAACTTTATGGAGATGTTGATATTAATTAAGATGCTCTTAATAATATTTATAAGAATGTTGATGAAAATTAAGACATACAAACATAAATTGAGAAAATAGAATATGGTAATATATTTTAAGGGGATATGAATTCTTAAATGATAAGTATTTAGAGATAGATTGAGAGATATGATCATTATTTGAATGTAATTTAAACAAAATTATCTAAAAATGTATTCACAAATTACTCTAGTTATCTAAAAGCTTTAACTCATATAGACTAAATTGGAAATATTAGTTAAGAATTAATTATCAAGGTTAGAAGTAGTAGAGAAAAGATGCAAACAACTTAATAAATTTTTTTAAAGCAAAGTAAATAAATTTTAGAGAAAAGACAATAAGTTTTGAATATTCAAGTAAAAACAAATAATATTATTATAGAACATGATTGAAACTTTAAAAAAAATTAAAAATAATTTTGCCTTGCCTTATGAAAGGTTTGTATTAAGTATGTAGAATGGATATATAGATGCATCAATCTATCTTCCTACAATTATAGTATTGTTTATTGATTATATAGAATGTTGAAATAATTGATGGTTTGCAATTGATACCAAAAAATTATAAAGAAGATAGAATAGAATATGTTAGATAATTAACATGTAAAGGAATAATCGATTAGTTTATAAATTATGATGAAAAAATATACAAAATTCATTATGAATCATATCGTTATATGGAAGTATATCTATTATTTAAATAAGTAAAATAACATAGTTTAACCTTATGAAACAATAGTTCACTTATTAATATTTAGAGCATTTGAAGCTAAATTATAAATTGTTTTTGATCAAATTAGTCAAATTTTATCGATTGACTTTTATTTTGATAATTTAACAGATTCTTTAAATTAAATTTCAAAAGATTAACTTACAGAATTTTATAGAGAATTATGTTGCTAAACAATTCATTTTCTTATGAATGTTCATTTAATAATTAGATTTCATTTTGAATATTCTCAAAACTCATCCATTATTGAACTTAGAAAATTAATTTATGAAAAAGTATTTGATCGAATTTGTGATTTTATTAATTAAACAACAAGTTGGCCAAGAATGAACAAAGAAGATATGATTTGTTTTTTTGGTATGCTTACAATTTTAATATCTAAATGTGAAGTATTTGGTGGATAAAATCTTTAGAAATATAAAACATTTATAGAAGATAAATTTAATAATTATTTAGAATCAAGAGGAAATGATAAATAAATCAAAGAATCGTTAATTAATGAAGATTGTAAAAAATGTATGAAAATAACACTCAATCAAACATAAACTATTTTATCAATTGCAAATAAATAATCGAAATTTTATGTTTTTGATTATAAGGATCCATTTCCAGATACATTGAATATCTTTAAATCTATTGAATACAAGAAAATCATTGATTTGATAATGGGTTCAACAGTTTCTTTCAAAAAATAAAATAATTAATCAAGTTTAATTTACTAAGGAAAAGAAAGAACATTGTTGTTAACTCAAACTGTAAATTAAATTTATATTATAATTTAATAATAGCTATTGTACATTCGTTTTTTTAAATAACATAAAGAGAAATTAAGAGAAGAATTAATATTTTTAATTAACTATTATATTTATACATTAGCTATTCCAATAATATTAGATGAACATAAAAGATATATATTTGATGACACTCTGAATTTTAATTATGATCAAAAGTAAGAACCAGATTAATACACTTAATAATTTGAACACAATAGTTAAGTAATTATTTATAGAGAAAGATATGGTGATCTGATTAGGTATTTGAAAAAAATTAATATTCCAGAAGATCTTAAGCTTAAAAAAACCTAACAATTTGATCTTATGGATAGAGTTGTATATATTGAATCAATTATTTTTCTCATAAATGAATTTGATTCAATCAAAGATGTCTATTAGGAATTCAAACCTTTTTATTCAGAATTAAACTCAATGATAGGTCAACTACAAGAAATAGTAATAAGAGATTGTATCAATTTGGAACCGTATGCATAATTAGTTCAATGCAAATATGAATTGAAATAAAATGATAAAGAAGATTAACAAAGAATCTAATTAATAGATAAAATTATTACTACTAATGAAATTAAATTATAAGGATTATCTTAATAGTAATTGACAGAAATTTAGAAGCTGTATTATGATGAACTTATTTATTTATTTGCTGTCGTTTATTCGAGAATCAAGAAGGTCAATAATGTTGGTAGAGAAGTTATGCTGAATGATTATTATAAAGTCTCAAAAACTTATAATGTTGAAAATAGTTTGTATGAATCCTATATAAAAATTCTTAATTAAGCTTCAGCTGAAACTATAATTGAATATATGAATATTCATTAAGTAATTTATTTATATATCATTAGAAAATATTTCCATATAAAATGTTGATGGGACTTTTTAATGCTTAAGGATTATAGAATTGTAAGAAACAACTAAGAAAGGATTAATTGTTTAAAGTCTTTTAAAATTACTAGCAATGAATGTAAATAAACTTGATTGAAGTATTAAATATAAATCAATTATCTTTTTATCTATTAAATAACGAGATTCTTTACATTTAATCAACCTATGATTAATTATTAATTTTGGTATCTAATGATTCATTCACATTTTTAAGAGATTCTAAATTAAGTTCAATAAAATACTATCATTTAATTTTTTATAGCTACTTAAAGGATCTTTGGTGTAAAAACTTCTAAAAGTAGAATCTTCAATTTTTCCACAGGAAGGCTTCTTAACTTTTGGTAATTATTTAATTTCAATTGTTGAAGATTTATTTTCCGAAATATCAATATCAAATTCTATTTAATTTTTATATTTATTTTAAACTCGTTAGAAAGGAGAGTCAGCTTCAGATAATTATACATCCGCAGTAGGTTAAAATATATTTTTATTACTTGTATTATTAATTGTAAATGTTTTAAGTACTAAGATTAAATAATTAATATTAAATACTATCTTAAGTAGATGGAGTCATAGAATTCTTAAAAAATTCAGATTCTAAAGCTTATTTAGCTGTTATTCTTTCAGCTGGATTTTTTGCAAGCATTTTTTTTAATAAAATCTATACATCCATTGATATGATATCCATTTCACGTCCATCTAGAATAAAATTACATTTTTTATTTTAGGCCAATACTTCATTAAAAGTATTACCAAAAAATAAACTATGTCCAAATAATAATTTATAGAAAATGCATCCACAACTAAAAATATCACAAACTTTATCATATTTTTATTCTCTATCAATTAAATTTAAAATTTCAGGTGCTACATATCCAGGTGTTCCACATTTTGGAAATTAATATTTTGAAACATCAGTAAAAGTAGACAATCCAAAATCCACTATAATAAGAGTATCATACGAATCTTATTCACGGAACATAATATTATCTGGTTTTAAATCTCTATGTATTATATTATTTTCATGAAGAATTTTTACTCCTTCCAGTAATTGTTACATAATTATTTTTACTGACTTTATTGGAAGCAATTCCCTCTTTTACTATATAATTAAAAATATATATATACTTTAAGAAAATCTATTTCTTCTGCCAAAGTTCTTCCACGCATCAAATCTAATATTAAATAATATGTGTGATCACCCTCAAAAGTTTCATATAATTTTATAAATGGTGTATTACTGTTTAATTTACTAAGAAAATTTAGAATTGCGACTTCATTAAAAAATGCTTGCATTCCAAATTCACTTTTCTAAAGATAATTTTTATCTATAGCTTTGGCTGCTAACTTAGCTGATTCCTTTCCTATCTCTTTTATTTGGATTACTTTTGCGGAACTCCCTTTCCCAAGATTATATTAAGCTTCATAAAAGTCGGCAATCTTATTAAATGTCACTTTATTCTTTATCTATTCTCTTAGTCTATCTCTTTTACATATTTCATTACTTTTGTAATTCTTCGGTTTTACCTATAAAATCTTTTAGCTTGTTCTAATATTTGATCATAAATCCAATCAATAGAAGCTTATTATCCTTTTATTCAGTTATCCATCCAATTTATTATGTTAGCTACAATTCTAAAACATATTTTGGATTTTAATCCTTAACTTTCTATATAGTGAGTAATCTTACTCTACTCATCAAAAGGTAATCATTTAGAACATAGCAGTAATATTTCACATCACTAATGAAATGTTTACGAACTACGATACATTCATATTTAATTTTAGAGTAATCATATTATGATTTCATATACAATAAATTAATTATTCATTTAATTGAACTAATAAAATTGTATTAGCTGCCATCCATTTCTGAATTACTATCATGTATCTTAAATGCACTTGTTTTTCTTCTTCTCATTAAGAATTTCTTTTTTGTTTCTATTTTTTGAACATCTCTTTCAATTTTTGGGATCTTCAAAACTTTTTTAACTACAGGTTGAGTTGATTTTATTGATTACAATACTGGAGATGGCAATCTTTTTTCAGTACTTCCTAATTATAAAAAATCTAAATTAATATTTCTCTCTAAATCTTTTTTAACTTCAGTTAAATCATTAAAATGTCTCTCATACTATAAAAGTTATCTCACAAAATTATTATTTTTCTATTCTGACAATTAGATCAATGCATTTTTAATAGATGGAACTTTATCTAAAATCATTTCAAAATATTCTCTTTTAACCATATAAAGTTCTGATTAATCAGTAACAGAATAAACTGAGTGAGTTCTAGCATTATTATTCTTTGCTTTAGTTATACTGAAATTTTACTTGCATTAAAAACTCCATTTCACCAAACATTTAACCGGCAGTTATATATTTGATAGTTACAGGTTTTTTCTTTTCCAAATAATAAAGATTTCCATATTTCTTTCTTTAAAATCGTGCTTCTAATCTTTCTGAAATTGTATATGTCTTGGGAGTACTCATACCACATAATATTTTCTCAAAATCACCTTTAAACATTTCATTTAAATCTATTGTTGATGTCTTTATAATTTTGACTATCTTAAACTCCCCTTTTTTAATTATATATACATAATCTAGTGGATCCCCTTCTTTATATACAGTAGCATTCATTGAATATCTTTTTACATATGCCCTATCATAAAACACCTTTATATCTTAAAATCTCCAATTATGAAAGAAATCCAAATTTGCGAATTCTTCGAAATATGCTTTCTTTAATTGATTTTTAACACTTTTAGCTATTATTTAATAACTATCCTTATTCAAATATGCTAAATGAGTATTTTCAATAGCTCTAACAGAAGCAGTTCTAATTGCATCTGAATCCATTGCTCTCTCTCCAAAAGTCTCAAAATTTGATAATTGTTTTATTTCATTATCAAATATAGATGCTTATAAATCTTAAGGATTGAAATCCTTTAATACTTATACTCGTCCACTTATAATAAAATAAAAATTGTCTCCTTATTCACCTTCTTTAAAAATGAAATAACCAATTGGAACATATTTATGTCTTAAATTTCTACAACATTATTCATGTAAAAGATCAGAACCCAAATTTGCAAAAAAATCAAGCGATCGTGTAGCCTATTTTAAAAGTTCAACATCTGCTTATGATCTTAGTTCACATGGCTTCAGAAGTATAAAAATCATTATATCTATGATGTCTTAATAACTGTACTCTCATGATTACATACTTAGAAAAATCCCTTTGACTCATCCTCAGATCTATTTTCTATAATACACTCGATGCTCTTCTAATCTACTCTGTATTAAATTTTAGTCGTTTAATCATATACTACATTTATATATTAAATTTAATATTAGAATAAACAAATAACAAAATTCTAAAAGAATTTACATCATCTCTAAATCATAACAATCTCAACATAATTTAAAATATTATTATTTTTATTTTATTTGATTATTCATTATTATTCATTAATAAAAAATACCTACAGATCATATATTACCTATATATATTTATTATTCTTATTTATATTTTTTTAATATTGTGTAAAATTTTAAATAAAAAATAATATTTATTAAAGATTTGACTTTTTTTAATTATAAAAAGTTAAACAACATAGTTTTTATCTAATTATGAATTAGGTAATGAAAAGGTGATAAATGTTTATTTGTGTAGTAATTAATTAATAATTAATAGAAACAAATTTTCATTAATAAATTTTTAGATTCTATTATTTTAAAAGCAAGAAACTATTAAGATGCCATTCTATATTATGATATTGTTTTAGGTTGGTTGCTACAATAAAAGCGTTTAAAAAGGTTTATATTCTCAAATTTTCATTTTTGTTTTGTTTAAAATGAGTATTAAATGAACCTCATCCATTCAACATATTTTTTGTAAATTCCTTTTAATGAAAGGATCAAAAAAATCTTTAGTCATCAACATCAAGAGTATAAATTCTTAAAGACGTACTTATTTTTAAAATCATAATGAGAGGATTGATGAATGAAAAGAGAGTCATCAGATAAACTGTGAGAAACTTAAAGAGATAGAAACGATCTTGTAATTTACAATATGAAAGAAGAATTATGATCAAAGCATACTTGGAATGAAACATTGCAAATAAAAAATGATTAATTTTCAATAATATAATATAATGATAGTACTATATAAGGGTGCAGAAATACATTTTATAGTACATAAAACGCTCAAAAATGGGAAATCATTGTTTTAAATAAAAAACTTAGAACCATTTGTTCTTGGTGCAATTTAACAATTTTAGTACCAGTTGAATGTCAGAAGTAAGTTCTAAACTGATAAGTATTTAATAAATCCTGATATTGAAATTTTGTGATGCAAACATTTTGGCATTAATATTAATTTTAAATAATATTTCTTATTAAATCAAACCCTGTCTTCAATGTCCAACACTTTAAACTTTAGTGCAACTCTTAATAGTCCCTTGAATAGTAAGAATATTTAAAATAATTAGATTTTACAAATCCTCAGAATTTCACTTAACCTTTTTACTCTTCATAGCTATCAAGACATACTTTTACAGAAACTAATTAATCAGTGATGCTTTAGAATGAAAATGAAATGAATATTGAAAAATTAGTAAATATTATTATAATTCTTAGTCACCAAATAACTCCACAAATTTAGAAGGAAGTGTTAAAAAGGAAGATGAATCTTATATTCCAATAATATAAACATTAAAATAAGAGTTTAATAGAGAATCTCCTTATATAAAGATTAGTGTATATAGACAACACCAACTGGCTAATTAAAAAATTTATATTCTCCAAGATGACAAGTAATTTCTCTTATATATTTCTAGAATCATAGGAGGCAATTAAGTTCATAAAAATGAAATCTAGATAATAAGAAGGAAAAAAGCTTTACGCGCTAGTGACAATAATATGGATTTTGGTATTAATTAACGTTATTTTTTAGGTTTATCTAATTAAGAATCTAATATTGAGTAAATCCCTTGCAAAATTTCAACATAATATGGATTTCGATATTCAAGCAGAATTACTCCTTAAATTTTAGTATTTCTTTCATTGAAATATTTCAATTTTAAGTTTGCTATGTTCCCTTTAAATGTCTTCAAACTTATTCATTAATTTATCAAGTAAACTTTTTTTTTTATTTCTTAGAGAATAGCCAAAATTTTATATTTAAGATTGTGGAACATCATTAAAGACATTAGTTAGAATTTAAAAAGATAATCCAAAAAGAATGAATCAGAATAATAAATACCTAATTGGAGCTGACTTCTACTTTCATGTTGTTTAGTTAAACACAATTCCAAAATTATGTGATAAAAAAAACGAAGAAACGGAAATTGATTATTTTTTTTAAACACTTGTTAGAGAACATATAAGAGATAAAACCAGAATTCATGGATTAACAAAATAGGAATAAACAATTTTTTCATGTATACATATTTGACATAACATTCTAGAGTATTTATAAAATTATTCATAAATGAAAAAGAAAGGAAGAAAATAATATAGTTTATAAAATTGCAATCGTCCTTTTCTTAAAATTTAATTTGATACTCCAATAATTAAATAAATGGCTGTGTTTATTGCAAAATCAGGAGAATAATCAATTTTTAAAATTGGAAGATCTTAAGATTGTGATATAATTGTTAATATGAATACAATTTCTAGAAAGTAAACATAAATAATGTTCAATAAAAATTAATGGGAAATTTGCGATGGAGAAGGAGTTAAGCAATCTGCCAATGGTACTTGGTAGTCATTATAATAATACCAAAATCCCTCAAATCCTATATTATAATCAAGTCAACCATTATAAATCGAAGATAAAATGGAAATCAAAATTAGTGAAAATATTTTTAGATTTGATATGTTAGGATTTGGTATCTCGAAAAGGTATCATATTATAAATATTTCTGTAGAAGAAAATTAAATAATTCATTCTATTAGGAGTTAACAAATATTGATTAATTATGAATTCATTTATTATTTTCACTTAAACATAGTTTTAATTAATAATTTTCTAATTCAAAAATATAAAACGAAGTTCTCTTCAATTTATTCATCTTTTTCATTTATTTCATAACATTTATTCTTAAATCTTGGTTTTATGTTTAAATTAATACTAAAAGACATTTTTTTGGTAAATCTATCACAAATATTAATAAAAAAACAAAAAATTATTCTAAAAAAATTAATATTTTGCAATTCATATTTTGGTTCAACATGATAGAATTACATAATATATAATTTTTTATGGGAAGATATTCAAAAATCAAACAATCTTAAAAAGACTTAGAAGGGAAAAATGATTCAAAAATTTAGTCAAATAAGTTATAAAAATGTATAACCAAAATTAGAAAATCAGAAATAGGTAAACCCTCTTTTTTGAACTCTATAAGCCTTCAAATACCAAATATTTGGAGTTCTAATTATATATTAGTAAATATTGTAAGTTTTTTTATTGACGAAGGAAGGCATTTCTTACTTCATCTTGCTGGAGCAAAACGAAAATCAGAAAAGGAAAAAGATATATTAAAAAAATAGTAACAGTTAAAAAAACAGATTGAAATAGTATAAAAAAAACCTCTATTTGAATTTTTGGAATCTTTTTCTATAAATTAATTAGGAATGCCTAAAAGAAACAAGAAAAAAGAAAGGATTGTTGTTTTTTTCTTGAGAAGCAACATGAATTTCGATTTAAAGGTTAATTATTCAATTAAATTATCTTAATTAAATGAAAAATGGGCTTAGATTTTAAAAAAAATTAAATTTTTATTTGATGAAAAATTTTATAAAGAATTGATTGAAATTTTAGATTTATTATAAAAACATGAGAATAGAATAGGATTTATAGCTGATGTGTTAATAGATAAATTGGAAAGAAGTAATTGTTTAGAAAACATTTAAGTGATATTTAAAAATCTTTTGATACAAATTATAAAAGAGCATCAAGATGAATTACTAAATCATATTTAACTTTATTAACGTTAACCAGATTATATTTTAGAAGTTTACAAAAAATAGATAAAACTTTATCGACATAGAATTATAAACTTTATCTTTAATTTGAGATGTCTATTTGATAATTATAATTATGATTAAGTTTAAAATTTAATGTACCAATAATAAGTGAGAGAATTCTTTGAAGCAGAGGATTAGAATTATAAAATATTTGATTAAGATATTGAAATCTATTAATATGATTATTGATGGATTGGAATATATAAACCTTAATATCAAATATAACAAAATTTAAATAATTAAATTATTCATGGCCTAATAATCAGCAGAATTCTCAAAAAAAGTTGATGAGTCTCATAAGGGTTAAGATGAAGATAAAGATAAACCTTAAGAAACAAATCAATAGAATGAAGAGAAAAATGAAGCATAAAAGTCAGAAAACAAAGCTCCAAGTTTATTTGGATCAATGATAAATGGATAAAATCTATTCAATAATAATTCAACAACTTCAATTTTCTAAGGAGGTTTATTTGGATCATCTTAACCAACAACTGGACTTTTTAGTTCTGGTCCTTCTATTTTAAATGCTGTTAATGTAGATCTTACAAAACCTGGACCATCATTATTTGGAATTAGTTATAAGGCTTAAAAATCTGATGATAGTGATCCTGGAGATGATGATGGTATTTAAAATATCTATTTAATAGGATAAGAAGAATAAAAGCCAGAAGATGATGAACCAAAATAAATAGTAATGAAATATGATTATACTTCAAACACAGAATAATTAGTCAAAGTATATTTTTGTTTTTATATAAAGGTAAATGTCGAAAAGTTTAGAAAAAACACAAATGACATCTTAGAGAAAGGATCTGTTGCAATTGAAAAATCTAAAACTGGAGATGCTTATTACATTGTATATAGGTATTTTATTAATCACATATCTAGAAATGCAATATAATAATCATTATACACAGGACAATTAGTCAAAGGATTTTCATCAATTAAACCTTTAGGATAGAAGGCAGAAAATTTAATTATTAAAGCTCTCAGCAGAAAAGAAAAATAAGACAGCAAATCAGAAGAAAAAGGCGAAAATGATGAGAAAAATTCCTTATCTATTGATACATTAAAAGTTATGTTCACTACAAAAGAAGGATCAGAAGAGTTTAAGACAGAGTTTGCAAAAATATTTTAATGATATTACATGTAAAATGAATTTTTAGGATCATGTTATATGGTTAACAGAAAAAAAATTAAAATTATTATCTACATCATTCAATTCAACATTCTGAAATTTTTTTCTTTTTATCCAATATGTAAATGTGCATAAGCTCTTAAAATTTAGTCTTTCTTTATTTTCAATTTAATTATTCATAATAAATATATTTAAATAGAGTGTGATCAAAACTAATAATTCATGAAAACAACTTTAAGTTGAGGTGACTTAATTGTAATACCTTCAATTTCTTGTGTTGTAAGACCAGAGTTTTATTGGTTGAATAATAATTTTTTAATTACAAGTTGATTTGAGATTGTTATTTTCCATACTAATAATTAATATAATAAAATTAAACTGTTTCAAAATTCAGTCTTTTCACAAATATGGTCAAATTTCTCAGCATGTGTTGGAGTATGAGTCATTGTACAATAAGTCTTTCCAGTCTTGCTTTAGAATTTTTTTCCTAAGTTATAAAAAATTTTTATGATCAGAGAGTACAAAAGAAGTTTTCACAAAAATCACATCTAAAAAACCAATCTTTTTCGTTTAAATCTAATTGAATAAATAATTAATAATTACCTAATTTTGGGAGTTTAGATGAACAATTATTGCAGTTGAAATGTGGAACACTTTTTCTTTAACATTAGTATCGATTAGTAACTCTAATGTATGTAACACAATTTTTAATAACATGACCATCATCTTCTTGAGCTGAATAATCAATAATATTAGATTTAAAACTGATGGAGCAGTTACAATAGAGTGTTGATATCTTAAATTAAAAAATAAGAGGATCTCCTTTTTTTGACCCAATTTTTTTTATTCTTCAGGTGGTCAGATTAGTAGAAGTTTCTCAACAACATTATAAACTATATAAAATTAATGATCGAAATCTTTTAGTTAATTCTTAAAAATTCATTTAAATGATTTAATTTTAATTTATATATAAAAAATATAATATTTGATAAAACTGTAATTGTTAGTTGTAACAGATTAAACATAATTACAACAAGAGGACCATCAAATCAGAGAAATAATTTTCACAAAAGTTATTAAGGATGGCATCAATGATACGCATTAAAATATCAAATCATCATATATGGGACATGAATATCATAATGAATATCATCAATTATTAGAATTTGTTTCTATTGCTATTCATCTAGTTATTCCTCAATTTTTATTTCTTTTTACTTGATAAATTACAAAAGTAAATCCAATTATATCCGAGACAGGAACATTACTTTTAAGTAATAAAAAAGTTTCATCACCAATTTCTAAAAGAATTTCATTTTTTTTCTAATCTTTTTTAATAAGCAATAAATTTTTCATTTACAACTAAACTTAATTATTTAAAGAATTTCATTTGATTACAATGAAACCCAGATAATCAACAATTTTATTAGTTTCTCGTCTTTCCATAGTAAACTATTAATGATTATCTTTTATTACTTCTTAATCACATAAAATCTATGAATTGACTTTTGCCTCTATTAATTGATATCAATTTTCCTCATAATTGTTAATTATTAGATATAACTGTGGGTTCATCAAAATCTTATGTTTCTAAAATTAGATTTGAAAAAGAATTTTAAATTTAACATATATGATATTATAGTAATAAAGTTTGTATTTCATCTTTTTTTGCTCACAACCACAGCTTATTTCGGCAATTTTGTATCCATAATCTCATGTTTTGGTCTCTTTATTGAAACTCCTTTCTTATTAGCTGATGATGTATTCACNAATAACATGACCATCATCTTCTTGAGCTGAATAATCAATAATATTAGATTTAAAACTGATGGAGCAGTTACAATAGAGTGTTGATATCTTAAATTAAAAAATAAGAGGATCTCCTTTTTTTGACCCAATTTTTTTTATTCTTCAGGTGGTCAGATTAGTAGAAGTTTCTCAACAACATTATAAACTATATAAAATTAATGATCGAAATCTTTTAGTTAATTCTTAAAAATTCATTTAAATGATTTAATTTTAATTTATATATAAAAAATATAATATTTGATAAAACTGTAATTGTTAGTTGTAACAGATTAAACATAATTACAACAAGAGGACCATCAAATCAGAGAAATAATTTTCACAAAAGTTATTAAGGATGGCATCAATGATACGCATTAAAATATCAAATCATCATATATGGGACATGAATATCATAATGAATATCATCAATTATTAGAATTTGTTTCTATTGCTATTCATCTAGTTATTCCTCAATTTTTATTTCTTTTTACTTGATAAATTACAAAAGTAAATCCAATTATATCCGAGACAGGAACATTACTTTTAAGTAATAAAAAAGTTTCATCACCAATTTCTAAAAGAATTTCATTTTTTTTCTAATCTTTTTTAATAAGCAATAAATTTTTCATTTACAACTAAACTTAATTATTTAAAGAATTTCATTTGATTACAATGAAACCCAGATAATCAACAATTTTATTAGTTTCTCGTCTTTCCATAGTAAACTATTAATGATTATCTTTTATTACTTCTTAATCACATAAAATCTATGAATTGACTTTTGCCTCTATTAATTGATATCAATTTTCCTCATAATTGTTAATTATTAGATATAACTGTGGGTTCATCAAAATCTTATGTTTCTAAAATTAGATTTGAAAAAGAATTTTAAATTTAACATATATGATATTATAGTAATAAAGTTTGTATTTCATCTTTTTTTGCTCACAACCACAGCTTATTTCGGCAATTTTGTATCCATAATCTCATGTTTTGGTCTCTTTATTGAAACTCCTTTCTTATTAGCTGATGATGTATTCACCTTTACACTTTTCTTAGGTTTAGTTGAATCCTACCCTTTAGGAGATGTAGGCTAATTTTATGATTTTTCTTAAAGTATGTCTCCATTATCATAAGATTTGTATTCTGCATTATTTTCAAGTAAACTTAATTATCCAAATTAAGCAGCTATTGATCCTGTCACATAATATTCTTTAATTGATTAATTTACTGACTATTTCACTGATTGAGAATTTACTTCAACTTCTTGTTTGTCTATTTTCTTTGGAGATTCTTCAAATTATTATTATTCTTATGGTGAATTTTCAATTTGATTTCTATTACTCTCTTAATATTAGAATGATTCTTTATAACCTTATAAAATCTCATCTTGAACTTCAGGTTCTCTATTTGTTTCTTTAAAATTGGTTGTTTATTCAATTTAATTTACCTATTCCTCCTCATATTATTCAACTTTTGGTTCTTCAACTTATTATTGAATTTCAAATAATTAAGTAAATTATTGACTCAATTCACTCATCATAGGTCTTGAATTTGGATCTACCTATAACATTTATTTTATGACATTCTTCAATACATAACCATTTCTTTCTCCAAATACATTTATTGATTATTATATCACATCTATCATATATTTATAATTTTACTTTCATTTATTGTATAGTTCTATTTATCATAAATCTCCTAAATATTACAACTTCCCCAAAACTCTAAAGCCATTAATCCTAATTAATAAACCTCATTTTTTTCATGATTGTATTATGGTCGAAGATCCTTCTTTCCTAATGCACCAAGTAATTCAGGAGATAAATACCATAAACTATCACCTGACAAAATTCTTTTATAATGATTGAATCCAGTTAATTATGTACAATTATTTAACTTTACCTCTCCTTTTATCTTTTCAATCAACACATGATCTGGTGTTAAATTTCCATGAACTATATTGTGTTCATAAAATTATTTCAGTATTTCTGCCAAACACTTCAAAACAAATAAACAATTTATTGATGCCTATTTGCTTATTTATCTTAAATTTGTATCATAATATTCATATAAAGCAGTAACTTTATAAAATGTACTACATAAATTTGTTTCTTCCTATGTATCAAGTTCTACTAATTTTACTAAATTTTCAATTTCATTCAGTTATTTTGTTTCATTGAGTATCTTATATAAATTCGTAAACTCTTCCTAACTCTAACAAGTCTTAGAAACCATAGCATATTATTTTGTTTGATATTCAATTAATTTGAATGATCCATATATTTCATTTTCCTTATAACCCAATGCTGTATAGTTCTTTGATTATACAATCCCTTGTGCTGCTGATTATTCTGCACCCATTAAGACAGATAAATAAATATGTTAATAAATTTAACGAATAAATAAAAAATATCAGTTAAATAATCAAAATTAATATCTTTTATTATTGTTATTATAATTATTTCAGCATTTATTTTCTTAACCTTTTCTTCATATTTTAATTAGAAACTGATACATTATTTTTAAAATAAACTTAAAACTCAATAAGAATTATTATTTATTTTTATTATTACTTTATTAAACAATTAAATGGCTGCTATTTCATCAAATCATTTCTTCTTGAAATTAATTCCCTTTATTTTTAACTAATAATCTTTTCAAAATATTTTACCAACTATAATCAACACTTATTTTGTTTTCTTTAATATTGCAATTAATTTTTAAATAGGTTTTCTTACTCAATGATATTTTATTCGCCCTTAAGATTTTTAATGAGAATTATTTTATTACATAAATTAATGGGAAGCTCACAATGTTGTTCTCTTTAAACAGATGATAAATCAGAAATTGTACTTAAGATTGAAGATACTGAGAAATCGTCCCTAAAGTCTTCAAAGAAATCTTCAAAAAAGTAACAATAGTAATGTTTGCTCCAATTTAAGGATTCCTACTCAAAAGGATAAACATTAAGTGCACCAAATAAAATGTGAAGGTCCTGGAACTCCTGGCTTTGCTGATTTACGTTCTTTTGGAAGCAAACGTTCTGAATAATCTTATAAAGACATATAACTTGTTGCAGAAATTGTGATGAATCTAGAGGACATTCCAAAGAGAATAGAAGATGTTTAATAAAGTCCTATTACATCTTAACGTTCTTTAAAAAAAAAAAAAAAAAATGACTCTCCTCTTTGTGAATTTTAACCTAAAAATTCCTTGAAATCTTTCGATTCAAAGAAATTAAATAAATTAAAATCACTATCAGAGCATAAAGTTAAGTTTGAAGAAAAAAATGAGAATGACAGTCAAAGAAGCAATAGTGTAGATAACAAATCTGTCAAAAGCATAATGAAATAAGAATTAAAATATAGTTAATTTCGAAAAATGCAAACTTAAGGGGATGCAGAATCAAGAAAATAAGTTCACTTTTAATTAAATAAATGATCTATTCATACAAATTCTTGTATTCTATTTTTTCCTAAACATTCATTTAGAAACTTTTTATTGATTATACCTATATTATAATAATTAAATATATTTATTCTGCAAACATAAAATGTTAATATTATTTCAATTTAATTAATAAAACCTTTATAAAATAAAGGTTTTTTTCTGAAATTTTAATATATTAAGACAAACTGAACTTTAATTAATTTATCAATTTTTATTAATCCTAGACAAATATTTTCTCTCTCTTCAAATCTGATTTTTAGATGTTTCAGATTAGGAATATATCCTAAAATTCCTTACAACTCTAATTTAGTAGTTCAATATTCTTTATAATAGAATTGTTATTTTATGATGATTTTTCTCTATCTGTTATTCCATATTTAATCACTTTTTTTCTCCATAAAAATCAACTTACTTTATTGTTTCTTTCTGATTTTCTCCAATTTAAAGAATTGTAATAGAAAATTATTAGATTAAAGTAGAATAATTATTGATTGACTGATTTTTTGTTGATGATTATAATTTGAGCATCTGTAAATATTTTTGGTTTTAGTTTTTCTTTTTATATTATTTCCTGTAAAATGCATTTATGAAATAAAAAGTTATTTCTAAAATTTAGAATTATTTCCAAATAATAGTAAAATCATCAAAAAGATAATGAAGTAAAAAATTGTAAATCAATTAAATGAATTATTTAAAGGATTTGATAATGTTTTTAATTCGAATCTTTTACATAATTTTAGAAAAATTAATTTCAATAACTCTAGGATTAAAATTAAATGATGAATAATTTTTATTATTACCTTAATTCAGAATTAGCATTTTATTTTCTAATTCAATAATTTTCTACCTATATTAAAAATAATAGTTTTAAGCTTTCCTATACCTGAAGAACAATTTTAATTTTTAAACTTTTTGTATAAAATATATATAAATTATATTATCTCATTTTTTTTATAAAATATCTTATTTATGAAAACAGAAAGTGGTTAAAATACAAAATTTCAAAAAGGCTATACTCCAATGACACCCAGGAAATCACTTAATTTGACACAAATGTATAAATGACAATTTAATAATTTAGAAAGTTTCAATAATAATAAAATAAATAAGGTCTTCCTCCTGTTATTCCAAAGAATAATTATAATGATGAACAAGCTTTCGATATCTAAAATTAATAGAGAAATTTTTTTGAGGAGTAATCAGTATATTAATAGAATTATATTAAAGAAAATATAAAATAGTTATTCGAAAAGGAGTTTAGTTAAAAGCCCAATCCATTAGGAGGCTCATAGAAAAAATTTAGAACAATATATAAAAAAAGCATCTATGCCATTAAATTAAATTGAAGGAATAATACAACAAAACGTACAAACAGGATTAATCAATAATAATTTCTAGAAAGTCAATTATAAAAATGATCGAGACTAAAAATTAGATGTATGCAATAATTAAATCATTATAGAAAACAAAAGAAAAGAATTAAGAAAAAAATTTGAGTGAAAATGCAATAACTCAAGATTAATTAGAAATAAATAATTAAATAATATAAAATGAATAACAAAATAATAAAGGAATAGGATTAAAAATGGCAATAAAAACCAGTGAACTTTAAAATTTGAATGAGAACATTCAAAATCTTTTAAAGGAACGATAATATATCATAAATTTTATGAAATTAGATGATAAAATAAGAGAAACATAGTTTAAACCTTAAAAATTAGAAAATTATCGCAGCCATAGTTTTGAGATTGGTAAATAAAGTTTTGAAAAAATAGAAAAAAATACTTTAAAAATCAATGAAAAAATTTCCAATAAGATAAATGATATCATTCAATAAAAGGAGGAAATCAAGAACCTAAATCATTAAATTTAAATCCTTTAATAAGAAAAACAAACTCAAAGGACATAAATTGAAGAAAAAGAGAAAACAATTGAAATTCTAGATTAAGAGAAATAAAATTATGCAGAAATAAATAAAAATTTGTCAAATGATATTGAACAAAAGAATAGTTAGAATATTAATTTAGAAATAACTATATAAAACTAAAATATTGAATTGTAAAATTTATAATCACAAATTGAAATCAAAAATCAAAGCATAAATGAAGATATTGAAAGATTAAATTAAGAATTAGAGAAATGCAAATAAGAAATAGAAATAAAGAAAGAAGAAACAGTATAGAAAAGTCAAAATAATGAAATAACAAATTCAGAAATAGAAAAGCTTAATCTCAAATTAACTTTATAAGAATAATAAAATGACATATTAACAAAAGAGTTAGAAAGTCTGAAATAAGAAATAATAACATTAAAAAAAAATGAAGAACATCAAAAAAATGAAGATCAAAATAAAGATTAAATTAGTGCAAACCTTAAATTAGAAATTGAAAAAAATTAAAATAAATTCCAGGAAGATACATAGTTAAAAGATTAGATGATAGAAAACTTAAATATAAAAATTTAGGAATTATAAAAATAACTTTAAGATAAGGAAGAATAAATAGAAGACTTATAAAATGAAATAGAACTTCAACAATATAGAGAAAAGTCCATCACATTATTGGTTACAGCAAAAAATTTGAATAGGAATGAAGAAATCAAAGTCAAATTAATGGATAGCGTAAATGATCTTTATGTAATGGCAAATTTTAGAGGAATTTTGTAAAATAATTTAATATTTTAGCAATGAATTACCTATTAGATCAGACCTAAAAGCTTATGGCAAAACATTTCAGAAAAAAATTGAAAAACATGAATGGTAAAAAAAACTTTATGAACTTTTTGTACCTAGTTAATATAATTAATAAATATAAATGGAATTTAGTATTTTACAATGAAAAATTATTATTATATAAATTGATATACACTAAAAATAATAATATCATTTTCTAATATTTAGATGATAAAATAAAATAAAATAAAATCTAAATTTACTTTTGAAACATTACATTTAGATATCAAAATAAAATTAAGATTTAAATGTTGAATTTAATTAAACTGCTTTATAGAAAGCATAAATCCCTTACACTTAAATTTTAAGTATTAAAAATTAGAATAAAATGACTATTGTCTAGTTTATTAATGGATTAAGTTTATTATATAATAAATTAGTTATTAATTATTTATCTCTTAAATTTATATTAATTATCATTTAAATCATTTGTTTTTCAATTTCTTTTGCTTTAGACATTTAATGAGGTTATGATTCATTTTCATGCTCCAAAATGTTTCATGCAAAGAGCTTCTATTGGACGAAAAGGTCAAAAAAGCGGGTAACTATTTTTTTTTAATTTCATAGTAAAGTTACTTTTTGAGAAATTTAGCATTATAATATATCAATTAATTTATTTTTATAATGCTCTTTAAGAAATTAAGATTTTATTTATTATTAATAGATCAAAATTATGAGAAAGAGAAGAAGAAAATTTTATACAATATGTGGGTCAAACTATTTAATAATCTAAGATCAAAGCGTTTTAAAAGAAAAAATTATTAACAAAAACTAAATTTTGTTTTTAATTTAATAATGCAACATAAAATTTTTTTTCTTAAATTAATATTTATTTCTAAATATTAGTCAAATCACAACAAGGTAAATGAATTTTAAAATTCAAAGCCCAATCAAATAAATTATTATATTATTTGATAGTTTTTTCAAATTATTTTAATATTTTCAATCCCTAGATGTATATAAAGATTACACTGTAATTCTTTAAATTATTTTATAGTAGTATTAACCATTGTAAAATAATTATTGTTAGGATTCTAGTCTAATTTTAAATAAAACAAAAGAATTTTTATTACAGTTTTATTTTAAAATTTTTTATTTATGAATCGATCAGAGGAAAATCTTTTGCTTGTTAATAAATAATCCCCTTACTTTTCAAGAAAAGACCGATATTTTCAGAATTAGTAAATTAATATAACTATTTTAGATAAAAGAGATAACAAATGAAACATAAAGAGAGCATGGGTAATCTTCCAGATCAAGAAGAACTAATAAATTAGCGAAATGCAAAATAAGAACAAATCAATATTTTAAATGAGGATTTAAAAAAGTTGAAAACATAGATTGAATAAAAAGATGTAAACAAATAGAATTAAAATATAGAGGAGTATCAAAAATTATGAGGAAATTGTGCAAAAGATAGAAAAAAACTAAAATTTTAATTAATTCACATAAGAAGGAGAATTTTTAATTGATAGAAAGAACCTAGTAATTAACTTAAAAAGAAATTTATAAATGAAAGAAAAAGACATTTAGAAAATGACGGAAGAAAACAAAAAACTCAAAGAAGATTAAAAAATGGCTACATTCTAAAAATTGAGAGTAATTATTATCAATAAAATCAATAGAAAGAAAATTTTACATTGTTTTAACAACTGAAAATTAGAAATGATTTAATAGCTGGGTTATATTAAAAAAATAAAGAATTAGAATAATAATTAGAAAAATAAAATGATTTTACAAATTATTAAGAAATAATGTAAACACTTCCAAATAAATAATAAGAACTTGAAGAATTAAAAACTTAAATATTTGATTTATAAAAGACAGAAGACTAAATCAAAGCAGATATTTATATTTTGAAAACATCATATACTTTTATATCATAATTTGAGCCTTTTCCTGTATAAATCAAAAAATTTCGTAGTACTAGTTTTTCAATTAATTAATAAAGTTAGTTAGAAAAATGTAACAAATTTCGATCAAAATCTACTTCACAAAACAATAATTTTTATGATAAAAATAGACAATTTATTAATTCTCTTGAAAACAAGGTTACAATTCAAACTTCTCAAATATAATAAAAAAATGATGTTCTGTTAAAATAAAATGAACAAATAAAAAAACTACAAGAAGAAATTCAAAATTAAAAAAAAATAATAGAAGAAAAAGATTAAGAAATTTAAAATATGGAAGAGAACAAAATTAGATTTAATTAATTAGTAGAAAGACTAAAAAATGAAATTGAAGAAAAGAATTGTTAGAATGCTAATTTAGGATAATTTATACAAAGTTAGACATCTGAATTGACATAAAAGAATGGATAGATTACTAAATAAAATTAAACTCTTTAAATATAAAAGGAAGAAATTGAAAGACTTAATTTGCTATTAAAGGATGAAAAATTTCAAACTGAATAATTAAGTTAAAAACTAAAAGAAGAAAGTGAGTTAAAAAATAAAGATTTCCACATTTAAAATAAAGAAATAGAATAATTTAAGAGTAATTTATTTATACAAAAATAAAAAAATGAAAGTTTAGATAAAGCATTAGCAAATCTTCAATTGGATTTAAATGAAAAAAATAAAATTTTAACAGAGCAAAAAGAAAAAATTGAATAATTCAATATCAATTTGTTAAATTTAAAAAATAAAAATGAAGATTTTCAAGAAAAAATTTAACAATAAAATGAGAACTTGACAATATTAAGAAAAAAAAATGAAGATTTTCAAGAAAAAATTGATTAACAAAATGAAAATTTGACAATTTTAAAAAAAACAAATGAAAATATTGAGAATGAAAATAAGCATAAAAATTAAAAAATTTTATCATAAGGCTTATAAATAGAAATGATGAAGAATGAAATAAATAATTTAGAACAAATTATAGAGAAAAAAGATTATAAAGTAGAGGAGTTAACTAAAAATGTTGAAGTTTTGAATAAAAATATCGAAGAATAAAACAAAAAAATCAAACAAAATAATTTGGAAATTGAAGATTTAAAAGATGAAATAGACCTTTAAAAATATAGGGAAAAAGAAATAAATTTTAGGGTCAAAAGTGCTAATTCCAATAAAAGTGAAGAAATAAAATTAAGATTAATGGATGGAATCAATGATATTTATGTATTTGCCATTTAAAAAGATATTCAGTATACTTTTTTAATTATTTTAGCAATGAATCACCTTTAAATTCAAGCATTTTTGTACCCTCAAAAAATATGAGATATGCTGTGAGTGAATGGAAAAAGAAATTCTATTAAATTTTTGTTCCAAATGAATACAAAAACACGATTGAAATAGAATTTGGTGGTTTGAGATGATATGATTTGTTTTTAATGATAATTTTTCATTTTTTTTATTTAGATTATATATTAAATTAATAAAATATGAGCTAGACTTTTTCATCAACAAGAGAAAGGTTTTTAAAAATTAAGAACCTATTTT